GCGTGTAACCGCAAAATGGAATTGGCAATTGAATCTCAGCAAGGCATCAAGTTCTATGTCCAATGCATTTGCTGTGTCTGCACTGGCAATTTATTTTTCTAGTAGTTTGAGCGTTGAATCTCCACTCAGTACACGCAGGGAAGCGCTCGGTGGCGCTTGTCGTGCACACTCTTCGATAGCTCGTATAATCTTGGTCAAGATTCATTCGCATTCGCCGTCAGACATCTTTTTATTCGCCATTGGATTTTGGAGTGATGAAACAGCGAATCCTGCCCCATATTTTTTTGTGTTTTATCCAAACATTCATCTGCCAATTCACAAATAACGACCGACCATTCGTTCATGTTTATTTCTTTATGGCATTTGTTGTTGCTGTAAGTCCACCATATGCGACATGTTTGATGTGACATTAAGATAGGCGTGGATGGACACATGTCACACCTGCTGATACAATATAACTACACAAAATCAAATTTCATTTTGGAAACACTAAGACTTAGTTCCAATTCGGGTTACAAAAATGCTCAGGAATGTCCCATAAAGTATATGTGTAAGTCGTCTTAGTCAGCATCACTATTCGAATCGAACATGAACAATTTGTGTCTTATAAGGTCAGAGCTCCCTCAGTTTTATGTTTTAAGTTGTGGGATCGAAATGGGCGTAGACAAACGTGTTACCTTTGTCCGATAAAATGTAGCTGCACAAATGGTGACAGGAAATCAGGAAACAGGAAACATATAAAGTAAATTTGTCATAGCTAACGAAAACATAATTCTAATTCGAACTTTGGACTAAAATTGAAATCTTTGTGTTGCGAGAGTGTTTAATATTTTACGTGAATATCCTCACCGTGCTTACTTTTGAACAAAAACCGATTATTTTTTGCTCAGTGTATTTGTGCAATAGGCACTGCTGGGCTCCTGTACCCGGAGAGACGCCTGTTCCTGTCGCTCTTTCGGGCAAAAACTAGGAGGAGCCATTGAGCCGGCCAGAGCTGCAGTTCCGTTAAATGCAATAAATGGCGTAAAACTTTGCGGCTTTCCGTGCTGCAGTGTTCCAGTCATCAATACCGGTGCAGGTAGCCGCAGCATGTACCCAGTGCTACCAAATCCACCACCCCCTCCACCCACTGCATAAATCAACTTAAAACGTCAATGAGGGAGGACATTGCATTATTGAGTTGACGCTGGCCGTTGACAGGCTGACTAGCAGCCTGCATCCTGCATCCTGCATCCTGCATCCTACATCCCTCTGCTGGCTTCTGGCTTCTGGCTGCTAGCTGCTAGCTGCTGGCAGTCGGCCGCTGGCCGCACTTATGTCCCTGGACTGACTTCCGTTGCGGGCTTCACCTGGTTCCCGCATTGTGGTGGAACTTGGGTTGTTCGCATTAGTTTGACATTTACTTTGGCACGTCGTTAGCTGAGTGCCATTTGCGACTCAACTGCCACCCTCAACAATCAGCACCACCCACAAAGTGTATCTGTGTGTGTGTGTGTGTGTGTGTGTGTGTATGGGTGTGGGTGTGGGTATGCGAGTGTATGTGTGGTATATTAGAGTGCCGCCTGTTCGGCAATTCAAATAGTTGGAATTGTTTGAGCTTGATTTAGGCGTGCACCACACACTTTACCATACACATACGTACATACAGACAGATGTATATATATACATATATGTACATATAATGTACATACATACATATATAGCCACGCATACCTCAAGCATATTTAGCTTGCCATGTTGGCGTCAACTTATTTGAAGCACTTTAGCGTGGTTTGCATCTTAAGGCAGAACTTCCAGCAGTGTGCGTGATGTTGACGGTGGTGGGTTGGCTTCCATAATGTTTGCGCTGTCGGACCCGAAGCACAACAAATTAAGCCTTTTAACAAACACAAACAAAAGTCCAATTTGTTGCCAAGTTGCGATGATGTCCAAATGGCTAACGCCTTAGAAGTCGCCGAACATTCCACGGATTTCTCAGCGCTCATTTCGCCCAACTTGATACTTTTGACAGTCTGTCTATGTATATATAGGAATACATAGACAGACTGTATATATACATATACATATATATATATATATGTATATCTGTATACATTTGTCGGATTTTGTTTGACTTTTATAATGGAGGGCGCAAGATTTTGCTGATGTTGATGAAAATTCACAAAATTTGAAGCGTGGAAAAATTTCAGTTAACATTCAGCTACGTCATATCTTTTATAGCTGGCTTATGGCCATGCCTGAACAGCAACCTTCAAACCTTCAACAGTGGCATCCGAATGTCGTATAAAATGAGAAATAACAAATAAATATACAAACAAAATTACTAACGAAATTAATGACCCGACACATTAGCCAAATGAAACACGTGTTAAGTATCTATTATCATATTTAAATTACATTTACATTATTTCAAACTGGACTTTTTTTTTGTTTACATCATTTATTAAGCACACAAAGTAATATTATTTCAAATAATTTAAGTATTTAAAAGCTTTACTAGCTTTTACTATACACATATATTATTTTAACATCGATTTATTTCAACTGTGCCACTCTTAATTCATGTATCAGCTGGTTAGTAACATTGGGTTATATGAGTAAATTGATTTTCAATTAAATTTACAAAATGTTCCACTGTGCAGCATGGAAGGCACAAACTGTGGCACACGCCTTACAAACAGCATCGAGCGGATTAATTTGCTCCTTCTCTAATCCCAACATCTTTTGAAAGCCAACTAATAAAATTGCTTGAAAATCTTTCAATTATTAGTTGACACAGAAACCATGCATAAATAGGATAAGCGATTGTGGCTTTGCCAATTATCTCCTCGCTTTAATCTCACCGAAGCCTTTTAGCTATATCCCTGCAGAGGATATTATCCATAACGCATTCAAAGCGAAGCTATCCTGATGAAACTTTCAATATATCCATGATTTTACTGCAAGCGTACATCTGTCATCCGATCAGGAAATATCGGTCGAAATGTGATAAACATGTTTGTCTACCCAGATTTACCTCTTGATGCTCGTGATGTTAAGCGAAATACTTAAGTTATGAGGATAAGGATGTATGCAGCAGTTACTTACTGGTTAAATTTGTAAATGGGAGCAGCTCTTAAGACAGCTTATGGACTTCGTTAGAGGAGTGGGGCAGTGCGTGGCTCTCTGGGAACAGTGGTGCATGGTGTCAGTTTTCTAAGTGAAATTCTCTTTTCGATTTCTTTTAAAAAGTGACTTAAAGTGTTTTGGATGCTGTGTGGTGTAGTACTTAATCTTGGCGTTTTATTGAAATTTAAATATTTAATCCATGGGAGATTTAATGTTTTGCTATCTATGTATAATTGTATTGCTTACTAATGGAGGGTTTCCTACAAGAATTCCACTCTGTTCATTTTTGGTAGTGAGACACTCCCCATAGTTCCGTTGAGTGCAAAACCTGGACTAGATTTATGTCTCTATATAGATAACATAACAATTTGACCATGAAATGTGTGACGCATTTGAATTAGATATCTCAGACACCTCAAAAAATATAAAATATAATAATACTTGAGCACCACCAATCTGAATTATAATTTTAATATTATTATATTTCTTATATCGTCATTATCGGTCCACCATATCATAGAGCTGCTATAAGAACAATCTGTCGAAAAATTTGTATTAAGTTGTGGGATCTGGAAGGCGTAGATAAACATGTAAGCTTTTCTGATACAATCAGCATCTAAATATTAAAGTAAAGAAAAGCTTGCCTGGCAACTCTGTACTCTCGGCATGGTATCTGGCCTATGGTCGACCATGCATAGCACGAGCAGTCAAAGAGACACGAGGACCAGTTTGCTCTCAAGCACTCGAACTGAGCAACAACAAAATTGGGGCAAGAATCGCTGTGAGCGCCGATATGCACATTGCACAGAGAGAGATATAAGGAGAGAGAGAGAGAGGGAGAGAGAGGGAGAGGGAGAGAGAGAGAGAGAGTCGATTTCGCTCGATTTGATATCGCATTAATATGCACATCATGCATATCTGGGTTTCACACTCTTCGAAACACTATCCAAAAAATGCAAAAATCTGCCACAAACCAATCAAAATTCTAGAGGCCTGTCCGCAAATACATACATACATTTGTACATACATACATACATACATACATACATACATACATACGTACACAAGGTCAAACGGAAAGCAAGGCTAGCTCTAGCGAATTTTCCACAGTTTGCACCGTTTACTCTCTGCCTTCCATCATGGAAAGCATTTTATTCAACGCAATTTGCTCCCTAAATGCTTCCCACTACGAACACTTTTCAAGCAGTTGCATTTGAGAGCTTTTGTGGCAATGGAAATTTTTTCAATATTTATTTTCGCGATTCTTATCACCTTAGACTGCTTTTACAGCACATAAGCTACCAGTTGCGTAAAATTTTATTTTTTTATTCATGTATTTTTTTGTATATATTTTGTATGCAATTGTACACAAAGATTCTCTGAAAATTTGTTTACAATGCATCCATCGGCTTATCGGCTATCCGTATTTTGCTGTATTTGCTGTATTTGCACCACTGTGCGAGAGTTTCTTGTGTAAACATATTCCATTCAGTGAGGCCATGCACGGTGTAAGCCAACCCTTGAGTAATCCTAAATAGCTTTAGTGCCCTGGGAACCAAGCAATCATTGCAATTAGAGCGCTCACTGATTATTTATTTAAAGTCTTCGCTAGCTTTCACTGCGGGTTGCCAGGTGCGTCAAATGTGGACACTCCCTCGTTACAAAAAAAAAAATGCCTATAAGCCAACCATGTCGTCATTTCATTTATTTATTTTATTTTTTTTACTTGTACAATTTACAATTGGTATTATACAGTGAACATTCGCTGTTGGAGTGATTTGAGATTTGCACAACACACCAGATAAACAAAAGTAGGCGTTATGCAAACGAAATCAAGAATTCAGCTTAAGTTACGATGTTGGTGCGACATTAGCTTTAGTATGTCAACGGCCACCACAGCACACAGAATGAACCAGTTGGACGAGAATTTGTCCAAGCACATAAGTGGCATACCAACAACAGCTAACAACAAAATGGTCAAGATCGAGGAGGAACAGCAACAGCAACAGCAACAACAACAGCCGGACAGTGCTGTCGCCAAATGCGGAGAACAGCCAGCTGACTTTGAGACAGCCATCGATGCTGCTGGTTTTGGCATGTTTAATATATTGCTGCTTCTTGTGGCTGTGTTCGCTGCGATGGCCACCGTGTATGAAACATCTACCATGTCGTATATATTGCCCAGTGCTGAATGTGATCTGAAGTTGAGCCTGCTTGATAAGGGTATATTGAATGCCATCACATATGCTGGCATGATATCATCGGCCATCTTTTGGGGCTATGTGGCCGATACGAAAGGACGAAAGAAGCTGTTAATATTCGGTTATGTGGCCGATACGATTTGTGTGGTGGGCTGTGCCCTCAGCCAGAACGTGGTACAGCTCCTGATCTTCAAGTATCTAGGCGGTTTCATGTAAGTTGCACTTAACAAATACTAACTCGACGATGTACTTCGATGTACATCTCTAGTATGAGCGGACCCTTTGCCGTACTGATGACATATTTAACGGAGTTTCATGGACGACAATATCGTCAGCGCATTATGATGATGGTTGGCATTATGTTTTGCATTGGCACACTCAGTTTGCCCGGATTGGCCATGGGCATATTGCCGCTCAGCTTGGATATAAACATATGGGGTCTATCATGTGAGTTACCTGCTGCCTGACCTCTGAATCCCCTTGCTTCTAAACATTGTTGCTGTCAGTCTATTATGTTGCCAATCTAGTATTAGATTTAGATGTGCGTAGCTCTTATCTAAGATAATAAGTCGTGCATTATCATATCATCTGTTAACTACAGCTGCCTTTTCCTTCTCTCGCTCTCTCTCTCTCTCTCTCTCTCTCTCTCTCTCTATCATCATATAATAATATTATAAATAAACATAATAAAATAATAAAGGCATAATAGACTCATATTCGTTCTGCAGTTGTCTACTGTTTTTTTTCTTTTTTATTATAGGTACTAACTATTTTATTGCATACACAAAGGGCACAAAATCTTTCCAGTTTCATATTTAATGGCCAATATTGTTGTTAATTGATTGTTCTGTTTGCTGTTGCTGTGTGTCAGTGTGTTGTGTAAATCCCTTCAATTTCCAACACATCCAATTTCAATTTCAGTGTCAGTCATAAATATAAATTTTGAGAATTTCATATACACAATTTGTTGCTAGATGGTAACACCTAGAAATTTATTGCCTCATATTCTCAATTTATATTCTAACAAAAGAGATTAGTTATCTTTGGCATACCATCGTAGACCGGAGTTAATCTGCTGTGAAATGGACTTTCTATATTTGTTGATTTATATATATAAATATATATTTAGTTAAAATCATATTTTTTTAAGGCCGGATATATGACAAGTTTCAAAATAGCTTTAAATAAAATCGATTTTGAAATGGAACAAGATTTTGAAGGGAAAAAATGCTTTGTAATTATTTTATATATAAAATTGAATTATTTTTTTATGAGGTTAATGCTTACAAGTTAAATCTGAATGTTTATTTATCGACAACCAATTCTCATACCGGTTATTCATTCACAGTGCATGCCTGGCAGGTATTTGTCGCAATCACTGCTATGCCTAGCATCTTGAGCTGTGCATTCTTCCCCTTCTTTCCGGAGAGCCCCAAGTTCTTAATGTCTCAGGGACGCAACCAGGAGGCACTGGAGGCCTTCAAATTCATATATGCACTGAACACACGTCAGCCCCGGGATGCATTTCCAGTGAGTTTCCAATGCAATCCTCGAAAGCCTCAAATCGGAAGGTTTCTCTTCAAATTCCGCAGATCAAACAGCTGGCCAATGAAGTGCCAGCGAAACCCAATCCCCAGCAGCCAATCTCCGACCCAGAGTCTGAACCAAACAAGGGCCAGCTGAAAGTGGCAAAGAGCTCACTGCATTCGGGACTACTACAGTTGCGTCCGCTCTTCGTCAAACCCTATCTGAGCCTGTCCCTCATGGTTTACTTGCTCAACTTTTGCGTTCTATTGGGGTAAGACAGAGAGAGACAGAGAGAGAGCTAACCAACCAACAAACGCAACTCATTTAACCTATATGCCTCTACCGACAGGCAAAACACGATTCGTCTTTGGATGCCACAGCTCTTTGCCTCCATTACCGAATACGATCAGTTGATTAGCAACCAGCTGCCGGAGGGCAGCGATGGAGGCACGAGCATTTGCAACATCGTCGAGTTCAGTGTGAATCGCACAAGGGTGCAACTGGATGCAGCTGCCCTCGATAATCCACTGGCCAAATGTTCAGTCAACATTAGCGCCGCCGCATACACAAACAATTTAATTGTGGCCTCTGCTGGCTTAGTCTCTTATATACTCGCCGGTTTCCTGGTCAATCTAGTCGGCGTCAAGCGGATAATGTGTGAGTGTAATGGTCTAAGATTCGAAGATAAATATCAATTCAGGAATAATATGCCAATTGATTTGTAGGCCTGTGCCTCTTCACTGCCGGCTCGTGCTCCTTGGGCATGTACTGGTCAAGCACATCTGCTGCTACAGTGGCGCTGGCTTCTGGATTTGTTACAATGGGCAGCATTGCGGGCACATCACTGATCAGCGCCTCACTCGGCATGTTTCCCACCGCGTTACGGTACAGTTAAAGATAACGAGTTGCACACACCTCTTCTCCCAACCGGTTTACTCATTTCTTTTTCTTTCATCCATGCAGCACAATGATCGTCTCGCTGAGCATGATGGTGGGTCGCATGGGCTCCTTGTCGGGTAATATCTTTTTCCCGGCACTTATGTCTTTGGGCTGTCTTCCACCCTTTCTGATGGTCAGCTTTTTTATGTTCTGTAAGTGGCCGTGTTGTAGTTTCTAATCTTAAAGACTTATTCTTTTATGATTCACGCTTCCTTTTTAGTTGCTTGCTTGCTGGGCTCATTTTTGCCGGTGAAGAACAAGGCGATACTAAAGTAACTCAATTTCCATATTCATCAACATTCAAGGACTGCTTCATAGAGTCGATGATTATTTAAGTTAGTTAGTAGTTGTATTTAATTTTGTGTGATTTTGTTATTTTTTGCAGTTATTAAAATATAATTTATTGCAAAATGGACCTTAGTACGACAACTTGATTTATATGCAATTCCAGCAGCTTGTCAATCTGCATAAGCCTTGTGACCGACACTTGCTAATTGCAGTCACTTATTATTCCTGCTCGTCGCGAATACATTAATGCCGTACTGGCCGAAGCTGGCCAAGAAACTCATAAAAGAAAACTGGGCGAATAATGAAAAACTTTTTCAGCATTGTTATAAAAAAAAAATGTAAAACGCAAGCCATGTAATTGAGTAGATAACTGCGAATCGCAAACCATTTTAATCAGTTTTGTGGCAACATCGTATTTTCCATCCGATAGAGCTGTGGGTCTGGGTCTACCCAAGTGCTTTTCTGATTGTGAAAATACGTGCTTGCTGCCCAGAGACTGAAATGTAAATTGAGCTTGAGGCCATTGCTGTTGTTGCTTAATGCTGGATAAAAATAATTAAAGACGGTTCCAATAATCTGAAAAGCTTATTCTAAATTACTTATTTAAAAATCGGTGTTTTTTTTATTTTTAAATGCGGACCGCAGCATAAATGCTGTATACATTTACACTGATATACGAAATAGAGCAAACATTTTTATCGGTCGTAGCCCACAATTAGCTTTGGCAGGTATGGAGAATTACACGCTTTTTTCTAGAATGTGCGAAGGTCAAGGAAGTCAAGAAATAGATATATATATATATATATATATTTGAATATGTATATATATATGAATGATGATGTGATTACATTTGGCATTCTAGTATATATTATAGATAACGAATAAACTATGTGTACTTAAGGCCATCAGATTATATTTTCACGTGCCCCATGTTTAGCAGCTACTAAATATTGAGTGCTGCTATAATTTGCAACTGTTCTTATCGCAATTAGTCATTGCTCTCTCTCTCTCTCTCTCTCTGTCTCTCTCTATGTGTCTTTTATGTTGCACTATTTTTCTTCGGCCTCACTCGTATATCTTGGACACACACTTTTTGATATATTGTTTGAGGCCATCCAGTCCGGCAAGTGCGGCAACCAGCCAGCCTATCTCTAGCTAAATGGAAATGTTAATTATCTGACAACGAAAACGCTTAAAGTTAATGTGAACAGGCGGCAGTAGGCAGCAATCTATATACACCGTATCTAAATCTGAGATTGAATGGGAACGCATACAGCTTGCGTAGAGAACGATGCCAGTGGCAGCGGCGGTGGCAGCGGTGGCAGCGGCGTCAGCTTGGAACATGATTTCGCAAATGTTTGAAATTAGAGAAGCCGCAAAAACTTTTAATTAAAAACTTGTCGCTTGACTTTGCCAAATGGGGGCATGGTCACACGACCTTATGCAAATCTCTGCTAATAGAACAAAGAGAGATGAAGTGATAGAGAGAGAGAGAGCGAGAGGGAGACAGAGAGAGCGAGAGAAGAATAGACAGAGTCGACGCAAGGCAAGCTACAGGTGAATAAAACATTCAATTTATGTATGAATCCCTACGAAATAAAAAGCAACCTAAAATCTGTAAAATAGCAAATGTTCTTTTTGCTCTAGAAACAATATCGAAATATAGACAAAAAGAAAAATGTTAACTTTAGAAATGCTTGGCAACTGCAAATATATTAAATATGGTGTTTTTTGTCAAAGTGTAGAACGACGACATCAACAGGTTTCTCACATGCATCACCTGAACTACAGCACGCCAGCAAATGCATAAATGGATGGAGGGTGACCTATGGCGAGCACAGTTGGACAGGATGAGTCTCAGCAGCAAGGTGCGCTAGCAACGGCATCAGCGTGAGTATTGCACAGGTGTTAGCCCGCGAGGGGCCAATGCTGTCGCTGGTTGGGTGTAATGTGGCCAATTTAGAGGCCACGCGGGCGACAGTGCAACAACAGCAGAAGGGCGTCCAAGTGCTTAATGTGACGGCGGATGTTACAACGGATGCGGATGCAATAATTCAGCAGACAAGTGCTGGTCAATAATGCCGGCATTCTGGGCAGCGGCCCACTGATCGATCGGGATATGAAATAATTCGACGCGGTGCTCAACACAAATCTGTGCGGCGTCGTTTTGATAAGAAAGGCAGCGTTGCCGCATCTGCTCAAGACCAAGGGCGCTGTGGTTAATGTGAGCAGCTGTTCTGGAATCCGCCCCTTTCCCGGCGCGCTCAGCTATGGTCTATCGAAGGCAGCACTGGATATGTTCACAAAAATCGTCTCATTGGAGGTGGCGCCGCCGGGTGTGCATGTGAATTCAGTGAATCCCGGTTTTGTGGTCACCAACGAACGAGCCCTATGGGCTGATGCTCGAGAGAGCCGTCAACACGCATCCCATGGGCCGTGTGGGCAATCCCTTTGAGATGACCGAGGCCGTTGCGTTTCTTGCTAGCTCAAAAGCTAAAGTTTTATCACCGGCACCCTGCCAGCGGTCGATGGGGGCAAATACAATTATACGCCACGTTAAATCAAACCAAGTATTCTTGATTATATATTTGTTTTCCTTTCTTTGTTTTTCTTCTTTCTTTTATTATTATTATTATTATTTCTCTCTGTTAATCATTAGTGATTTGCAAGTAAAATTAAAGTCATTCAAAATGTAATCAATCTTTAAATATTTCGGCTGCAACAGGTTGAGCCACAGACCAGATAAGATAAGTATGCAATACTACAACTAGACACATCCTCGCCTGAAGAATGCAAACAACCATGCTAATCTTATCGCAAACTCCAAAATATTTGTATATTGGTCGCGCTGGGCGTCCCCTTACGAAAGGGGAACAGAATATATTGGGAATTTGACTTTGAGGCAACTTTGGGACAGATGGAAGGGCTTTAAGCGTGTTGCAAGCTTGAGCAAAGCTTTTCCATATTATATTTCTTGCACAGATTTAACTTCAATTTATAGGACATTAAGCTTCTGCAAAGCTTTTATCGTATACATTGCGAAAAGCAACACTTCTCCAAATAATCAAGATTATTTTTCTATAGAAATCCTATCCAATTTTTTATCCATTACACTTGATGTAAATAAATCTTTCTTGATTTCCAAAATTGACTTTATATATGGCTCTAATAATATGGCAACAAAACAGGTAAATATATCTATATAATAAATAATAAATAATATTTATACATATATATATATATATATATCAACAAGCGAATTATTTGCTCAGATTTTCTGTAAAGAATGACAAATAAATGATCCAATTCGCTGGAATCAAAGCTCCCAAAACATAGTCAAGCTTTAAGCTCGAAGCCATTTTGGCTATATCTTGTCGTCTAGACTGAATTCAATACAATAAACTGACCAGTACAAGTGGGCAATGCCTTCCTTACAAGTATGCCCAGTCAACTTTCCAAGTTTCGATTTGAATCTTCGAAAGCAAAGTCCCAAAAAAAAAGTCTCTCAGCCAATTTGAATGGTTTATGAACTACGCTGCGCTTATCGAAAAGTGGTTTAGTCATTAAAGCTGCAGCAATTGGGGGTTGCAACATGTGGTGTACATTGGAGCATAACTTGCAGCCGCATTTCATGTGAAAAAGCGCTAAAGTTTCTTGGCAGTTGCAACCCTTAAAAGTGAGGCAGAAAAAGCTTAAAGCTCCAAGCAACCCCATCGACAAAGCTCAACTATAATGGAAAATGGACGACGGAACTGGCAGTATTTGCGAAGCAGTCGTCGTGACTGCAATCCAATAACAGCCTATTTGCCTTCTTTGCCTTTGTATTTTATTTTATTTTATTTTTTTTTTTTGTGGCGCACCAACACTCGCGACTTATTCATCCACTCCCCGAACACGCCCACACACACGAATACACACACACACACACACACACACGTAGACATAAATGCAAGGAAATTGCCCAGCTGTTGACAGAACTGAGAAACTGATTGATTTTTCGCAATTGAAACTGGACCAAAAAGCACGTTACAATTGCAATTGGAAAAGGGAAAAGGAAAGGGAAAGGGAAAGGCAAGTGTGGTCAAGTGAACGAGGCAACTGCACTGGCCAGGCACCCATATGGACATGAATGCCACGCTGGCCGAAGGTCAGCCCAAGTCAGCCAGCTGCGACAATAAGCAACAAACAACAGCAACAACAGCAACAACAACATCAACACCAGAAGCAGCTGTCGCTTGTAACGAAAATGAACGACGGCAGAGTCAAGCGTATTCAGATGCAGATCCGGATGCAGATGCAGATGCAGATGCAGATGCAGATGGAGATGGAGATGTGGATGTCGAAGATGAAGCGCAGCCATTGAGCCAACGCTGGTCGCCATTGGGCGCCAATTATGATGATGCGAATAGTGTCAGCTCGGAGCTGCTAACAACATCCGGAGACGGTGAGCTGGAGCCAACGATGCATAATAGCCTGCAGCTGGAGAAACAGTCGCAGCAGGCGGCTGGCATGGATAATGCCAATGAATTGGCGCGTCTGCGCACCATTGAGGAGGAGCAAGAACTGCTGACCAGCTCACTGCTGGCGTTGACCTCACAGTTTGCACACGTCCAGCTGCGTGTCCGGCAGATTGTCGAGGCGCCCACGGATGAGCGGGATCAATTGTTGCGTGATCTCGAGGATTTTGCCTTTCAGGGCATACCCGAGGTGACCCAGACGGATGGACAAGACAACGACCCTGATGGCGACAGGCAATTGCAGGCACCACCCGATGGACAGCTAATCGAGCAGCTAAAATTACAGCTAACCGAGCTGGAGCAGCTGGCATATGATTCAGGTGCGCCAGGCATCTTGCCACAGCATGTGCTGCTCGAGAAGCAAAAGTTCATACTGGACGAGCTGCGCACTAAGCTCAATCTGCAAGTGGAACAGCATCAATTGCCAACATTGAGCACCGATCAGCTGCGCCATCAGGTGGATAATGCAATTGGTGAGTTTGTTGGTCCGCTCAAAATGAAGGAGCAGCTGGTGGCCCAATTGAAAACTCAAATCACCGATCTGGAGCGCTTCATTGCATTTCTGCAGTGCGACACCGCTGGCGGTGGCACCAGCAACGGTGGCAGCGGTGCCACCACCAGCGCCAGCGAGAAACTAAAGCTACTCAGCGGTGCCTACAACAGCTATGCGGCCAAGCAAACGGCTCGGCAAATGCCTGCCCAGATGCCGCTTATGATGTCAACCACAAGCACAACAACCACTGCAACGGCAACGGCAACGGCAACAGCAACAACAACGGCAACAGCAACAGCAGCAGCAGCATGCAACAACAGCATAGCTGCAGGAGTCGGTACATCCACGGAGCGTGCACCACAACGCGAAAGTCTGCACAGCAAGGCGCACGGATTGCTCGACAAGGCATCGCTCCTAATGCAAATGTTTGCCACGACGCACTTTGCCAAGCGGCAAGCGGACTTCCAACAAAACACGCTGAAGAAGACGCACAAGGGCAACCACTGGGGGTAAGAATAGATAGATTAAACACACATTCCTGCACGCCTTGCAGGAAGTGCAAGTTCACGTCCAGTTGACAACGAAATTTCTTTATTTGACAGGGATCTGCGCGCACAGCTGGAGGTGGACATCCAGGAGGTGGCTGCATTGGCGGCCACATTAAGCTGCGATCGCGAAAAGCTGGCGAACATAAAGCGTGCACTGCGTCAACAAAAGCTGCAACAGCAGCAGCAGCAGGCGAATGCAGCCAGTTGCCAGTGGCTGCCCAGTGGCTCAGTTGATGCAAAGAACGGGGCATTAACCACATTGCCGCCACGTTGCAGGCGTGCGGTTGCCGCTGTTGTCGGACATGAGCTGACGCCATATGCCGCTGGGGCAGCATCGGGCTCATCCGACTCGGATGACGAGATGTACGAGCGTTATGATTGGGACAAGGACAAAGACAAGAAGGACAAGTCGCTGGGACGTCGCATTGTTCATATGCGCGGTGATTCCATTGCCACCATTGGACGCGAGCTGACCAGTGTGGTGCGTAAGAATTTTGCTCGCACTCTGCAACAGCTGATGCAGCACGGACTGCGCATCCCAACCGAGTCGGCTGCCTCCAGTTTGATGGTGCCATTCATGCGTTGCCTGCATCCGGGCGCACAGCGGATGACGGCAACGGGTGCTGGTCCGGCACCAGAAATGCAATTCCTTGGCATTGGTCGCGCCATGCACGCCTGGGAGCTAATACTTGAATACTATAATCTGAAGAATGGTGAGGAATATAACAATACGCCGGCCAGGAAACTGTCGCAAAGCTTCCAGCTAGATATTGTCGATGCGCATGCGGTGACAGCCAAGCAGAGCCTCCTCAGCGCCATCGGCATGATTTTGGCAATGCATCTACCCTACAAGCGCAGCTACAATGCCCACTTCAAGGCACTAATCTGTGCAGGACTCAAGTAAGTGCATACACTGTACCTATACATGTATATATATATATATATATATATATATATATCATAGAAATGATTTCTTGTTTAAAAAATATATTCAATTATTTTATAGCTGATCGATCTTTCTTATTTAATTCATGTCAGTCGACACAGGTAAAAGCTAGATTCAATAAAAATTAATATTAAATTTTAATAAAAAAATAATACAAAATATTTAGAAGATTTCTGGGGTTTTCAAATCCAAAATGCCCAGAAGAAAAAAAACCAGTCAAATATGTTTCTTTGTGACATTTAATATATTTGATATAACAAAACTCGACCGACAATTGAGTTTCTATCTGATCAAACATAATTATAATTAAGTCTAAGTTGAGCTTGCCTTACATTGTGCCTTAGCTCTTGTTTAAGCAGCAGTTATGTTGTTCAAAATATCTTGACAAAATTCAAGAACATAGAATTCATTTACTTTCTACATTTAGGATATGTTCGCAGTGTTATTAAATTACACATTACACGTTAACCTGGAGTTTTCCTGTGTTTACACATGTGCGGACCATTTTAACTAATATTATTATTTTCAATCTTATTTTAATAAATATTTTTATTTTTGATTCAATTCATTGTTAAGTCTTTTGAAGTAAGTGGAATAATTAAAGTAAAAGTATATCTTAATTCGAATATTTGCAGTGCACATCTTCTAGTGGAGTGGCTCAATCTAATACTCAGCTGCAATGAGCTTATTGACACATACTACTCGTCCAACAGCTATGTTGCATGCACCGGCTTCCGTGACTCCTTGCGATCCATTGATACACTGTCAAAATTTGACTTCGATCTACCCGTGGATTTGGCCATACGCCATTTTCGCAATATTTAATATATATATATATATATATATATATATATATATATATATATATATGAATAATTTGTTTGTTCTTTTTTGCTCCCTCAATGAATGAAACTAGTCCAAATCATAATTAATATAAATGTATAAATATGTGTATATACTTTAGATATGTCCAATTAACTAATACCTACTAATACAATTATTAAACCTAATGCGTGAGACTAACTAACTATTGAAATTCACTGGTATAAAACTGATGGATGCACTGGCTCAGCTTATCGCCCAACGGCCGCTGCAGTGGCCCACAGCTCAATGTGGCCAGTAGCAGACTCGCCTCGGTCACATCCTTGCAATCGGCATACGCATCGAGCAGCAACCGAGGCGTTCCATATCGCTCCACAATGGCCAGCGCCCGGTCAAGGGATAGCGAGTGCAGCTGCAACAGCTGCTGGACAAATACCTCGCGCACCGTCAATTGGGCATTGCGTGCGGAATCCTCGTACAGAGCCCGAAACTTGAGTAGACCAACAGATGGGCAGCGGCTGGCCTCTGTCTGTGCCTGTCCCTTCAACTGGCTCTTGTCACTGACACTGTGCAGCGACACATTGGCCTGCACATAGAGCTGCTGCAGTGCGCCACTTACTCCACTCAGATAGCACATGGAGCGATAGTGATTATCACTGCGCACCACCTGAATGCCAGCGGACTGGATACGTGCATTGACCAGCGCCTGCTGCAACGAGTCGAGCGGCAGACCCAGCTGCTCGTTGTCGCCATAATCCTCGATCAGATAGATAATATGCGGCAGTCCGCACTGACTCAACCGATGTTTCTGTTCGTGGAAGCGGCCATCGCGTATGCTGCTGGCCAAATCATCCATACGCTTGCGCTCCACAATGTACGGCAAGACCAGCTCATTGCCAGCTGCATCGCACGCTATCCACACAAAGTCACCGACTGTCAGCCGTCGCACTTGGTGCTCTACGGCCAAAGATTGCAGATAGTGATGCGTCTGATCCAAGACGCGTTTATTCTTACCACTCGTCTCTTGCGTATCCACGAGCAACACAATCCGATAACTGCCCGCTGGCATGCCCACAGCGCGCTCCCGTTCCTCGACTGCTGCCTGTTCCTGTTGTGCCTTCTTTGTTATCTTTTTGCGCCTCGGCTGCTGTTTTAGATGCTGCTGCTGCTGCCGTTGCTGTTTTTGCACGACTTTGACCACCTGCTGCACCTGTTCCTGATATTGCACGCTATCCACAGCTGTTGTCTGACCAGCCAGATGCGTGTGTTGACGTAGTTCATCATCGATCAGCTGGCAGAGCGTGGCGCCAAATCCGCGCAGCACGGCACATTCGCGGCCGCTATACAATGGCAGCGGATAATTGTGTAACGCTTGCAGTGCCTGTCGCAGCCTGTGCTGCGATTTGCGATTACGTTGCTCGGCCTCGTCGAGCCAACGTTGCAGCCAACGTTTGAACAGCGGATTTGGTTCCTCCAGTCGAATGTCCAAGCGTGTTTCCATGTTTTGCGCCAAACTACGAAATGCAGTTGCCACCCAGCTGGAGATGGTATGCGTATTAGTGTGAATGACAAAAGCAACCAGTTGGCTATTCGCGCCGCCATCTATTGCCAATTTGTAAAAGACTGAATAATAAACCTCAATAACACAATTACAACAAAAATTCAGTGAAATTTTAAGGTAATTCTTAAATATAAAAATTCTGAATTCGGCACTTGCATGCATTAAACATTTTTTTGTGAAAATTACAAGCAACGTGTGCCGCCACCTGCTGGCAATTTTGAAATTCTTAATACCATACTACCAAAAAAAGAATGTCAAAGTTACCATACTTCGCGTTGCCAGTGCTGCCAGCTTGTGCTACTCGTCGAAATGTGAATGCTTAGAGAATGCATAGCATGCGAATTTGAAGACGAAATATGCGCCAAACCGCATTCCCAGCATTGATGCATCCATCTGATGGTCTTGGAATAGAGCGAGGGCATACAAGACTGCTGTACTCCTGCTCTAGAGGAGGAGCACAGCTATGTCAATAATCTGACGGTCACCGTGTTCCAAACACTGGACACATTCTAAGTGAATCTAATCGCATGCGGTATCTCGGCCAAGTCGGGTGTCGGCCTTGCCACGCTGATGAACCACATCCTCGACTGCGACTCGTCAGCAAATACAAGTGCGACTAAAGTGTATGGAGAAGATGTGACAGCAAAGCTTGGCCTATCCGCAGCCAGAGTGTCGTACAAAATCATTCGACGTCACAGCAAAGTAAACGTGATGAGCAGCATCACGAATCCATATCCTAACGAAAATAGCATTCGTAATTAGTGAGACACGCCTAAAGCTGATATTTTATAAAGTGGCCCGATCTGGTCGAAAGAAGGATATGTTCGCAGAAAGTAGCCAAACAGGAGAAACGAACAAGACTACATCAACTCTAGTCTAGTGATGTTGATCAGGAATATGCAGAGAGAGAGAGAGAATATATACTCTTATATTAATAGTATCTATAAATATGTTAAATAATATAAAATTATGAATACAACTTTTATATATAATGCAGTTAGTTTGTTCTTTAATTTTATTCACTTCAACAAGCAAAAACATTCAATATAGTGTTGTGTTCATTTTGGATTTTTTCTTTTGCATTTTGTATATTTGTTGTATGTATCGAGTGTGTATTGTGTGTGTGTATGTGTATGTGTGTGTATGTGTATGTGTATGTGTGTGTATGTGTATGTATGTGTGTGTATGTGTGTGTGTGTGTGTGTGTGTGTGTGTGTGTGTATGTGTGTGTGTGTGTGTGTGTGTGTGTGTGTGTGTATGTGTGTGTGTGTGGATAGTTCTCTGGGGTATATGGACATAGTTGTTTAGCTTCGCAAATTAATTGTAACAATTACAGTGATATATGGCGGATATATGTATCCATTTTGGAATCTTTGTTTTGCTTTTTAGATAATATTTGAATATATATATAAATATATATATATACATATATATATATATATATATATATATATATATGTGTATATATATGCACCTGCATGCCGTTTTGTATGTAAATGCAAGCCGTTGTTTCTTTTTTGCTTATTCTTAGAGCATATACTATGGATATACATACATATATATATATATATATATATATAGTAAATAGTATAGTATGATGAGCAAATCAATTTTTTGAGTGCACTCTGCCACGCCCAACTCACCAGCTTGCCGTCCATACACACAAATGTTTGTTAAATATTACGCTTACAAAAATACAGATCATCTCAAATTACAAATACAACTCTCAATGATTCACAGTTATATATAGATCGACATACAGTTAATACGTAGTATTACATACATATTCATAAATATATATATATATGAATATATATATATAGTGTATACAGTGTACATAGTATTTCATTTCATTTTATTTTATTTTTTTTTCATATCATTCCTATCCAATCAAACTATGATCTCTTCAGCCGCCGAGCTCGCTCACACTTGATCTAATTCTATCTCGTCCATTCAACGCGTACATAAATATGTATCTTTGTATCTAACCCTAAGCTCCCATTGCGCAGCCCAATCTTTCAATTCGAGAAAGAAAGAAAAAAATAACTTAATACTAACGATTCAAAACTGCATTATTTTTGTGCTTGAGAGTTTCTTTTTTTTTTTAAGACTGGACTTATTGATTACATAAGTATGTGTTGCCTATTTTAGTGTGCTAGAGGTCTGCACCCCTCCCTGCCCCTTCACGTTGCCGTCCCTACGTGCGTTTATACGTTGCAACGTTTCGCGATAAGCTTTTCAGTTACGCGCATCAGCGCTTTCCACACACAATATTTGTCTTTTAAATGCATGTTAAGCTTAAGAATCTTGCATTATTTGTGCTAAGAATTAAACATACTTACATATATATATATATACTGATATTGTATAGCTCTATATATGTATTTATGTATGTAGTTTACGGAAATAGGCACACACATACAATACACGCACACTAAGAAAATGAAAAAATAGAGTTTGTGCAGATAAAAAATGATTGGTATTATGTAACAGCTTACGTAAAGAATCCTAAATATGTTTTCAAGAAACAGTCTTTTCTAAGTTTAATGTGTTTTTTTTAAAGGTTTTTTTTTTTTTGTTTACTTTGGAAACATAACAATGAAAATTGCTTGAGTGTATTTTTAATTTAATTTTGCCAATTTTTAATTTCATTATGCGGCTGCTTTTTTGTTTCATAGCTTAGCTTGGACATCATTTTTGAAAATGTTTAGGTTCTCAATATATAATATATGCTCTTAAGTATAAACCAAATACAAATACGAAAATATGTGCACGCATTTAACAATGTATTTTAATATTCATGCATTTCAATATGTATGTATTCACTGGAAAATTAGAACTTGCTCAAATTTCAATTTGTATTTTTAATGCATTAAACATTTGAAAATGCAAATTTTTTTTATCTACTTTTTACACACTATACAAAATATAATTTCCAAGCTTCCAAAGATTAAAAAAATAAAATAAAAAACAAAAAAACAATTTTCCAATCACAATGATTTTATATTTATTGTATATATAGAAAATAAAACTGATTTCGAAATCGAATTGAATTGAACTGTTCAAGAATGACTAGAAAGATTTACATACATACTTAGTATTGAATGTAAATATATGTTTTGTTTCAAGAAATTATAATTATTATTCTCTGTTGATGGAGAATGTATTGTGCACATACTTGAATATCTGCATAAGGTATATTTGATTAAAATATGCTTATATATTTTTCTTGTGGCATCAAGCTTTGTTCTCTTAGTTTTGGGTTTTTTCTTCTTGATCAAAAGGGTTTTTATCTATATATGTATATATATATATATTTATATATATATGCCTGTATATGTTTTGTATATTTCGTAAAAATATGTAAATACATATAGTAAATACAGGACAAAAAAACAAAAAACATCAAAAAGCGAAAAAGAAAACAGATGAAATTGTTGTTCTGGTTTTATATATAGTAAATATCTTAATCATCGTCGGACAGATTTGTTGTTGTGAGAAGTGTGGCATTATCCTCGGCGCCCTGCTCTTCGATATCCTGCACGAAAGATAAGATATACAAAAGAGAAGCGTGCATTTAGTTTATGATATTATCAATTCACATTTATACTTATAGATCACAGAGTTCCCCCACCTGTTGCCCAATCGTGTCCCAAAAATAGTTACAGCTTGTTTGTTGTTGTTTTTTCTTATACAAAATATATATATATATATCTCTATATATTTAGCAATCTGTATTTGTTTTTTTTTTATTATTTTGTTTGTTTTTTTTTTTTTACATTTTGTTAGGACGTATAAAACCACACGATCAAAATGGTAAACTAACATTAACAGTACTCGTTAAACACACACACACACACATATATATATATATATATATGTATATATATATGTACATATGCATATAGTATTAACAATTCAACACATATATACATACACATGCATGCAGATTACATTGCTTTTCTTATTCTCAACTACACACACACACACAGCCACACACACTCTCGCACACACATACACATACACACACACACATACACGCAAATAGAGGTACGAAAACGCAATTTTTGTTCGCATTATTTTGAATTCGGTTTTTGTAGCATTCTTGTATAAAAATAAAAAAATTTGTTTATTTCAAATAAAAAAATAAGATTTGTAATTAATAATAATTATGGTATAAAAATAATAAAAAAAAAAAAACAAAATTAAAAAATTATACTTAAAATGAAGCAAACATTGCAGTTTGAATATTTAAGAAAAACTTTCGCTCTCAGAGAAAATTGTATGTAAATGCATCGCGACAGTACAAAAATGTTTTGTATGTTGTTGTTGTGTGTTGTGTGTTGCGTGTTGTTTGTCATTTGTTGTGTGTTGTGTGCTGTGTGTTGCTTAGTGTATATGCAGTGGCTTGAGTTTGCTGATAGTCTGTTGTTTCGATTGTGTTTTTGTTGTTGTTGCAGTTGTTGTCTATGTTTTGTTTCAGTTGCTTGAGCGTCTGGAAGTGTGCGGAAGATTTTGTTGTTGCTTGGTGCATGTTGCATCGGATTCACTTGAGCTTCTGCTTGACAGGGCTGGGCGACGCCTGATCCGCCTCGGGCAGATCGCTCTCCTTCTTGCGCTTCACCTTGTCCTTGTTGGGCGCCTTCACCTTCTTCACCTGCGCCGCCAGCAGTTTGGCCTCCCGTTTCGCTTCGCGCGTGGCCCGCAACTGTTCCGTGATGAACGAGAAGACCAGATAGCCCTGCAGGGCAATCAATCCGATTAGCGAGACGAGGGCACGCAGCTTATAGCTGCCACCGGCAGAGCCGGCAATCCCATAGTACAACGTCAGCACACCAATCACCGAGGTGGCAAAGCGTGCCACCACAAAACAGGCGCTGTTCACAATGCGAACGCGTGCCAAACGCTCCTCGCGATCGAATACGCCAATCAGCTGGAAAATGTGCGCGATCAGCTCGCTGGCATAGTGCAATGTGAGCAGAACGAGCGCCAGACGCTGATAGCTGAGCGTATAGGCCAATACGATCAGCGTGAAACCGCTAATGGAATGTATAATCTTCGGCTGTTGCTCCTCCTTGGCGCGTATCTTTTGGAAATATAGTTCCGGCAGCATATGCAGATAGTATGACAGCTGAATGATGAAATAGAATTTGTGCAGGAAACTCATCGGATGCTCCGGATAGCCTTCCCACAGCTGGGCCACCTGTCCAACGTAGCCCTCGCGCAGCGCCACATGTGCACCCCAAATCAATGAGAGCAGATAGAAGGCGACCAGTTGGCCGGATTCATTGAAGCGTGCCAACTTGAATTTGGACAAATGCTGACGCTTGCTAATCTTGTCCAGCACAAACTCCTGAATGATCGCATGCATAATGATGCAGGTGAGCGTATAGAAGAATATCGCACAATAATCCTTAATGCCGGCCACATACGTATACGGTTTGCCATACGGCTGCTCGCGACTTGCCTCCACGCCGCTCACATTATGATGCAGCGATATGAATGCGCTTGCAAACGATGCCGTCGACTCGTTCATTAGGCCAACAACAAAGACCATTGCCACGCAGGAGATGATGTCCGCATGGTTCTGGATGACAAACTCATGGCTCAATATCGGTGGATTCTTATTTGTTGGCTTTCGTCCGATTCCTGGTTTGATGGCCATTTTGATTGTTCGTTTATTGCTTCTTCGGTTGTTGTTATTGTTGTTGTTGTTGTTGTTGTTGTTATTGTTGCTATTGCTGCAAAGTGTAACGTGTGTTTAGTTTAGTTTCAGTTTTGCTCTCTTGCTCTGGCTCCCTCTTACGATTTGTGTGTGCGTGGCGCTTGCAACGTCAGCAGCAACAGCAGCAGCAGCAGCAGCTGACAGCGTCTGCGGCGGTTTTATGGCCATGTGCATGCTGTGTTGCCTCTGCCAATTGGCCTGAGGAATCAGTGCAACAGCAGCACACACATACACATACACACACAAACACATACAGTCACACACAAGCACACACACACACACACACAATCACACACACACAAGCATGCACTACAAATTTGCCTTGTTGGCACAAACAGGCACACACACACACACCAACACACTCGCACACTCGCACAAACACACACACACACAGCGTAGAGAGAGCGCACGCAAGCAATTTCTTTTTTTTTCGTTTTTTTCTCTTTTACTCGCTTTTGTTGTTGTTGTTGCTTACAGGATTGAGATTTGTTGCTGCAACTTGCTGACGTAGGCGTCGTCCAGTTGTGTCTTCTGTGTGTGTATTTTGTGATTTTCCTCTTCCAAAATTTATTGTTTTTACTTATTATTATTTATTTATTATTATTATTATTTTCCTTTTTTTTTCTCCAGTGCGCCTGTGTTGCAGCCGCCTCTGCTGCCTGCCTGCCTGCCTCTGCCTTTTTTTTTGGATTAGCTGCTGCTGCTGCTGCTGCCGCTCACCTGTGCGTGCGTGAGTGAGTAGTAGTGACTGACTGACTAACTGAGTGACTGACTGACTGAGTGACTGAATGAAATGTGTGGCTACGTTTCACCAACAGCGCTCTGCGAATGCCAAGGCGGCCTGCTAGCCAACTACAGAGCCAAGCAACAACACCAACACTAACAACAACAGCGTTGCTGCCAGCAGCCGCAACAGTCAACAAAAAAAAATAAAAAAAAAAACTGCCACGCAAACGACTCTTGGCTCCAACGTCGCGTTATTGCTGTTGTTGTTGTTGTTGTGTTTGCTGCTGCTGCTGCTGCTGCTGGTTCACTACCACTTGTTCACGTTGTTTGTTTATTGCCTGCTCGCTTGCACTCGCACAACTAAGCGTTAGCGTATTGCCGGCTAAAGTCAAGCGCTCTCGTTTTCACACAGAGCCCAGAGCGCCACACAATATTATGTTGGGGGGGCGCCCACTCGCTCGGCCACGATGTCCGTTTTCATTTTCGTTTTGCTTCGTGTGCCAGCCGACCGTGACGTGTATTTTGTTGTCTGTTCTCTGTTATCGATATCGAAAATATGCATCATCAGTGGTTTTACAACTCTGATTTTGCTTGCCATGGGCACAAGGAAAAAGGTCGCTAATCAGCGCACATAACATTTGCTGTCACATATTCACAAAAGTTTTCTTATCGCATTTTTTCTCATATATTTCGGCTGAAATATTTTATTTCCGCAAAATAAAAATATTTTTTGGTTTTGCAGACAGCTTCAAATATACATTTTTCAGATCAATTCATTCACAATTTGATGTTGACGTCATGCGCATGGCAAATGCATATCGAATGCTTGCACGCAGAGTTGCCTCGCTCTCAAACATCTTGACATTCACATTGTTGCGCGCACATTATACACTGCTTGAAAGTAACGCTTTATATTTAAATACACGTTTGTAAGATTATTTCCATATACGCACATACTTTTAAAGTTTTTCTTATAATTTATAGCGGTGGTTATTAAATACTTACATTAAATCTAAGTAAAAATGTATGCACATATACCTTAATGTCAATCATGACTTATTTTATTCATTCATTCAAATACTTGTGTAGCCTTTCATACCACAGTGCTTTTTATTTTTATTTCAAAAGTATCATTTTCATATTCTCAATAGACACTAACCGTCTATCGGTAAGTTAGTCTCTCAGTTTTGAATTCTTGTTGATGGATCTGGAAAAGTCGGCCAGATCAGAGCACAACGTTCAGCTATTGTAATTTAAGCTTTGTAAGCTTCAATTACGTTCCAGCTTCTTACGTTCCAAAACATAAGCTTCAAAATATTTATTGTATCGCCTCTTTTGGCATTTTTTGATCCACGATTTGTGTACGTGATTTAAAACTACTTATATATATATATATATATATGGTAATTAAATGGAAATGGTTTACTCACGTTTCGGTTTCGCTTGCGCACGGAGGACACAATGGTGCGCTTGTTGCGTGCCACCAAGCAGACCGTTATAATTAAAATCATGCCAATAAGTGCAAATCCAAGTAGAGCGGGCAACAGCACGCTATCCTCAGCCTTGTAGCCCTGCCAGGGAGAGAGAGAGAGCGAGAGAGTGGAGATGGAATGTGAAATATGGAACAGCGACCGTATTAATCCAAGGTCCAACCATAAAAGGGGAGCCTCTCGACACTTACCGACCACGGGCCATATGCGGATGGAATATAGGCCCAGCGTGTGCTCATCCAAGCGTTGTTGTTATTGTTGCTGTTGTTGCTTTGAGTCTCATTTGTGTTGTTTGATTGTAGTTGCTGCTGCTGTTGTTGTTGTTGTTGTTGTGTGCTCTGCGTCTTGGCCAGTACGGGCGGCATTATTGGCTTCTTGGCTGTGGACTTCAGCAGCGGTACTTGTATAATGCGCGTGGTTATCGTTCCTCCCAAACGATTGCTCAGCGGTGGTGCAGTTGAGAATATCGGCAGTAGCTCAGTAGTTGCTGTTGTTGTTGGTGCTGCTGCTGCTGCTGGAGGAGTAGCTGTTGTTGTAGTTGTTGTTGTCGTAGTAGTTGTTGGTGTTGTTGTTGTTCTGCTTGCTGAAATAGTTTTGTTGAGCTTCAGTATAAACTGTTCGACGCCATTCCGATTAACAATCTGCACAGTTTTGCCAACAGCATCCACTGGAGCGGTTGTTGTTGTTGTTGGTGGTGCTGCAGGTGGTGGCGGTGCAATATGCTGTTGCTGTTGCTGCTGCTGATGCTGTTGCTGTTGCTGCTGTTTCTCGCCGCTGTGCGTGAAGGCCGCCTTCGTTTTGAGGAACCATTCTGTGGGACTGGGCAAACACTCGGCGGACACCAAAAATGGTATCAATACGGCGCCAATGATCACCGTGCACACAAAGATCAGGCCAAGATACGCAAAGGACGATGTGCGACGTTTGCGTGGCGTTGAGCTGCTCCGCTTGCCGCCACCACCAGCTGCCACGTATCGGACGAGGAGGAGGCGGAAGCAGAGGTGGCGGCGGAGGCGGAGGAGGAGGAAGCGGACGCCGAGGCGGACGCGGATGAGGAGGATGAATTAGATGAATTGGTGGCATTCGCTGCTGACAGGCAGCTGGAGTTTGTCAATTTGCCCTCAATTCGAAAATCGTCATTTTGCGGCAGTATCGTGTATTGCAAACTGTTCTCGCCATGTCGAATTGTTTTGTACATTTTGCAAATACTCTTTTTCTCTCAGTTGTCCTTTTAATTGTTTTTTTTTTCGGTAACTAGTTATGTTGAATTCTTACAGCAACACTTTTTCGTCCTGTTTCTGAATTTACAAATTTCAGTTTACGCTTTTCGCTGTTGTGGCAATTGTTTTTACTGCTGCTGCTACTACTGCATGCATGCTCCTTGCGCACCAATTTTATGTTTTTATTGATTAAGCGTTGTTGTTCTGCCAGCTTGCATAGACAGAGAGGGAGAGAAAGAGAAAGAGAGAGAAAGAGCAAGAGAGAGAGAGCGAGAGAGAGAGAGATAGAGAGCGAGAGACATAGATGAGCAGCAGGCAAACTGAGATTAACTACAAATTTTTAGCGCAGTCGCATTTTGTATTTAACGCAGTGTGGCAAAATTCATAACGGTTTAATATATGCACCTGAGTAGTGCTGGAAAACACATACATGTATATGCACTGCTTGTCTGTAAAAATATATCAATACTTCGCCATACTGACAAACAAGATGGCGAAAAATTTGAAAACAAAATAAATAAATAAGAAAAAAACAGAATACAGCTGATATGCGCCCGCATTTGCATCATCTGAAATTGAGAATGAGCCCAACAAAATTAAGGCACTCCTCCAACTGAAACAATCAAACGGCTGCCGGCTACATGAATAATTTTCTTCGTTTGTCAGACTATCCTTAATGCCTTTGCTAAAGAAATGACTTGTGTAATTTATTTAGTTTTTTTTTCAATTCAACAGAAGACAGCTGCAATTTGCATACGCTTTAGTCATACATGGGATGGAGTAGGTTGAGTGGACACATAAAGCAGCAGATGAATTCACAATGTAAGATTTCTAAAGTAATGTTGGGTAGTGCGTGTCCTTCAGAGATCCTTCATTTATAGGAATCTAAGTAGACTAAGTGATGTAAATCTAAGCATGTTAATTAAGCTTAATCGCTTAATATAATTTATAAATAACACTGTTCAGATATATGTATTACAATTGAAAACAACGTTTGACAGAAATGACAAGATAATTTTCAGTGTTTTCGTGGCAACAACAAATTTTAAATATTATTACTTTTATAATTAGAAAACAAACCGTGTACAAAATTATACACAATAATTGATGGAATTTAACTTCGTTAACTCTTTTACCTCAATGGCATAAGAAATAGATATTTAGGATACCAAAAGTTTGTCTGCTCTGTAAGGCCATTCATTCAAATTTAAAAATTTATGAAAACGATAAGCACTAGCTACATGCAATATACAATCAAAGAAATCAACTTAAGAGTGACAGAAAATCAGTATTAGAATATTGAAGATGAGCTCTCGTTTCAATCATTTCTGTTGCAACACGAACTACTGTGGGGCCAATTAAGCGATTGAGGAGCAAATAAAATATGTTATATATATCTGCAATAGCTATATATTATTGTATCAAGTAACAATCAAATTTTCAAGCAATTAACCCAAAACTAACTTAATAATTCATTCAAATGGAATCGATTTTCATAAAAAGAAAAAGCTTTAAGTACATGAAATGTGTTTGAGATAAAAAATACGAAATCGAAAAAGATGCGAATTAGATTTGTTTTTTCAGTCAGTGTGCACTTAGTCACAACACATTTGACACTGACTTAACCTTGCCTTGGAGAATTCACATTTTTCTATCGATTTCTCAACAGTCGAGTCGTTTGAAATCCCAAAGAATATACATATCACCAAACACAAGACAATTAAGGACTATAGGCAAATAAGTACGCGAGCTCTGCATAATTTACATACGTTATTCGAGTTAGCTTGATCATCTAAATTCTGAACATTAACAAAACCATGAGTCATCGCCAAGAGCAGATGAAGATGTTCACCGAGGATGCGGTTGTCAAACTGGTGGAGTGCGCCAAGCGCTTACAATTGAGCAGTGTGCTAACTAAAGAGGCGAAGGCCGAGCGTCTCCCAAAGGAGTCCGGGCAGTACAGCGTACTGACGATGAACGAGCAGAAGCGCAACCCGGAACACATCCGTAGACAACTGGGTACCGCCAATCGAAAGCTACGCCGACCGGATGGTGATGTGGTGCCATCGCCAACACCACCGCCGTCGCCACGTGAGCGAGACAATCTGTCCGAGCTGAGGGATGATTACATGGAGACCGCTCAATTGATCGATCAAATCAAATTAGAGGCAAAGATGATCAATGCGGACATGCTGTACTGTGCGCAGCACCATCGCGATATAACACTCGTGCAGGAGATCGAATTGGAGACGGTCACACGCTCGTTGAACTCGCTTGACTCGCTCGCAGGCAACTTGGGTGCGCAACTAGAGGGCAATGAGTTTAATGATATCATGCAGCGCTGCAACAACGCTCTGAAACGCTTCAATGATCGAGATTTCATAAAGTTCGAGGGTCCAGCCGATTTCGCACACATCAAACAGGCCATCGCCAATTAGCTGGAGGTGGATCCCATCGAGCGAATAGGCTTCACGCACTCAATTTACATTCTACTTTTAATAACCTATGATTGGGTCATGCAAATGTGTGTGTAATTGACAAAAGGAATTATATGTTAATATTTATGCAATTAATCAGTATCGATCACAAATTGGAACATACAAGTTATTCTTACTGTTTAGGTAAACTCGTCGATCCTTTCCAAATTTTAAATAAACAATTTATTACATTTGACAGCAACAAATCTTTAATTTGTTTGAATATTTTAATTTGGCGCCCTGCGCGTCATAATAATATAATGTTCGTTATTAACTTGTAATTACATTTGCAGCCGCCAGTGTTAACAGCATCTCGTTGTGCAGCGCTCTCTCTCTCTCTCTCTGTCTATCTCTCTGCAAAGAGTGATCGGCGATCTGCCGGCTGCTGCAGGGAAACATGCAATTTGTTTTTGTTGTTAGAAGGCTTAGCGTTTGCTTCACGACTCAGCATATAATACAAAATATATAATAAATAAATACAAATGAATAATAAATATAATAAAAATAAAGCTATCGAAAAGCTGATGGCGCAAACCTTCTGTATTATCATAAATGACGTGTATCTTGGATATGTTTACAGGGTACGTAGCTAGTCGAGCACGATCGACAAGGTCAGTCTTATTTGTTTTGGGCGCATGAATCATTTGCAGTGAATCTTATCAGCCCATTGGCTCATTTGCCAATTGTTTTTTCATTCGTTTTTCTTCTCTAATTCTGAGAGACTATATCAGTTTGGTCCTTAAACCTGTCAATATAAGCATTTAAGTAATGATCCGGAAACTGCACCAACAATTTTACCTGCACTATACACATATATATAGGTATAGACAAAGACTTAGAAATAGATATAAATATAGATATAGATTTAGATATGGAAATACATACAGATACCGCTTCATTTTGTCCTAGATCCATATAGATACCAATGTAGAACATGCTATAATTACTTACAACTATTGAGATACATCTCTGAGTAAGCACATCTGTATTTGCTAAATACATGAACTAGATATAGACAAACATACGTATTTTATTTGTTACCATAATATAAAAAACAATATGGAATTGAAAATAAAACATCTACAGATCAATTTGTTTTCAGCTTTGGCTGATGAATCTCATTGCCCCGACGCCTTGCCAGCGCCAGTGTCCAGCAGATAATCCAAATTGGAAGAAATATGGTGCAGATTGCAAAATAAAGCCAATTTCCATAAATCTAAAATAGAGAGAGAGTGAGAGAGAGATATAGAGACTTACTATAAACGAAACTAATGAAGATTGGGAATGCGACTCACTACTGAATCAACAAGCGCAAATGCTGCCGCATCCATGGCAGCTGTGGCGGCACGCAGCAGAAGCTGTTGCATCGTCAGCTCTGGAAACTGATGGAAGCTCATGACGAGCACAATGATATAGATGACAACCAGTGGATTCAGGAGTAGCGTCCATACACGAGCCAGGCTGCGTAGTGTGCTGTTCCTAGTGCTAGTATTTAAAGCAACAACCATGGGCACCGTTAGCACGCCCACAAAGAAACCCAGCGAGAAATTGAGCAGACCAATGACAATCAGAGTGCAGCCGTATATGAGCAGCAAGCTGATATGCAGCAGCTCGAGGCCTCCATCAGGCAGTATCACCACGAATGGCAGCACGAAGCCAATCAGGCTCAGTGCAATCAGTATTGTGGCGGTGAGCGGAGCGGCGTTTAACGGCAGCTCCAGAATATAATGTTGCAGTGGCAACACATTAGCCAAGTAACCAATGAGCAGCACCACAGCCAAATATATCAGTACGGAGCCATACGGCAAAGACAATTTCAATGACTTAGTATCGGGCTTGAGGGCAATAGTTTCCTGCGATAATACTATGGCCGATGCATCCAGTGTGGACCATGTAAGATAGGCTTTGATGAAGCTGCAGGCGACAAGAGCGACCAGTGCTGGCATATAGTCGCCAATTGATATGTACCGATCATTATGAACAATTACGTAGAAAAAGAAACTCTGATGGAAGCGCTCCAGCAAATTATTCAGACTACGCGCAATGCCCTCGATGGCCTTTAAGAGTGGCACAGCCGATGAGGTGGGATTGCTTTTCACATTGGAGTTGGTAACACGCTTCGCAGCGGATATGGTTAGCGCATCGATGCGGTAGCGATGAAATAGTCCATGATTACCATTGGGCACACCTGATGATTGCGTCGCAAGCATGGCCAGCATTTGGCGCAGATTCTGCTCAAAGTTTGAGAGACTGGAGCGACGCTTCTTGCGCGGCGTCTGTTTATAGCCGGAGGTGACGCCCTCGCGCGCCATTATGCGCTGCACCAAATTGAACATATCCAGATTCGGCAGCTTGCCATTGAGGCCCTCAATCTTGACATCAACGTAATCTACGTTAAATTTAGTTTAGCATTTATTGTTTCAAGTTAATTTTCTGAATTCACATACCAATTTCCAGATCCTGCACTTCGATATTTAGCGCAGCTTGAAGCGAGCCAGCACGTGCGGGCAAATTGCCCGACAGCAGATATGAATTGGAGCTATCTGGTGTTTTGTCGCCGTCATGGTAGGCCTCCAACCAGGCCTGCATACCCAGCTGCTCCTGCTCGGTGACCAAAAATATCAAATCCTTGGCCCAATAGTTTTTGCCTGCAATGTGCAAAACTCTGTCCAATTGACATCCATATAAATACTACACATATCTATCAATACTTACGCCTGGCAAAATCCGCAAATGCTAAAAGCAGCGGCACACTAGGTGATATTTCCACATGCACCGAGCTAGGTGCACGATAGGGCGCCGAGAATACAATCCCTTCTGTGGATCCAATGCGCGGAGCACGCAATATGCCGTAGATGTTTTTGCCATGAAACTCCTTGCCGCCTCCGAATGGATAACGCAGCGAATAGTTATGTGTGTGCGTCTCTAAGCCAAACTCATTGAATTTGGCCAAGATCCAGGCGTGCGGCGTCGTCGATTGATGATCCTTACGTTCACGCTGCAACTCCTCCAGCAGTTGGACGGCCAGTCGATTGGCATCAATGCGTATCTCGGGATACACCAGACCTAAATCCAATCAATATATACACAATGTAGATATATATATATAAGTATCACAGCGCTGCTCACCTGGTGAGAGTGCATTCTCTGATAAGTAGGTGCCATGGTTGAATTCCGGCAGAGCCAGGCATAGAAACCAGACCACGCCCGCTGTGTAGAATGCGTAGCAGACCTTTCGTACATGCTTCGCTAGATTGTCCACCAGCTTGTTATGCGTCGATAGTGATGGATCGGACAACAGACCCATTGTTCCAGGCACTAGTTTCCATAAAACAACAGCAACAACAAAATTTAGCCGGCACAACTAGGGCTGCAAAACATTAACAAATATTATCGATAACTGCACTCAGCTTGCAACCAGGGCTGCGTAACCATCGATAACAACAGCATACATATGACGCTGTTGGTTTTGAAATCCCATTTGATAACATTTCGCTTGCTTATTTTGAATTCTTATAATTACAAATAAACATATATTCTAATGAGCAGATATACACAGATACAATGCGGATATCGATTTCTGTTGTTTCTAATCGATATTTAATCAATGTAAGCCTTTTTTGTAGTCGTTCCCAATTGAAATAATGATGCCCATTACAGTAATTTAATTTGATTGCTCCCTTCAATTTAGCTAATTAATGCAATATGTGGGCTTGTAAAAAGAAAAAAAAAACACACTCAAGGGATAGGGTTCCTAGCATATATTTTTAAACTTTGCTTTAAAGTTCACATAAGCATCATATTACATACATATATATGTGTATGTATATTGTAGATTATATCAGTTATGAATTTAATATAAATCCGTTTCAATTACTGTGGTGGAATGCTCGGCACTGGCTTTGCATGTGGCTCCCAGTGCAGATAATTCAAATCAATGGTTAGTTTGGGCCGTCTAAACTGTGGCAGCTGGAGATGATCATTGATGGTTTTCGGGGTGACACAGATGACATTCTGGCCCTTCCAGTATTTGATCATCTTCATGGACTGCAGGGTATAGATGATGTCGTCCTGGGTGATACCGCTCGCCTCACTCAGCTCCTTAATGGTTGTCTGCTCCGCCGAGCAGTATCCCTTCATCAGCTCGAGCAGCGTATAGGCCCAATAACTGCGATAACTCAATCGTCCCAGATCCGACAACGGCTTCTCGGGGCTGCCAATGACGCCCTCTTTGCGGGACAGCTCATAGCTGAAGGCAATCAATAGTTTGCCATAGCCCTTGCGCTGATGCGGCGGTAGCACCAAAATACATGCCACATTATTATTTTCGTGCGAGAGTTTCTCTTTTGAGAAATAGCCGACAATGTGATACCCCTCCTTGTCAATCTCACAGAGTATATAGAAATAGAATGGTTCCATATCGAAATAGAGCACTTTGTGATCCAGAAATAGCTTGGCCATCAGACAGAGCAGTTGGCAATATAGCGGCTGCTCCTGGCCATTTACCTCAAAGATGGAAATTGTGCCATTGCGATAGATCTCTCGACCAGGCGGACGTCGCTTCTGGCAGTCATACAAATGAAAGCAATAACTCTTCTCCAATCGCATATACTTCAGGCAATATTCGCACACATATAAAATGCGTGCGTTGCTGTACTCCTCCGGAAATGGACTGAAGTACCACGTGTCTATCTCATAGCACCCGAAAATCAACTTGTCAATATATTTAATTTTCGTTATCTGCTCGTGCTCTTTCTCCAGTTGAGCTTGCGAGGCCGTCAGCTCCGCATGGCTCTTCTGGACATGATTGATTTCATCGTAGCGTCGCTTCTGATAGCGTGTCATCTTCCGGTCACTGTAATCGTAGCGATTGTTCTCGCTTGCCGACAAATAGTAATCCATGTTGCCCTGCCGCTTGGCGCGTGGCATCATGCTGCTGCGTACGCTGCTTCTCATCGATGATTTGGCGCCGCTGCTGCTGCTGCTGCTCGGTTGATCGCAAGGCGGCGTCGATGGCGACGGCTGGCTGGTCACCGTAATGCCGCCCAAATCATCCGCATTATCGGAGATGCGATGCCGACCCACCCAGCCGTCGAGGCGCCGATTGAGGCCCACATAGTGTACATAATACTCGTTGGGCGAGATTCCGTTGTCGGTGATGCGTGCCTGAAGCACGTGACCGGCGTGTACGGTGCCATCGGCACGGCGTATATAGTATATCTTGTCGGAATGCTCATTGATTTCGATCTTCTTTAACGGCATATCGCAGCCATCCGAATCGGTTCGCTCTGTTGCGGTTGCCGTATCCACTGAGCTGGCATCATTCTCTGTCAAGAGTACATCATCATCATGATCATCATCATCATCGTCATGATCATCATCATGATCATCGTCATGACCATCGTCATGATCATCATCATGATCATCGTCATGACCATCGTCATGATCATCGTCATGGTCATCATGATCATCATGATCGTCACCATCATCAGCATTATCTTCACCATCATCAGCATTATCTTCATCGTGCTCGTCGTCTTCTTGCTGATCATTCTGCTCGTTGTCTACCTCCCGTTGGACATCCGGTTCGTGTTCGTCATCGCCAGTGCTGCTCTCATCCTCGCTGCTGCCGGAGATGCTCTCATATTGGCTCATCGCTCCAAAATTCAGCTTTTGTCGTGGATCTCTTGGCGCCATACCCGGCGACTGTGTGCGGTATTCTTCATCAAGTTGGTGTTGCATCTGCATATTAAAGGCGTAGTGGGAACGCCGATTGCCTGGCAATATATCGATGAACTCCTCACCATCATCTATGGGTGATGCGGGCGTTTCGGGCACTTCCATCTCAGCTTCCGGCTCGTCTTCTGGCTCCACTTCCGCATCGTCTTCCGCCTCAATTTCAGTATCTTCATCGGCATCTTCCTCAGCATCTACCTCGGCATCTTCTTCAGTTTCTCCCTCCACATAATGCACAGCGTGCATTTGATTCGCTGGCTCTTCAACATTCTCAACTGGCTCAGAGGAAGCATAACTGAAACCCTCATCGCTGCCTGCAATGTCAGTGACATCCACCACCGTGTTGGGCGAATGCTCCTCCTCGGTGGCATCGCTGTCTGCGCTGGAGCGCGATGTGTTCGAATCGCTCTGCTCGTTGCTGCATGAGCTATTTGTGCTGCTGCTCTCCTCATCCGCGGACACTGGGCTGTGTGCTTCGCCCATTACATGAGGTCGCTGTGATCTAACTTTTGTTTCAGCTATTGTATCGTCGCCTTCTTCCATCGACTGATCCGCCGCATCGACAACATCAGATCCCTCCGTTGAGCCACTGATATCGAGACATTCAGCATTCAACTCGGCGGCCGCAACCTCGACTGGTGTGCGTCGTGAATTGCCGCCAATTTCGTAGTGATTGTCATCGTCCGTTAAGGTCCCGGTATTTTCGGGCATGCGTCTCGAGTGTTCCTCTGACATTTTATGTATATTTGCTTTTATATCACACTACACATAGATGAAGCAGCACAATTGGTCAATCATTTCATTTTTTATTTACTCCAATTTACAACTTACCTATGGGATTATTCCGTAGCTACGGCATTCGCCTCATATTTCTCTTTCGCTATAAATTATGGTGATGGCACTCCACTGTCTACTTGGCGTAATCGATTGCGAAAATATCGATGACGTGGTGCAATAATAAGTGTTTGGCAGCGCATTTTACAATAAAGAATGCATAAAAAATAAACTTGGCTATACAGAAAAAATGAAAAGATTTGCTCGTAATTTTATTTGAATTTTGTTATTTATTAATCTATTCCGATCAAAATGTGGGCTCCCAATATAGCGATATCGATAATAGTGTTGATAAACATCAAGCGCATTATTAGCTCACTTGTGTATATACCTACAAATGTACAGCTGTATACGCACAAGTACATATTTATATTAAGTACACAACATGTATATTTCTAAACTGTGTGTATTTATAAATGTACATGTATGATTTATTTTAGCTGCATTTATTTATCAATGAGTGCACTTTCATAAGTAACGGAATCAACATGCTAAATAAATTGAACATACTTTGTACATAATTATTTTAGTTAAATCTTATTTAGTAACCAATGATACTTAATATTATTATTTATCACGAAAGCAAATCAATTTAAACTAATGTATAACAGCTAATAGATTAATTATCTTAGAACAGTGTGAATTTATTTTTTCATAGCTCTGATGCACATTTTTCGATTCAACTTTGCAACTTTTTATTTATTTTTTTTTAGTTTTAAAAACATTTTATTACACAATTTTCTAAAACCATTTACTTTGAAATATAAACAATTGGCATCATCCGTGGAAGCGAAGCCTCCATCAATATACATATATTGTAAATATTGTCTGATTGATAGCGCTGAAAAATAAACTGAGCGACAAGGAAAATTCATTTGAGATTTTCTGGTAGCTTAACTGCCCTAATGTGAATTTACTTTTGTTCTAAATACATACTTATTTACTAAATAATCGGAGCAAAAAACAACAAAATGCATATGTAAGTATATACGTTAGTATCTTAAGTTTAAGCCATGTGTTTTTGTCATTTAAATGGAATCCATATACAAGTAAATCGGACCGATTCAAAATATGTTACACGTTAGGCGGTTAATATTATAAGCCCAATATAGGCTACGAATATAATGTGTGAATGCTTGAATGTATATAAATATATATATAAATATATATATAAATATATATATATATATATATATATATATATATATATATCATATATCATACATAGAGCAGTGCGTGCAATATGTACCGTAAACATTTAACAGGTAAAAAGAAAAGATATTTTTTATAAATATATATGTAAATGTTAGGCCATAGAGGAACTACTCGTAAGCGTACCATCAGCAAACTAGGCAAATACATCTCAAATTACAGTTAAAATAAATAATTATCTAATTTACATCCATTTCAGATAGGATTATACATAATGCGTAACTACATATGTTTGCATACATGTACAAAGTGCAAACGCAACCGCAATCATAATCAAAATTATGTCTGTAAACTGGCACCAGTCACTCCTCCATATCCATTGCCGCCGGCAGCTGTGTCCTCACTTTCGATGAAGCGCCGCATGAAGTCGCTGCAGCTGTTCTGATAGTCTATTGTCAGGGAGCGTTTACTGCTGCGCAACAGAATGCGTCCAAAGACTGCAGCTGTTTGGATGATTAAAAAGTTGTTGTTGGGTGATTCCGTTAAGTGTATTTAATAAGATATGCCACTGGACTGGAGTACTCACCGACGCTGGATAGTTCATAATCATAGCGTTCGATGACTTCGCGTAGGAACATGCACAGATGCATGAAGACATTGCGTTTTGGTGCGCTCAGCATGTGTATTAGTTCCATGGCCTCCGATTTGCTTCTGCTAACCAATAGATCCTCAACAAGTGGCTCCAGCAGCGCCTCCTCAGGCAGGTCAAGGAACAGCAATAGCGCCTCGGCAGCAGTTTGTGGTGTGCCCGCTATAATTTAATCAGACACGTGATAATTATGATTCAGTTCATAGACATAGCAGTAAAATTCAAACGTACGAAACTCATCCTCCGACCAGGTGTCCAGCCAGTCGCGTACGGCATTGAAGTGACTGCTCAGCTGACGACGGCGGTCGTAGCTCTGGAAAATGCCCTTCAGCTCATCACCATGCTTGTGTAGATAGTCTATAAGCAGGAAAAATTCACGGGGCATCGTCACACGGTACTCAGGCGACACGTCTAGCATCTAGAGAAATGTTATAATAATATGGGCTTTTCAAAGTATATATTCAGATAAATGTATTACCATTTGCTTCACTTGATCCTGTTTGTACTCGCTGATGGGTCGATCGGTGCGGCACATTGTCTCCATTGATAGACCAAAGCAGCTAGGCTGATATTCACCCGTAACGGTTATGAATATGTCTCGTCCAGATCTCACATGCAGTATGAGTATATCGAAATCACATTTGCCCGATGTATTGCAGATCTTTTTAAGTAAGCCCGTTATCGAGCTGGGATCGATCATCATTCTTAAACGTATGCTTCGCGCCGAGTCAATCATTAAGCTATCCGAGCGCGGATCCACATTCAGCCACTTCTCGCAGATATCGTTTAATGGCGAATCCTTAACCTTGAACTCAAAGTCTACCTGCTGCGGACAGTTGTTGTACACATTAAAGTCCCGCACGGACGGCTCGTTGAAGCGCACCAGACCAAATTCGATGACCGTACGCTCAGCGGTTATCTGCGGCTGATTATCATTCTCGCGCTTGTCTACCGCCTTGAGAACCTCTTCTTGGATACGCTTATACTTGGCCTCATCACGCGTCTTTATCTTAACCCGGAATATGGCGAAGACGGGCTTGTGATCGCTCTCCCTTATCTCCATGACGCTATTGTATAGCAACTGTTCGATCCGCTTTCCCTTCCACAGTACACGGTCGCAATAGGCAGGCGCTCGCTGCTTCTCGCTAGTGTCATAGGTATCGGTGCCGACATCGTATTTGTAGGTGGGCAAAAACTTGATCTCACCCTCCGTATAGCCCTTGAAGCACCTGCCCTGACTCATCTCCTTGCGCAGCTGATCGTATTGCAGCCGCAGCTCATATGATTCCGCATCGCACTGTAGCCCAGGTGGTTCTTGTATGCGATAGTTCAGATCTCCCAGCCAGAATATGTGACTGCAATTATTAGAGTTGATTATAATTTTATTTGGTTGAAGGGGACACATATCCCATATCCTATAGCTGAAGCACTTACTCATGATCGCTGATAGTGATAGGATGCGGGCCAAATCCATCAAAGCGTGTGCCTTCCTCAATGGCCTTGTAGTCCTCGTTGCGAATCATCACATTACCCATGTGAGCAGCCAGATGTGAGTTGATGAAGCATATGTTCGCCTCGTTCAGCTGCAGACTGGCTGCAACGCCGCCCTTATTGCCCAGCGTTTTGAACACACCGCGTGCCACCCAACAGACGCGGCAATGTATATGTGGTCGCAGCTGCTTGCGGACAATGACCGTTAAGAGAATGCCAGCCAAGCGCACCGAGCGCAATTCCTCATACTCGACACCTTCGTGCACGTTCTCCAACATCTTGCGTCTGTGCAACAAATAAAATCAATATGTTATCAAGCAATAATAATGAACGAAAGCAAAGTTCAAACGAAAGTCCATATCCCCATAAACATATGCATATACATAAGCACTTCTCTCACATCTATAAACCGCTCATTTCTGTCAAACAGACAATTTAGACACAGAGAGAGAGAGAGAGAGAGAAAGAGGGAGAGAGAGATATGCCCTTTACAAAGAAACACACATACATCCACTGTGCCTGGATCATTTCCATCTGAGTGGCATTAAGTATTGCCTTTTTCGTCGTCTCCATTTCCTGAAGTCCAATTACATAAATATCGGGAGCCTTATCGCTGCGTGCCAGCCAAGGGCGCAGCGAGATGCTGCTATCCCAGCATGGTTGATTATTAACATTCCATGTGGCGCAGTAAACACTGGAAATGAAGGACAATCAAATGTTTGAGAAAGAGAGAGGGATCGCTTGACTAGTTCTTAGCTCACATACGTAAAATCCTTGTAGACAATATATTGGCTCTCGCGTTTCTTCAGCTCTTGCTTGACTTCGCCGATCTCACGATAATCGTCCAGCCAACGAAAATTGAGCGTTGTTTCCGAGGGCATATCGGCATTCCACATGGATGACTTGTACGAATTGATTTTTGCATAGAATTCATTAAAATCCACCGACTCCATTTCAGTTCTGATTGGATGATAGTAGTATTTGCTTGGCCTATCATTGTCCGTTGATAGATTGAATTGATTCGTTACGATTCCCGTGGTTTCTGCAAAACGCACAAAACATTACATGATACAAAGTTACAGAGCACATGGCTCACAACACACAAGTGTCTTTTCACTTGACCTACCTGTCGTCAGTTTAAAACTGCCGTTAATAGCAAATACATTATTTATTTTTAGCTCATTGCTTGCGGTCAGTGGGGTGCGCAGGAGCGAGAACGAGATTATTGCGTATGTGCCACCTGATTCTGAGGACACGAGCGTAAGCAGTCCCTCGGAGTGCTCCTGGCCTCTGATTTGATATGCCTCAAAGATCTGCAAGATGTAAACGATGCTTTCTTATTTATTTATTTCTGTGTGGATGTCAAATACAATTTTGTAATTATCCTCCTTCTAGTGTTTAAAAAATGTCAAATATATAAGAAAAATTGTGTGTCTTTTTTCACACATCCCGTGGCCTACTCCCAAACCTAAATTTCTGCTTCCCTCCCATGGTTACACAGAACACACAATCAAACACAGAGACACACATTAAGAGAGAGCGAGAGAGAAGTCTTCTGCATAACTTTATCTTTTTAACTTTCGCTGGAAAGCAGCAACGCATTATCACCCGAGTGATATCTAAGGCATGAACATGATTCAATGTAACCTTATGGTCCCTATACATTTACTATATGCACACGTATCAAATTTAGCGGAAGCATTGAAATGTGATTCAAAAAAATGCAGCATTAATCGATTAATCATCACATGACATTAACACAAGGTACATGGTCAGCTTACCAGATGAACATGCTCGTCTGCCTTGAAACGCTGCTGGATGATGTCAATTGTTGATTTCTCCGGCGATGCAACTCCGGCAGTCGGATCCACGTTGTTCCCGCTCTCCATAATTTAGCGGCTTTCGGTTTCGGCGAGCAGGTTAAGCTGTTTTCACTGTTCGCTTTTGTTTGTTATTATGGGCTATGCGATGGAATGTAGAATAATACTGGATGGGCTGTGGTTACGATATTATGGATTCTCTTGGCAATTTGCTTCTTTTTTCTACCTGTTATTTGTCTTCTTTGGCTATTTTTAGTTAAGACAGGCGCTCGGATGCCGCGGCGAATGACGGCAGCAGCGATTTGGTTTGTGTTGTTTGTATTTTTGCTCTTCGTTTTTAGAAGTCAAAGCTTTCATGGACAACTTACACAATTTCAAAGCGTTTATTACATGTTTCCTATTTATTATTTTTTATATCTTTCTGCAATTTTTTATCTCGTATTTGCTTTAACAGTTATTGGACGGTGGGTGTGGGCGGGTATATTTATTGTGCAGACACAGACACACACATACACAGAATCGCAATCACTTATTCACAGCGGAGCACAACTACTGGCGATGACGATAATGTGAATTTAACTTTCGATTTCGGTTAAGCTTGCATTTAATATCCGCTCTACACACTACTCACTAATAACGATGGCTATATCATGGAAATTCAAGAGTGCCTTTTGCATAGGTATAACAAAAATAAAAATAAAAACACCAACAATAACAATAAGAAACAGTCCACTTGGAGCAGCAATAAAACCAACGTCAACAGCTGAAATTTAGCATAGCCCAAGGCAGGGTTGCAACACTGCCAAATGCACTTGCTTGCCAACACTGTCAGCTGATAGTGCTGTAAACAGCGAAAAGAGCAGCCGCTTTAATTCCATTAGATTTGCACACAATTGCTTTTGCGGCAATTTTTGTTTTGTTGGAAAAAATATGTCACAATTCCAAAAGGAAATTGTCCAGGCTGTCCTTATAGCCGACAATAATGTGTGGAACTTCAAACCGCTGTCCGATGAAGGCTCTACGGTTAGTATTGAGACATCGAATCATAAATTGTTGCATTGGCCACGCACGTTGTTTCAATATTATATTAATACAAATGCATAAATATTTGTTAACAGGCGCTGTTGCCGTTGGTTAATGTTAGTATGTTGGACTATGCACTAATTGCACTAAATCGCAGTGGCGTCGAGGAGGTGTTCGTCTATGCCAGCCTTTATCTACAGGACATCCGGGAGCACATCAAGTGAGTATACATCATATAAGCCATACAAGCCAGCTAGTTGCTGAAGCAAACAGCTAGAAAAAGTCCTCATTATCTGTATTACTTTATGAACTTTTATTATAAGTAATGTAGACTGCAATATATAATTTAAAATTGCAACTGATAAGGTCATTAACCAGTCAGACTATTATTTCATTATCTGTATTTAGTTTAGAAATATTATTGTATAGAATCAATTATCAGCTTTATACTGATTTGAATATATGTTGATTCACAGACAAGGCATAGCCACTTATGCGTCCTGGTCATTCATGATGACCGTTCATGTAATCGGCGGCGAGGGTTGTCGCTGCTTTGGTGATGCGATGCGTGATCTGGACGCCAAGGCGCTGATCCGTGGCAACTTCATACTGCTGGGCGCGGACACTGTGACGAACGCCAATCTGCGGCCAGTTCTTGAGCAGCACAAGCGCACGGCTAAGCTTGATAAGGGGACGGCTGCCACGCTGGTGTTCAAGGAGTGCGCCAGCAGCGCAACCGAGCGCACTGGCAATGAGCTGCTAATTGCTGTGGACAAGCAGAATGCACGACTCCACTACCATCAGCGGCTGCGCCTGAACCACAATGAGTCACGCTATCAGATACCGCTCAATGTGTTTCTCAGCAATTCCTGTGTCACACTGCACCACAATCTGTTGGATCCGCAAATAGCCATTGGTTCGCCATCGATGCTTTCACTATTCAGCGATAACTTTGATTTTCAGACGCGCGACGATTTTGTGCGCGGCCTGCTAATCAATGAGGAGCTGCTGGACAGCCGCATCTATGTGGCAATGTTGCCACCAGCGCAATATGCGCACAAGGTGAACAATTGGCTCTCCTATCAGTTGGTCAGCCGGGACATTATTAGCCGCTGGGCGTATCCGCTTGTGCCCGACATGGGCGTTTATAAGCTGCAGCAACAGTATGTCTTCAACAAGGACAATATCTACAAGAGTCACGACGCCAATGTATCCAAGGTGGCGCTGCAAGAGAATGTCGTTGTACATGCAAGCAGTCATGTGGATGCCGGCAGCACTATCAGCTCCAGTGTTATTGGCGCCAATTGTTGCATCGGCAAGAACTGTCACCTCAACAATGTCTTCCTCATGGCCAATGTGACCGTGAACGACAACTGCCAGCTGCGGCACTGCGTCATTGGCTCTGATGCCATCATCAATCAGAATTGTAGCATTACAGCTGGCTGTGTCCTAGGCGCCAAATGCATCCTACCGGCTAATACAAAATTGACCAACACACTGGTCACCAGCTCACCCAGCACACAACGTACCGAGGAGCATGAAATGGGTGAGTAGTAAATAAAATGAAGCGATTTTCATATCGACTTAAACTTAAGCCAACAAAAGAGTTTATATCATTTATTTTATTTCTAAATCACTCTATTCAATTTCGAATTCCAATTCTCAGTTGAACTGGAGGCCCTTGGAACGTATGCCTACATTATTAGCGATCTGACAACCGGCGATCCCGATGACTCAGATGCCGATGAGAATTTGATGCCACCGTCTAAGACGCTGTGTATACCTAAAATGTGTGAGCTACAGCCGCTGGCAAAGGATGACAGCGATTGCAGCTATTCCAGCGACGAAGATGATGCCGGCGAATCCCGCCTAGCGACCCCGCTGCCCGATGACACGAACAGTAAGAATCTATGCCCAACTAAAACTATATGCCTAGATACTTATTATTATTATTCGTATATTCATATTTTTATTGCTATTGCTTGCAGTCTTCCTGTGGGAGGTTATCGATTCGTTAACACGTGGCTTTCGCGAAAAATCAAATCCCGATTTCCTAATACTTGAGATCAACTCCTCACGTTATGCGTACAACATGTCGCTTAAGGAAGTCAATTTTAATGTGGTCAAGGCGATTTTCGGCATGCAGAGCATTGTAGAACCGGCCAACGGTAATGTTATGGTTGCCATTAATGCTGCACTCAAACAGTTGGGACCTGTTGTCGCCAACTATATTAAAAGCGAAGATGCCATGCTGGATTGCTTGAAGGCATTGGAGGTACTTACTAACTAATATATGCTGACTTACTTTGTTGTGCTTATACGAATGAAATTTTTTTCGATTGTACATTTCATGTCACATGACATATTTTTGTCTCCTTCTCGCAGGACATTAGCGCGGAGAACGAGTTGGTGCTTGAGAAGATCTCGCAGGTAGTGCATTACCTGTACGACAAGGACTTTGTCAGCGAGGATGCAATACTCGCATGGTACGAGCAGCTGGACATCAAGGAGCACATAACGCTTCGGCAAAGCCTCGCCAAACTGGTCACATGGCTAAATCAGTCAAGTGAAGATGATGATGATGATGATGACGACGACGACGATGATGATGATGCGGATGATAAATAGGCAGATGACTCAACGCTTTCATCAAATGCAAAAATAAATAATTTAAAAACGATTTGTGCTTATTTGTACAACATTTTATTGCGAAACACTCGAGAATTTGCATTCTAAATGAACACTACCACTAAGCAGACAATACGCAATTGCGCCCAGAGACTCAGATGATGCCTGATGCCCTTTTTGGCGATTTGACGCCTATTGTCTGTTTAGTGACACTACATAAGAACTAGTTTAAACAAGAGTCATCTAGTCGAAATAGCTCAACTAGCAGATACCCTGTACCCAAGTCTGTCATTTCACTAATTTGTACATGGTTGTTGTTAATTCAACTATATATATATTTATTTCAATCAAACGAATATAAAAACAATTGATAAGATCTAAGATCCTTGTGATAATACAGACGGACCGCGAAAACGGTTTGATGCTTGTCAAGAATAAAGTCACTTTTGTAAAATTACGCCGGACCAGAAATTTATTGCATTATATGGAAAAATGATCTACTTCAAATTGATCAATAATAGTAAATACATCACTTGACGGATGTTTGACCTTCTATGGGTCGAAGATGATTTCTTTTGCCTTATTAAATACAATTGTACAACTTTATGATAACCTTGTTGAGCCATTTTTAATGGGTGCAGGGCATTACTTTTTTTTAATTGGTAGAATTAATATTAATATATAAACGACGATCGTTTCTTATAGATTCACTGACAAAAAAAAATAAGAATAATAGAAATAAAACAATTTCCTCCCCATATATATATATATATACGAGCATATATATATTTGATACTTGCTAATCGCTACTCGCCACTCGCCACTCGTTACTTTTCTTACATGATCTCCTCCTGAGAGTCGGATTCGTCGACGGCAGCCATCACTTCAATCATATCGCCCTCGGGCTTATCATAATCTTTTTCATCATGCGACTGACTTTCATCATCCGACTCCTTCATCGATTCGATGGTGATTTGTGTGTCCTCGGTATTGGCATATACTTTACCAACTATTGCTTCATCTTCGTGTTTTTCCCGAGCATCTGAATCCTCGGCATCGGCATCAGCATCGGCTTCCGCTTCGGCTTCGGCATCTGCATCAACATCTTCATCATCGTCGTCAGTGTGCTTTTTTTGTTGTTCGGTTTTGGCATCGTCATCCGGTTCACTGTCCACATCCATGGGCTCCACATCGGACTCAACAAGCAATTTGGATTTCTCTTTTGCATTGTTGGTTTTCTTTTGTTGTTTTTTATACTTGTCCAATGATTTGGCTGTGATTGTTGTTGATTTTATGCTGGCAGTTTCAGCCGCATCGGACTTGGGTGTCTTTGGTTGCGAGGCGGACTTGTCCTGGCTGCTGTTAAGGGTGCGCTCCTTCATATTCCGATTGATGACAACGGCAATCTGCTCGATGGGCAGTTGCACGCACTTCTGAAAGACTTCAACATTTTCGGCACAGATAAGATTGCTGCGCACCTCCTCCATGCAACCTTCGAGCACTTTATTCACTTCGTTCGCCTCCCAATCGCTGTCCAGATTCTGTGTGACAATCAGCAACGTGGTTAGATTCTTCAGTAGATTCACCATGCTCTCGCTTTTGATAAGGCCATTGTTCATCTTATCGACCGTCCGGCTGGCCCTGGCGCGACACTCTTCGCGCAACAGCGTCGGCGATATCATGGCCTGTATATTGGGATTACGGGTGAGACTACCCGATAGTTCCTGCACCTTGGTCAGCAAATACATGAGCTCCATATTGATCCGCTCGATCCATATAATGTTGGAGGCATAGCGTCGTTGAAAATTATCCCGCACCTGTCGTCGATTGTGTTCATTGGTCCCCCCTCCGGCAGCGGTCAGCTCGGCCGAGCTATTCATTTCGGCCAATCGCTCAATTCGTGACTCCTTCAATGCAATATATTTTTGCAGTAACACCAGATGCTCGAGCAACTTCGTCGAATAGCCAAGATGACGCACCAGCTGTTGACGTATTGGACTCTCACCGATGGCATCCTGTCCCAGCAGCGGATCACTCTTGTTTAGCTTCATGCTGAGCGCATTGCGGGCGGCCGCATTGTTGTTAGCCAGATGCTTCTGTGGCGTTATCATTGATTGATTACTATTCAGATTGCCAGCAGCAGTGGCGGCCAGTGGATAGCGTTTGCCCAGGAAGCCGCTCGACAAATTGGTGGTAAAACCCAGGTTTGTTGTATAGCCACTATTACTCGTCTGATAGATGGTTATCAAATTTGGACGATAGTCTTTGGTGAAGCTATGTAGTGGCAGCATCTCATGAAAATTCTCCGACACAATCTCATAGTCCGGTATGGACTGTGTGCTTAGGCCGGGACGCTCAAAGGTCACACGATATTCGGAATTCATTGAATCGTAGGCGGCGACGGTGCCCGCAAAGATGGCGTCCTGCGGCTTACGCAATCGTGCCGTCACCTTGGTGCCCAAGGGCAGCGGCATCGGTATCTTATCGGGCATATCCGAGAGCAGCAGTGAATCCTTAAATTCACCAGGCTTACGTGACTGCAGCGTGCGCATCAACTGACGCTTGCGCTCCAGCTCACGTCGCTCCTCGTCAAAGAAGGCGGCCGAACAGCGTCTGGGCCGACCCATGCGTCGCCTAATGACCGCCCATTCGTGGCGATTCAAGTTGCGGGTGGCCAGACGCGGCGCCAGCTTACTGACATGATTCATGAACTCATATTTGCAGTCGAAGAGCGGCTTATCAATGTACGAGTAGAACCACTCGGCAATGGCCCACTTGTGTGCTTTGGGTAGCTTCAGAAGATTGCGCAAACGCTGTCCAATCGAGAGGCCCAATCGTTTGTTGGCCACCGCATTTGCCTCGGCCTTTCTGGCCACATCCTCGGCAGCGGCAGCGGCAGCGCCAGCAGTATTCCTCTTAGTGCCACTCATGGTGCCACGGCCCGCCGCTCGCAGTTGAGCCTGCTGCTGCTGCTGTTGAGCCTTGGATGCCGATGCGGACATGGGTGGCAGTTTTTTCGTCTTGCCGGAGGACAGCTCCAAATCTACACCACTAGTGGATTGGGAGGTGGACGCACCGTTGCCATCATTGGAGCGCATATAGCGAGAGACGACACCCTTGCGCTTCTTTATCACCTTCGAGAGTGTCGTTTGCATCTTGCCGGGACTGTCGTTATAGCCGCGCGTCATTGGCTTCTTGGACGTAAGGCTCACGCGCAGTGGCTTGTCATCATTAATGATGTTCTCGTCGTAGAACAGGGGATTACGTTTGCGTATACGGGCGGGCATACCACGAGCGTTTAGTAATAGCATTTGAGGCTTTTGGCTCTTGGGTTTTGGTGGCGGGGCGCTGCCCACTCGCTGTAATCCGAGCGTGGCCAGACTGAAGGCAGGCGGTTCCACTTGCTCCTCGGGTTCGCTTGCCTCATTGCTGTCCGGCTCCTCCTCCTCGTCGTCGTCCACCTCCCCCTCGTTATAATTTTTGTCATTATCATCCAGCACATGCTCCATCAATTTACCAACGGCCTCATCCTCATCCTGGTCCTGCACGTTCTTTTTCACACCGACGCTCTGCTTATCGCCAATTGGCTGCGCTCTGGTACGGCTCTCCAAGATTTCGTTATCAGCATTGGATTCGCGGGCAATTTTGCGCAATGCGGCAACCGACTTTCTCGGCCTGCCACGATTGCCAATGCTTTTTTTCTCCGTTTCGGGCATCTTCGCCAACAAGTATTTGCTAGAAAATATAGGCAATTCAATTTTTGTAAGGATATTTTTTCAGAGATATAACATATAGATATATATATGGACGAAAGTATATTTTCCATGAGATTGGCTTTCGAAATAATTCTCAAAACTCTACATAAAGAAAATATTGAATACGTCTTCTTTAAATTTAAAAAGAAATACGTCCATCTCAGCGTTAAAAAGTGGGCGCAACTCAATCAAAGCCAAAACAAAAATAAGAGGGAACGTTGCAGTCGGGCGTAACCGACTGCGAAATACTTTGATACCATTCGTTATCCCAGATACTGAAAACAAGTAACAAAGAACAGGGTGGGTGTAGCAAAGAAGTCCAAATCCAAGTTTGCCTTTCAAATTGCGGTAAACATATGCTAGTACCATTCCCACGAAGCTTGGTAACTGTAGCTCTTCAATTACGGAGAGAATGCACCTAGTAATCTTCCTTTCAAATTGCAATCTAGGAATTTTAAAGGCGGGATTGGGCGTGGCTAAAAGATCATTTTGGAATTCGATCTTAGTAATCTACCTTCCAAGTTTAATAACTGTAGCTCTTAAATTGCGGGAGATATAGGCTTTTATCGTTTTTGGAGGCGCAGGTGGGCGTGGTCCAAAATTGTTTTTCCGTTGTGTGTTTTGAAGTGTCCTACTAGCAATACATTTTTAATATTTGGTGACTAGCTTTCAAATTGTGTGAGATACATAGATTTATTGATTTACTCTAAGAAGTGTATCAGTTTCGGGCGGCAGATGTGGGCGTGGTCTGAAAATGTATATGCCGATCTTTAAAGGTGGTTACCAGCAAATTACCTTCAAAGTTTGGTGACTCTATATTTAAAATTGTGGAAAATATCGGGATTTATCGATTTATACTTTCCGAAATATCGGTTTTGGCGATGCTTGTTATCGGTTCTTAAAGGCGACTACCAGTAATGTACCTACTCAAAAACTGCAGAAACCATTTACAATTCTTAGGGGCGGGGGCCTGGTGGCGGCGTAGGTAGGCGTGGCATAGGCAGATCTTTGCAGAACATCGCCAACAACCTATCAATAAAATTTTGGCGACTGTAGCCTTATAATTGTGGGATATCTGTGGCTTTATCGATATGCAATTATCGATTTCCTAACCCCCTAGTGGATTTTTCCTGTTTGTCTGCCGCGGGCACAGAACAGTCTATGTTCCAATATTCAAGTCACTATCTCTAACGGTGCCGAAAAAAGTTGTGTTCATACAGACCGACAGACATCATGACAGACATTGCACAAAACCAATATACTATGAGACCTTCGGTATCAAAGTAAAAAAAACGAAAAACCAATTGAGGAGTGCGGTTACAGTTAACTGCACCTGCTCCTGTACCAGTTAAAAAAAAAAAAAAAAAAACATTAAAATATAACTGCTTTTTCTAATTATAATTATAAAGTTAATTCTTTAAGATCCAGGTAATATTGCCTTATCATCGCCAGAATTATTTTAGATATTCGCATTTGTGTACTTATATCGGTCTAAAATAAGATACTCAATCAAAGGTCTTTTTGAGCGTTATAAAGTCAAAGTTGGTATAATTTATTCAGTAATGTTTCATACACAACTTTTAACGATTCAGAAAACTAAACAAACTGCAGACATTCTACATATCTCTCTCTATATCTACCCAGTTTATGATGCTCCCTTGAATACAGTTAATAATCAGAAATAATCATGTTTGGTTGACTTTATTTGTTGCATGTATATAATATATATATACATATATTGTATTTTTTTAAAATTTTTTTATTTTTAATATTTAATTTTGTGTAATACTTTGATTGAAGGATCTCGAATATACATACATACACATACATATATATTATACATATATTCGAACACATTTATTATTATTTGTTTTTATCATATTCTGCAGTATGTGTGTGTTAAGGTGTGTATGTTTGTTTGTGTTTTTGTGTTCAGTTTAACTCCGCACAACATGCATATATAAATACAGGTAAGCACAAACACACCTCTGTGTGCGTGTGTGTGTGTGTAATATTTGCTAAGCTTTCATTTTATGTAACTTTTGTTTAAGTAGTTGACGTTTTGAATACATTAGATAAATGTTTAACTTCAGAGCCCACAAATTGCAAAATAATAACAAATTATCAAAAAAATATAGAAGGTTACATAATTGTATAAAGACATAAATGTTCAAATTGTTCATAAAGTTTTTTTTTCTTAATATTTTTTTTATGGTAGCAACGTTTCGCAATACATGTTTTCTTTGAATATTTGTAGAAAGATAATAACAATACATTAGGTATAACAAATATCAATATTAATAATAATAGTAATTATAATAATAATAATAATAGTAATAATTATAATAGCATAGGTAGTAATACAAGCATTCTTTCTTTGTTTTTATTGGTGTTTTTTGTGTTGTTTTTTCAATTCCATTTTGTTAAAACAAATACAGTTGGATTTTTATTAAATGTTTCTTGTTTTAAAATTTAAATTGTTTTTTTTTTTTTATAGCTTAGTTAATTTTTTCTTTTCTTTCTTAGTTCCTTGTTATCATTATAACAACAAAACAAAATGCATCCATAGAAGCTAATCTAATAAAACTTCAGAATACACGCAATACATAAATATTTAACAGCGACTTTCTCAATTCAGACAAAATCCAAAGCAATTAGCTCAAAATAAAATGACGAAAAACTATGTTTTAAAATCACTTGAATGCGGTGTTTAATGCGCTTAGGACCATTATGTGTAAACTGAACTAATTATTTTGGATTTCGGAAAAGTTGTTGCTTTGTGCGCCGTCTTTTTGGTTTTTACAAATTTTTTTTTTTAATAAGTTGCCAAGAATAAACGCTCTTAAAATCGCACAAAATACAATTAAAATACATATGCAAATACAAATATATATATATATATACATATATTTATATATATATATTTATACATATATATATATATATATTATACATAATAAATAACAGATGTGTGTTTTTTTATATATATATATATGTATATGTTATTTTTTGCTTGGGGCTTGTTTGTTATTATGTTGGCGCCTGCTCCAATATTTCACTTGTTTTTATTTATAACTATATATATGTATATATAGTTTCCATTATTTTGCTAGGTTTTGTCTATTTATTGTTGCTGTTCTCAGTAGATGATCGTGTCGCTCGCTTTTGAAGTTCGCGTTGTTGATTGCCTGAAATAGTATGCAGCTCGGCTGCTCAGTGTGTGGCTTAACGTTGCGACGTTTACTTCGCTGCTATCGATAACTAACCATAATAATCGCCAATCGATAAAACGATAAAATGAAACTCGTTGTTCCTTGCTCGCTCGTTATTTTTGCTTTCAATAGCTGCTGTTGTGTTGCTGCTGTTGTTGTTTTTGTTGTCGCAGTTGTTATTGTCGCAATTGTTATTGTTGTTGTTGTTGGTGGTGATCTCTAGACATTGAATCTGGTCTCGGAGCCATCGGCCAGCATGAGCGTAACAACACGATTATTAATCCAAACGAGCTTGGCCAATCGCATCGGATTCAGACGCGACACATCCGGAATCGGCGCCGTCGAATAGCCTTTGGTGCAGCGTGTCTGAGACTGTCCCAGACCGAACATTCCGGTGCTCGTCTGCCAGAAGGACAATCGATTCTCGGCACACGAATAGGACACCAGATATTTGCCATCAGGCGAGAAGGCCAACGAGGTAATCGGATGCGTATGCGCCGGTATCATCTGGCATTTATTCTGCCTCAGCTCATAGATGGCCAAATTGCCGCTGTTCGCGCCAACAGCGATGCGACGTGTCTGTGCACAATGCGAGATTTGATTGAACTTACAAATGGCTGGACAGAGTTCAGCCAAGCCGCGGCTCTTCAACTCATTGCTATCTACACAATGCAGCGCAATGTCCATGACCTCAACGAGCAGGCCAGCGATCTCCGATTGCATCTTATCGATCAGCATCTCAACGCACTGGAGTATCTCGCTCTTGGCCTTGTACAGCACAGATTGCGTCAGCGGTGCATTCATCGATTGGGCATTCTGTTGCATCGTATTATAGCGTGCCACCTCCCTGGCCATCGTCGTAATGAACGCTGCCGGTCGAGCGGTTGCGATTAGACGCAACGCATGCCGTGCGGTGCGGCACGCATCCGCTTGCGGTGTCAACGGCAATTTGTAATTTAGATTGGGCACCGCTTTGCCCTCGCACGAAATCTCTAGCAGGCCGAGCAGCACTTTCGATACATCCAAATAGGGTTCCCAGACGGTGAAGCCACGGCCCAGCAAATCGATGGCCGCCCGACGCAACGGCGTATATTGCGGCAGCTTCGGTGATGGTGGTGCATACAGCAGATGGGCCAACGCCATCGAGGTGAGACGGGCCAAATTGTTCGCTATGCCGAAGCCCTCGACAACGGATGAGGATTTACGTCGTTCGCCGGTGGTGTGACTAATGCTGCCGCGATGATTGGGTGACTCCTGTGATATATCCTGTCCAAATTCGGCGCCAATAACGCCCAGAAGTATGACAGCGGTTGTCTGTTTGCGCTTCAGCTCGGACAGACTGGACGGCTTGCGTATGATCTCCTCCTCCTCCTCTTCATAGTCCTCGTCCTGTTGATCGGCAGAGATGCCGCCAACGCCAGCATTGATGCCACCAACACCACCAGACTGACCAGACGCGATCGAGTTGCTGCCGTTGCCCATGAGGGAGCTGCTGCCGGCACTGGAGCCACCAGCACCGCCAACGCCGACACCCGCCTGAGTGTTAGTCATGGCCGCAACCTGTTGTGCATTGACAATCGGTTCCGTGTGCGTGTAGAGGGGCAGATATTGTGCCCAGCTCTCGACCAACTGTTTGCGTCCCTTTTTGCCCATGCGCGTCAGCTCACCGAGCAAGATCTGCTGCGCTGCCTCGCGTATCTCGATGCAATGATGCTGCCAACGCTTGACCATCATCTCGACCTGGGGACGCTTAAATTTCTTTGGTTCGAGCGCCTCAATCTTGTCGGGCAGCAGAAAGCAATGGTGCGTGGACAGCAGACTCCAGCCCTGTTTGATCTGTGAGGTGTGATGGGCGAGCAGCTCCTCACGCTCCTCCTCGTTGCTGAGCGTCGATTCGGCGCGTTGGGCCAGACGCTGCAGCTTCTTGTGCTTCTCGCTGTCGGGCAGAAATGAGGCGGCGCTCATCGACATCAGCGTATTGGACATGGCCACCAGGGCCAGTATGTGATTCGAGGTTAGTGTGGTGCTTAGCTCCCAGTGTAGGCGCGATGTGAATATGGCCGTCAAGTGCTCCAGACGCTGTAGTTCTTCGGGCAGCGGACGCTTCTTTGAACTGGATGGCAACTGGAGCAGGCCAGGCGGTATGGCATAGTTATTCTGCCAGGTCGGCAACAACAGCGACATATAGCCGGCCTTGGAGAGCACACCGTACGAGATGGGCACAATGGGACGCAACAATCCCAATTGGGATTCGCACACCTTATCCAGATGCGGATCGAGGCCCCAGGAGTGGAGCAATGAGAGCAACAGTTGTGCCACTTCCATAACATGTGTCACCTCCATTTTGGATGCAATTTTACTTCTTAGATCCTGCGGCTGGTGTTCCTCGTGCGTTTCGACAGCCTTCTGCAGGCTCTCCACCTTGGCCTGCACCTTCTTCTCAACAATTTCCGTTTTCTCCTTGAACTTCTGGACAAGTCCGTGCTTGTCCTTGTCCTTGAGTATCTTCTCGACATCGACAGCCTTGTTCTTGACCTTGCTAAAGAAGTCGCCGATCTTTTTGCTCGCATCAATGTGCATCGATTTGCCATCCTTGGGATTCTGCAAGTGAACACCGAGTGCCTCCAGTGTGGCGGGCGTCATCTGTGCATATTCCTCGCTGTGCAGCTCAAATATCAATCCCTCGATATCGAAGAAGAGTATGTGACTCTCTGCATCCTTGGGATTGGTACGCAAGCCCTGGATGACCAGCGGATTGCTGCGATGCTTCATCAGGAAATCAAAGTTGCCCTGATTGTGTCCCTGAAGCTGTTGCAGCTGATGGATGCCACGCTGTGTGGCATGCCGCATTGCATTCATATTGCGCGACTTGAGACCACGAAAGAAATGCACCGCCGGATTGGCCATGCCCATTTCACTGGCTGAATTTGCGCCACCACCGCTGCTGCTGCTGCCCGAACCACCACCACCGCAATCCTCCAGCGCCTGTTCATCGCAGGCAGAGAGCACCTCCTCAGCAAGCATGCCATGAAGGACACGATCCAAATGGCCCGTTTCCATTTGCCACACATAAACGCTGCCATCGGAGCAGCCAACAATGAGGAAATCATCCAGTGGTCGCCACTTAATGGTCACCACAGGAAACAGATGACGACTGGCGAGCGTAACGCATTTGCGCTCCTGCAAACTGACCAAGGTCACCGAATGATCCGATGCCACCGAGCAAATGCATTTGAGTATGCGTGGACTGCACGTCTCGGGCGGCACAAGGAGCTGTGTTATCTCACCGGCATGCACACAGAAGCGATGCAACAGACTGCCACTGTACAAATCCCAGAGGCAGACAGCGAAATCAATGCCGCCCGACAACAAATGTGATTTCTCATAACGTGGGTGCACCATCGATGGACAGAGTAGGCAATTGACGCGTCCACGATGTCCATAGAGTGTCTGATGCGATGGCCAATCACTGAAGTTTTGTTTAATACCAACGAGCAGCTGCATCATGACCGTTTGTGTTGCTGGCACAATGACAATGCTGCCATCTTCGCGTCCAATGACCAAACGACTTTGCTGTGGCAAATAAATACTCGATGTTAGCTTCACCGGTGACTCTGTGATCCTCGACAGCTGGTCGAGTATGCCCACAGGCGGTGGATCCATAATTGACCATGCCTCCACCAATGAGGTGCACACATGTGGCTTCTGGATGCGTGGCGGCATTTGCTTCGCCTGCAGTATGCTAATATTATCCAAAGGCACCTCCGGCACATTCCACACGGATATATAACCCTCAGAGTCGCCGCGCAATAGAAAATGTGGTTGCAATCCCGTCAAAAGCTTCATAGCCGGCGGACAGGAGAGCACCTTATCGCCGGCATGCTGCAGCACATAGTACAGATATGGGGCATCGCGGACAACGCTCTTCGAGTGGAACTCCTTGTTATCCGGTATACAATTGGCGGGCAGCTTGTACAAATAGCCCTTTCCCTCATCTGTCCAGAGCATGACGCGATCCGATGTGATGAAATCGCCACCTTGCCAACGTTCGCGAGCTGGTGCTATCACGGAGCAGAGGACAGTGAAATCACCGGCATCATAGATTTGCCAATATTTGGTGCAGACGAGGAGAACGGTGCGCTGATTCTGTGCACAGCAATTCATTGTGATCGCATTCAGGCAGCGTATCTCTTTCGATTCATTCTCATAGATGGGCTCCGCATGCTTGTTCTCATTGCCCGTCAGAGTCCAGACTTTCACCGTGCCGGTGGTGGTGATGGCCAGAACGACATCATCTTTGCGACGCATCGGACGCAGCACATGTATGGCTGAGATCCAATCGGGTTTCACTTTGGAGCTGAGCACATAGATCACCTCCAGGCTGAATGGATCCATGACCATAATTTCGGCGTAGTAGCCAATGCAAAAGAGACGCACATCCTCACTGTTTGCCGTGTGATAACTCTGGATTTGTGTGTGCACCTGCGGCAATTTAACGGCCTCGGTGCATTTGCCATCGATCAGATCCCAAGTGCACATCTCACCGTTCTCCGATGAGCTGACAAGAAAGTTATTTTCGGGAAGCAGTGAGGCTCGCACCAGGCACAGCACCGGTGCCGAGTGCCCAACAAGGAGGCAACGCGGTGACATCTTTAATGTTGCTGGCTCCACTTGCCACAGGCAAATCTGTCCATCGTAGCAGCCGGTGACCAGTGTACATTGATCGTCCGATAGAAAGACGCTCGAAATGCAATGGGTGGGCGCTGTGGGGCCCCACAACACCACTGGCACCACCAGATTCGTACTCACCATGGTAAAAGCACCACACCACACCAACCACGACACCAACTCCTACTTCGACTCCGGCTCCTCCCCGTCGATATTCCTTCTATGTTGTTTCTGTCTCTGTCTTGGTGTCTCTCTCTCTCTCTGTCTCTGGGCAAATATCTTCTTTTTTTGCGTATGTTGTTCTCTGTAAAAATGTATTAGTAAACATTGGGCCACCTCGTAACTTGGCGGGGCCACACTGCGAAATGTATGTGTGTACGTGTTTGCTTACGTTCAAATATACAGTAAACATTCAATTTAGTCCACTAAACACATTTAGCGATTGTATTCAAAAATAAATAATTTGACTTCTCGTAAATAAATAATTTTTTTCAACGATTTATTGACTTTTATGTAGCCATAATAAACAGAGCTTGAACTGCAACTGATATCTAATATTACGCAACTCCGGCTGTGGAATACCAGCCGATAATGCGATTCCAGCTATCAAATAATCTGAGGAAACTGCTGAACACTGTAAAAATACATAAATAAATAAAAAAAAAAGCACATTGAGTGCAAGAATTATGCGTCTTCTATCTATTATCTAAGAACTACAAAATAATCAACATTGTTGAGAACGTTGTTTTGTTACAGCACAGATTGCTAAGATGATAAAGAGAGAATAGTATTGCATTAACTATTTCCATACCCAATTCTAATGTCAAAGAAAGCTGCGCTGACAACTGACATTTTACGGAGTATGGAATATATTGATGGAATGTGGTTCTTCTCAATAAGTGAACTTAATTGTAATTTATATTTAGCTCACACTTTTTGATAAAACTTTAATGACACATTCCATAAGCCTTTTTTTCGTTCAGAGTGACCGACCAACCAGAATCAATAAAAGAAGTAATAAATATAAGCTGTTCTTCTTTGTACAATTGAATTGAATTGAATTGATCGGAAAACATATGTTTTACTTCGAGCTGTTATAGCGACACTTTACTGCACTGTACTTAACAGAGACAGACAGGGAGAGACAGAGAAAGAGAGCAAAGTCAGCGTATTGAATATCAAAAGATAAACACAACGCACACACAAACACACATTGTGTTATACAATTTGAGGCGGCGCTTGCTGGAGACACAACCTTGGGGGTTAAAAAAAAAAAAAAAAAAATTTCCATCATCCGTGTGGCAAACAATATGTGACAAGGATGAGCAAACTAAAAGCACCGAAAAAATTGGAAAAAAAAAATTGGCAAAGACTTAAAATGAAAAGAAAAACATTCGCTTTTCAAGCTAAGACAATATGCGTTTGTATGTATTAAAGAATAGAAGTGTGTGCCACAATTGCTCTACTAAGCAAACAGATGGAATCGACTCGTAATCAACTGGACACAGACATATATCAACATTATAGAATATACAAAGTGAACGTACATACATATTACATATATATATATATATATATTTATTTATGTATGTACGTCAGCAGCAGGCGGGCAATTAGCTGCAGCCAGCAACAACTTAGGCAAACGTATAAAATTTGTTATATGGCTAACTGGGCAGAACGCTCATCAATTCTATAATATGCTAAATTAATTGGTTGACAGCCGAACGACTCGTGCGTATGCATTTTAGGCTTGGAAAAATTAAAACGCCTTCCCAATTGGGGTGCACAACACACACACACATATATACACATAAATAAGAATTGTAAGTAAGCAGTTTAGACCCCGCCAATAAATTATAATTGTAGATAACTTTGCATTTAGCTAACATTTTTTGTTGTATTGGATTCCGTATTGGTGGCGCGTGATTTATTGCCCTCCTCCCTCGCCGTTTGAGTTTGAGCTGTGTTGTTTTGCTGTTTGATGTTGTGTGTCTTTGCTATTGATCCTGATCCGTGTATCGCTGCTGCTGTTGCTGCATTTTCAGTGTTGTAAATCTGTGTTAGTTACGCAGCGCAGTTACGGAATGTCGTCGACGTTGTCGTCGTCGCCTCACGATTCTAATTTGAATACACTCCGTATTTTTCTTTCCGTCGCTATCCGTTCAGTTACAGCACACACACATACATACGTACATTGCTGTTTTTGTTGTTCTTTTTGTTATTGCTATCGCTGTTAGCGTTTTTTTCATGTGTATTTTATACTATTTTGCCCATTGGGTTTTGGCAAATATAATACAACTTTTCGTCCGAATGTTTTTGCACTATTTGTTCACGTTAAACAATCACTTGGGATTTCACTTTGTATATTCTATTTGTTTTTATAAATATATTTTTTAACATTTTTTTTTTTTTGTGAACACACGAAAATCTGCTGAGCACAGAAAAAAAAGCAATAAAGATATCGACCGTGGGGTAAAATTTGTCGATTAATTGCTAGAGTTGTGGTATCGTCCAATGAAGACGATATATTTGCGACTGGGTGACAGCTCTGCACAACAATTTTGATATTTTGCTTAAATGTTAATGCTTTTTGAGGTTTATTGCGCTTGCAGTATACATTTCGAAAAAGCGCAATGCTTTAAATGAGCTCAATGCAAATTTGGCAGACTTATGCCACATTTGCTGCACTCTATTCGTACGCATTTAACGCCGTTGTCGTTACCCATTGCCCAACGGCCGCAGTGCACCCAACGGTGGCATCCGCTGGCTTGGCAAACAAGCATTCATATATTTGTGGCATAACCATACCAAATGTATAATAATTGTTTGATCGAATATTGTTATCTGTTAGTCGAGCTTGCTTCAAATATTTATATATTTTTTTGAAATGTTCCGAATGCTATATGCATGTTAATAAATAAACACGCTAGTCAACAACGGAGCGAACTGTGACTGTTGCTCTCGTGTAAATATCAAGGATTAAATATACATAGCGAATAGTTAACGCTACACAAATTCGTTCACTTACCGTCGAAAATTGATTTAATGTATTTGCTTTTAGCTTTGGGTGCACTTTATTATGAATTTACAACAAAATGTTCTTGAAACACACTCTTTTGAATGGCGGCTAGAAAAGAAAAGCAGCAATGAGTTATACGTTGTAGTGTTGTATAAGGGGCATATATCGACACATCGGAAAATCGCGTCAGGCCTATATTCTAACATTTTAAACAGTTAAGACAGCTGATGCAGAAGCAGATGCAGATACGAATAATAATACTGATACAGATGCAGATACACTAATACATTGTTAATAGTGTATTTTTCAGGAATGCTGCCTGTTGCAAAGCGAAACCCTAATTGGGTTGCTTTAATTAAATATTATTTAGCACTGCATCAAGTGCGAATACGCAATACTCCAATTTATTTGCCATATTAAACACGTAATATTTACTGATTAAATTTGATTTATGCGTATCTTGAATTATTCTGTTATTAATTTTAATCATATTTAAGTCCCGCAGCACCGAAGTGAGGAGCAACACTGTTAAGTGAGGAGCAGCTCTGTTTAGTGCAAATAAAAATAAACAAATGCGGCGCCTGTTACAAAATAAGAATTCCGGACAATTCAATGTCTGGCAGCTGATCAGTCGAAATGTAAGCAACAATAGCGCCGACTACGCCATTCACAGGCCGCAATTGGAGCCACAAAAGCCAACGCAGACCACAACGGATGATGTCAGCAGAGAAGATAAATTTAGTGCCAAATATTGCATGGGCCTTGTGGAGTAAGTAAAAAATGGACAATGTTATTTAATGATGATGATGAGCCGCCGTAATTACTAGGAAATATGATTATGAGAACTATCTGAGCACTTTGCTGCTGCCCAAGGAGCTGCGTCCGGCGGCCTTTGCACTGCGCGCCTTCAACGTGGAAATCTCACGCTCTGTCAGCGCTCAGGTGGGTCCGGATCATGGCCAATGGGCCGAAAAACAACAAGTGCATAATGCAAATCTCAAATCATTGCAGCTCACCGAACCACAAATAGCCAAATTGAGGCTCAAGTTTTGGTACGACTCCATAGACAAGTGCTTTGAGCCGGAATCTAGTAAATCTTATGTTAAGGATCAGCCCGTGTTGCGAGAACTGCGGCGCACCGTGGGCACAACCAAACTGAATAAATTATATTTGCGCCGACTGGTCACGGCTCGTGAACGTCCCTCGAATCAGGCGTTCGAGACCCTGCGTGAGTTGGAGGACTATGCGGATCAGACATGCTCATCGCTACTGCATCTGCTGGTGCAGCTTAGCGGCGTGCAGGACTTGCAAGTGGACCATGCCGCCTCGCATATAGGCAAGGCGCAGGGCATAGCGATGCTGATCCGTGCCATACCCCACGCTGGCCGCCAGCAGGCGGTCTGTGTGCCCCTCGAGATCCTCATGCGTCACGGCGTCAGCCAGGAGCGCATTCTGCGCAGCGAACACAACGACAAGGGCGTCGAGGAGTGCATCTTCGAGGTGGCCAGTGCATCAAGTACGCATCTGAAGCTCGCCCGTCAGCTATCGCCCCAGGTTCCGAAACTGGTGCGCAAGATTTTTTTGCCTGCCGTCGCAACGGATGGTTATTTGGAGCGCCTGAGGCGAGCGCGCTTCCTGTGAGTTGAATGCATACAATAAGAACCCAGTTAGAATGTTTTCCAATTTGTTGAATTACATTCATTTCAGATTAACGCATCCGAGTTGCATAAAGCGCGACACCATGTTGCCCGCTCGTTTATTCTGGAAGACGCTGTTCAGCAAATACTAGAATTAGTTGGCGAATTGTTTTAAAATCAGTTAATTATTAAAGGCGATTTAAAGCTCGAACTTTCGCATGTACATGAAAAACCTCTTTTGGTATAAACAGAAATATGTACAGGTAGGTAAATGTCAAAAATTCAAATCAAGTAACCTTTTTCTTATTACTCAACACGCACACTCAGTAGGCATCGATATCGGCGACTTTGTGTATCGATCCCAGTTGTTGCTACTGTTGATTGAACGTAGCGCGCTGTGAGTTTATTTTAGTTTTTAGTGATTGGCAAAAGTATACAATTAAGTCAAATTAAAATTGCCATAATTTTTAGCTGAATGTCTATTATTATATTATGAATGTGCCCTCCTATTGTGTGTTATTTGAAAAAATTTGCCAACGGAGCCGTGCGCCAGGCGCACTTCGAAAGTAAGCACCGTTTTGTTAGGTGAATACAATGTACAATTGCATTAAGAGTTTTATGGTGAGTTCATGTTATAACATACATTCACATATATATAGATATAGATATTTTATGGCGAGTTCATATTACATATGTGTATAAATAAAGATGCATTTTGTTTTTATATCAAGGCCTAACGGTTAAATGCACGCCATTTTTTTTCAGTACACGCAAAATACCTTATGAATTTTTGCCCGTGTCTTTGCTGCGCTTCTAACAAAATAACGGATCTTCGCAGCGCTCACTCTCTCTTTATTGCACATACAGCTCTAAGCTGGTGGTACGAAAAGCAACAAGGATAGATTGACACAAATAAGAAATACAGTTACTTGTATACAGTAGTGGCCAATTCCAATGAGCAGAGAGTAATCTAATAAGATAGAATAATACTGAAATAAACTGCACTCAATGAAATACACTGCAAAAACAATCTAAAAACAAACAAAAAATAAAAACAAACAAAATTATATAAAAACTATAAAAATATAAAGAAACTTAAAAAAAAAGGATAAAATAATACAAAAAATTAGCATAAGGATTACAAAAAATTTACTTAGTTTAAATCATTAGTAAACGCCGTACGCCTTGAGCAAAGTAACAAAAAAAAAAGAAAAGAAAAATTAAATATTTTTCATATCGTAATTGGGCTATGTATGCGAACCAAGCTGAAATGAAAATCTTTGCCACGACTGTTGTTGTTGCCAGTTCAGCGGATGAGGCTGGTGCGGCAACAGTAGCAACAACACAACAGCACCAGCACCAACAATTGCAGCAGCAGCAGCAACGCGAATATCGCTGTGCTGCTCAGGTGAAGTTCAACAAGTATAACAACAAGGCAAACAATATGTTGCGACAAGCCAAATATGGCAACAACAACAACAGCAGTAATAACAATAACAACATCAACACTGATAACAAACATGCAAAGCGACTGCAGCAACAGTCACAACAGCAACAGTCGCAACAGCAGCAGCAGCAACAACAACAGCAGCTACACTACAACAACAATAATAATATGCACAACTTTGCGCGCAAGAAATATTTTGGCAGCAATGCCAACAATAACAATAACAACAACAGCAGCTACAACTGCAACCAACAGCAGCAGCAATCGCCTTATTACCAGCAGCAACACGCGACCGCAGCACCAACAAACAACAACAACAACTTGGTGATGAAAAATCAAAATATTATCGAAGAAATCAGTTGCAAACAACAAAGAAGCGATAGAAACAACAACAACAGCAATGATACCAACAGCAACAATACAAAGTTGCTAATAAAATCGAATAACAATAGCAGCAACAACACCAGCAATAGCAGCAACAACACAAGCAATAGCAGCAACAACAATTCAACATCATCTGTATATTATAGCTGCAACGGCATCGAGTCATCGACAACTCAAACAGTAGCCAACAATAACAATGATGAACGGCAGCAGCAGCAACAACAACAACAGCAGCAGCATCATCATCAAAGCACACCAACTAAGTTGGCAACATCAGCCAAGCAATCAGCAACAACTGCAAAGACACAGCAACAACAGGACAACGGCAACAGCAAGACGCAAAAGCCCCGACAGCAACCGTTGAGCTTCTGGAAGACGAGCTATCCACAACAGCCGACGCCGCAGCAGAAGGAAGTAAGCCAAACTTGCAACAGTTGTCTATATCCTTGCAGCAGTTCTCATACAAACAGATAAAGAATATACCAAAAATAAATTTCCTGATCGCAAGATGTAATAGTAATTTAGGAACGAAGGATGGCATACATTAAAAAGAAATGAAAATTGCCCTGCATTTTAGTAAATCTCCCTAAAAAATAAAAAATAAAAACATTTCTAACCGTTTGAAAAGCATGCTCTAAATTGGCAATCCAAAAAATATATTAAGACAAAAATATATCCAAAAAGTAGAAAAAATCAATTCTATAATTCGGAAATGAGTAATAAAATTAAATTGTTCGGTTTTTATGTGAGAGTTTAGCTGTTGTCTGCCTTAAATGAATTTATAAACTATTCTTAAGAGAAAGCAAACAACAGCCTGGAAATTCGACATATTATTTCTGAATTATAGAAAAATCCAATCGGAAATTTAGAAATGCAAAACTAGTTTTTATCAGTCAGAGGCACCAGATCTCAGGCAAGCCAAACGTCTCAGAAATGATTTAAGCATGTAATTGCCGTGGCAAAGAACTGGCTTAGAATACTCACCGGTCTCTTGACAGGACACTTTAGACTAAGAAATCACTTCACTAAACTTAACAGCGAGCAAACTCTGCCGGTTTTGTGATAATAAGAAAGAGTCCTCATTGCGCATCATAGCAGATTGCGTCGACTTAGCTGGAAAAAGATGCGGATATGCTTGAGCAACATGATAACCCTCAACCAGACGAAGATTCTCGCCATCGTGTAGGAGTTAGGATTGATGAAAGGGCTATAGACTCGGCAGTTTCACAACAGATCTAATAATAATAATAAGCTGTAAAATATAATATATATTATAAATGAATATATTCTGAATGGAACATCATTCTCAAGAGAGAAACCAGAATGCACCTTAGCGAGTGGAAATTAGTTTAAGTTCACGTCCGATTACCCTGGTCATCTGCGATGACTTATAAGTAGTCGGAACTGGCTGCAAGGATATACGAAACTTTGGCTTGATGTTGTACACAGATGGTTTATTTGATATTGATTGCTTTACTATTAACTCAAGGATTACGCGCTCTTTTTGCAGCAGCAATTCAAGCAGTCGCTGGCCACACAAAAGAAAACGGAGTTGGCTATGGCAGCAGTGGCAGCAGCAGGCGGGGGAGGAGGAGGAGCATCATCGGATCAGCAGCAACAGAATTATCAATATTACTACTCGCATCCCAAGCAGCTGACCATTGCATCGTTTCTGCAAAAGGAGCAGTTGCCTGAAACCGTTGAGACTAGCCCCCCACAGCAACAGAAACAGCAGCAACAACAGCAACACAAGCAGCAGCAGCAGCAAACAGGCGCTTATCAGCAACGGTATCGCAACTACGGCTACAACAACAACAACTATCTGCAGCAGCAACATACATATCCTCACCATGCACAGCAGCAACACAATCACATGCCCAACTCGCACTTTCGTCGCAATAAGAAATTGCATTACAACAGCAACAACAATAGCAATAACAACCACAACAACTGCCCTCTAGCGACATCTGTACATAAGCCCATTGAGATTGTGCCCGGCAGCAGCTATAACAACGCCTCACATCGGCGCATGCAAAATGCAACAGTTGCTGCTGGCAATACCAATCATCATGTTGCCACAAGCCACAAAAATGGCTACTATCAGCAGCTGCATCAGCACAGCCATCGGTTCCACTCGCTGATGACATCCAATGGCGCCACGCCCATCAGAGCCGAGCATCAGAAATTATACAATTTGACTTATGTGAATATGGATGTTCAGGAAGCAGTTGCAGCAGCAGCAACAGCAGCAGCTGCTGTCGTCACAACGCCAATAACAGCAGGCGAAAATGGTGATACTGCAGCGGCAACTGTTGCTACAACATCGAATCGCAGCAGCAGCAGCAGCATTTTTCTGCAGCCGCCGCCAATGCTACAATTGCCGATGCTCGGTCCGGGCATACTATCGCCGGTAGCTCTTACGCCGGAGTCTGTTACGACGCCCACAAACATGATTAGCTGTGCCCAGCTGGATGAGGCAATCACAGCGGCAGCAGCCAGCGGCACCACCAACCAGCCTGTGGAACCCTCACCCATTGTCTATGTGCACAGTCCCAGCTATGCACCACTGCCTTTTATGCTGCACCCACAGCAGCAGCAACAACAACAACAGCAGCAGCAGCAACAGTCCCAACAGCTGTACACGAACAAAACACAGCAGCATCAACACTTTTTCGTTGGCTTTGGAGATGGTTATAACGGCAACAACACCGCCGCCGCCTGGTCGCATGCCCAAAATTCCCCTTGTTATACGCCTGCCTACGGTCCCGGTCAGGGTCCGGGGAGCATGTCCAGTGGCTCAACACATTCAAACAGTCGCATTCCGTCGCATTGCGCCGTTTCGCCTGCCTCGTCCACCTGCTCGCTGGCCAGTGAATCCCAATGGAGCAGTCGTAGCCGGTAGGTGTTCCCCCACCAGTTGTATCTCATCTCATACAAACCCTCTAACTCAAAAGGATAAATTGTATATTTATTCATATATTATTATTTTTTGTATTCATTTCCTGGCTTGCTAAAAACCATATCAGTTTCATCCCTCTTTCATGCCCTCGAAAATGTGCTGTAATCTCATTTAGCCATTTGTTGAAAGAGATCTTCATAAAAGCTAAATTGATCAGATTCGTTTCAGTAATTTTCCTAATTGGATAAATTCAATTTGGATTAATTATTAACTGATTTTCTGGACCCTGTTGTTCGATTTCTTGGAAATCAAAAAACGATTAAACAATGCCACCGCTTGCTGGCAATATACCGCATCCGATTTTATTTAATGGGACTACGTTTTGATTTAGTTTGCTTTTTGGTTTTCTTGTCAGATGCAGTAGGGAAACATACTCGCAGACATTCAGATCTTCAAAGTTTTTTGATTATTCCAACGCAGCTTTGCCTCCACGGAGCTGTTAAGCGTTTCGCCCACGCCGCCAGCTGCAGCTACAGCTGCAAGCGCCACAAAATCAGTCTCGACAGTGTCAGCAGTCTCGGGGACGGGAACAACGGGTGGCCAACCGGCGACATCGCCGCGATTGGGCAATATGGGTAATGGAATGCATGCGATGTTACCGTTTGGGTTACCACCACCACTGCCACCACTACCCATGCCCGTGAACGGGGCATATCCGCATTATTGCGGTCCAAATTGCGGCTGCAGTGGCGGCAATATGTCGTGGACGGCATCTTGGTATGAGCCGATTTTGCCGCCGGATCGCTTTCTGGATCATGCACGCAACGTTGAATTGACCATGCAACCGGAACAGCTGTTATGCCACAGTAAATACGACAATCTATCGATGGATATATGGAAACACTTTCGGGGCGCACAACAGACCCACGCCACGTTCAAGCGAAAGATGCGACTGTGGCGACATCTGTTCATCTGGCTATACGTGAGTATATCTTGGCCGCAATGGATCCGCAACATCTTTGAAGTGTTCTTTCTCTTTTTTGGTGATATATACTTATTTTTGTAGCAGACCATGTTTTCGGGCTATCGGATCTGCTTAGTGGGCTCAACAATCACTGGCTTCGGCACGGACTCATCAGACATCGATATGTGCCTGTTGCCAGACCATCAGATGCATCATCATCATCACCATCACCATCACCATCAGCAGCAACAGCAGCAGGAGCAGCAGCAACAGCATCACTTTCACAACGAGCAGCGCACCAAGGCGATTATGACATTGAATCTGTTCAATGAGGTTCTCAAAGAAACGGGCAATGGTAAGCCAAGTTTAGTACAGTAATAGTATATTTTTATATATATTCATACTTTGGCAAGCCTTATAAAATCGAAATGAAAGTTTTAAGCTTTAACCAGTTGAATTTGTTTACTATAATCCTTGCAATAAAAGTCTATGTTCATGCACTCAATTTTTGCCGCAGAAGTTTTTCAGGATTTCAATTTAATTGAGGCACGCGTCCCAATCCTTCGCTTCAAGGATCGCCTAAACGGCATCGAAGTGGATCTCAACTATAACAATTGTGTGGGCATTAAAAATACATATCTGCTGCAGTTTTACGCGCAGTGTAAGTACAAATAAGAAAATCATTTCTAATCACTCATCGATTAATATCAAATGTTAAACAAATCTGCAGTGGATTGGCGCACACGGCCACTGGTGGTCATCGTGAAGCTGTGGGCGCAATATCATGACATCAACGATGCCAAACGGATGACCGTGTCGAGTTACTCGCTGGTGCTGATGGTGTTGCACTATTTGCAGTATGCCTGTATGCCGCGTGTGTTGCCCTGCCTGCAGGCGCTCTATCCCGATAAATTCAATTTGGGGCAGCAGGATTGCCTCGATCTGGATCTCATCGAGCCCATTGAGCCGTATCATACACAAAACAAGCAAACGCTCGGCGAGCATTTGCTTGGCTTTTTCAAATACTACAGCACATTCGAGTGAGTACCACACCACACCAGTCAAGAGATGTTCTTTCAAGTGTGTTTCATTCATTTGTTGTATACCCTTTTTAGCTTTGAGAACTATGCTATATCCATACGCACTGGCGGTGTTTTACCCGTAACTGCCTGCCGTCTGGCCAAGAGTCCCAAGAACGACATACACCAGTGGAAGGAGCTGAACATTGAGGGTGCCTTTGCGTTATATATATATATATATATAGATTTATCTCTTAAATTAATGTTTGTCCAAATATCCATTTCAGAACCCTTCGATTTGTCGAACACAGCGCGTTCTGTTTACGACAGTGCGACCTTTGAGCGTGTAAAGACTACATTTATAGTGACGGCGCTTCGATTGGAGCACACATTGGATCTCGTCTCGATATTCACGCAAATTCATCACGCCACTCAAAAGCCGTCCGTGCATCATGCTGCCAATCATGTCCATAACTCGCACACCTCGCACGGTAGCCATCAGTCATCACATCAGCCGCAGCAGCAGCATTCACTGCACGGACGTGACTCCACCTTTGGAGCGGCTCCCCAATCCGTGCATCACGTCTGAACAGACAATTGGCATTTATATGAAAGAATTGTCCGTCATTTTGCAGGCATTTCATAATCATCTACAGGTTAGTTTCAGACTGAGGCTGTTTTAGTTGAGTCCCGTTATCATCGCTATATAGTGATAGTCTCAATGTTTTAAATTTGAGTTTTTTGTTTTGTTTTGTTCAAAACCAATTTTTATACGTACACTTTGAAAGTCCACTATTCGACTATTGCGTATATATATATAAATATTGTGATATACTAATGAAAAATAATTAATTATTAAAATAATGTTTTCCGAATCTTTGCTGAGGAACACTCTAAATACTCACACATTGATGTTCAACAAGAAAATAACTTCATAATTTGAATTTTTTGATCTCAAAAATGAGTAGAAAACTTTGCGTTAGCTAGTGTTATACACATATTTACTGCATTAGATGCTATATTTTAAAAAAATAGTTTTTATTGTGCGATTTTGAGCGTTTTGCCATCGAAATTAATTAAAATATATATACATAAATATATATATATATATATATATATATATATATATATTGATAATTCTGATTAAATCTTCAATTCTAATGGCTCCAAGCAATAATTTTATAGATCATATACTATTGTAAATTGTGCAATCAAAAAAAAGCATGCGGCAACATCGAGCGATAATTGTGATACGTAAACTTAATGTACAAAACTGTGTTTTTGTGTATATGTTGGGAGCTTACACGTATGCAGTTAATTTTAAGATAAGCCTCATTTATATAGATATCTAGGAGGCACCTGAGAACGATTTTATTAACGAATATACAATCAAATGCTCCTGCTTAGGGAGTAATTACATAAAGTATTATCAATTTTGAATGAATTTGTATTGACATAGTTTTGGAATTAACTGGGCATGTGTAAACTTCATTTTACAATTAGAATGTCTCTTGTGAGAGCTGACAAGAAACCAGAAAAACTTAAGAAACCAGTAAATGATAATAAAATATGCATTTCTTACAGCCCTCCTCCATACAAATGCAAACATATTTCAAAAGTATGTGCACTTAAGCGAAGCAAAACTATATGCACAATGAAAAAAAAAAAAAAACTATAAAAAAAGCAATAAATTATAATTAAAATTTATTTCAAATATAAATATTGTAATACCTTTTGGTTACAAGTTTTGTAAATTCAAATTTAATTATATTGAGTTTGAATAATCTTAAATTCCATTTATATCTTTGTCCGTGTTCTCTATTTAAATTATATAAAATCGTAGCCCCCACAACCCCCTCCCCCCATCAATGTAATTGTTAAGTTTTTTTTCGATCACTCACTTTACGTCACATTTACTGTAAAAAAAAAAAAAAAATGTAATCAAAAGAATATAAATCGAATCATGAAATTTGAAATATGTTAGGCGAAATAGCTGCAGAGATGAATATATATCAAATACATCGCACAAACCAATGTCATACCAAAATAAAAATAAGAAAAAATAAACTTTCGTTTATGTTTTTTCTTCTGTTTTGCAAAATGTAATATTTTTTATTCAGAACTTGTTTTTAAAGTGTGTGTGTGTGGTTGGGTGGGGGGAGGGGTATATAATCACATTATTGACGTATCTGTATAAAAATATACTATTTTTTTTTGTCTACTTCTGTTGTTTGCATTTATTATTTTTGTATGTGAGTTTGTGGGCAAAACATTTTTTTATTTTTAACATTTTCCAATGTGTATTCTTGCAAAAAATTTTAAATAAATGAAATATTTCCAAACCGTCTTAAATATGTTGTTGAATGAGGGCGCCGCCTTTTTAAAATACTTTTTTTTTTTTTGTTTTAAATAACAATTTTTCATAATTGTTTTCATTAAGAAATATAAAGAAAAGTACATTTTAAAAAGAATTAGATACGTCTTCGTGTTAGATGCGTGACGATTCCGAAATAAAAACTGATTTCCAAGCAAATGAAATTTAAAAAAATTGTGGTTATCACACCACAAAAAATGTTGCAAATATTTGGGAAGAGATGTTGGTTTTTCTTTTTTAACAGAAACAAATGGCATTTTTCGCATACAAGGTTATTTTGTTGGGCATTTTGAAGCGGCATCATTCCGCGCTGAAAATTCGTTGAAAGTTTGTAGAATTTGTAGGAAAATGGCGCCCCGACGTTGTCACGTTGTCTCCAATATCAACGGATGCATCTGCAGGCAGGCGCGCAGCCCGCGCATCTCTCGCGCTCTGTGGCCGCCGCTGCCAACGTTGCTCGCTCGCTAGCCGTCGCTAGCAGCAGCGTGTCTGGGAAGGCGAGCTGAAGCTGGAGCTATTCTCATCCACGCGTGTGTTTATGTGTATGTGTATGTTTTCTGTGTGTCTGTGTGATTCCGTTGCTGTGTATATTGGTGTGCGTGGCCGCAGCTGATTCTTTTCACTGATGCCGCTTCTAATCATCAATCGCTGTCGCTCTTACTCTTTCTCTCTCTCTCTCTCTCTATCTCGCCTGTGTGGCTAGATTTAACTGTTAGACTTTTTCCCTGATGCTCTTTGCCATATTGCTTCGTTGCGTCTTCGTCTTTAGTTTGCTGCTCTTTCTCATGTTCTTGTTGCTGCTGCTGTTGTCGCTTTCGTTGTTGCATTTTTTTTGTTCTTTTTTTTATTTAATTTTTTTTTTTTGCCATGCTGCTGCTGCTGCTGCTGCCGCCACTGCTGCTGCTTTGGATGGCTTCGAAGTTCTTTCAATTTGTTTGTTGTTGTAGTTTGCTGAGTTTATTGTTGTACATTGTTGTTGCAATTGTGTGCATCTCCTCAGGCTTCTCAGTAAGGTTGCGAGAATTGATTCAAACTGCGTTCGCCCGACTATAGCATCCACGAAAAAGATATGAGAAGAGAGTTGAGAATGTTTGTTAGTACGAAGCAAATTTCACTTCAAATATAACAAGTTGTTTTCAGTTCATAACTACAATTAAATCACTCCGAATTGAATAGGTAACAGCAATGGAATAACGTTACGAAATACGTTACAAATTTGAGACTTATTTGTAAATTGCTCGCAAGCTTTACGTTAACTAAAGGAATACATTTGAATGTTTCAACTAAATTTATGGTTAAATCATGAATTACACGTTAGTTTGTAACAACTGCGAATTCAACTAAAAAAAAAACTATTAGTGAGCTATAGCAAATTGAAATAATTTTAAGTAACTCACTACAGCAGCAACAACGTTAAATAAGAAATTTGTGTTAACTTAAAGAAATAAGTGGCGAAATTATGAATTTAAATTCGTTTCAACTCTGAGTGCTTCTAGAATAAGCGCAAAAATATGCTTTATGTTAACTTGTGTTATGTTAGTTATGTTACATTACGTTATGTTATCTTATCTTATGCTACGTTATGTTATCTAGGATTTCTTGAAATTCCTGAATTTATAAACTTATATTCACTTGCCGCAACACTTACCACATTGAAAACATCATCCTGTGAGAGCAGTCCGTCCATTTGGGAGATATGACCAAAGTCCTGCGACAGCTCCGGCTGCTGGGACAGCGCAAAGCCGCTCGGCTGTGTCATCTGCAGCGACAGAGCCGCTGGATATTGACTGAATGGAGCTCCAATGCCTGATCCACTTGCTCCACCACTTCCTGCTGCTGCTGTTGGTGTTGCTGTTGTGATTGATGTTCCAGATACTCCAGATGTTGCTCCCGCTCCTGTTGTTGCTGCTGCTCCTGCTGTTATTTGAAGCGTTGTTGTCGCTGGTTCAGATGCTGCTCCTGCAGCTGCTGGTTCCGTTCCTTGCAGCATGCCAGCATTCAAATTGTTGCCGCCGCCAGCACGTGTCTTTGACATCTTGTTGCCCTTCTTGCTGTTGCCGGCTGGACCGGCGGAAATGGCCGGCACATAGCCAGACGACTGATTATTCTGCATTGCCCGATTCTGCTTGGCGGCCATAATGGCCTGCTGATGCTGATTGTAGAAGCGGGGCGGCAGACTGCTCATGTTCATGAACATGCCCACTGGGACGGGCATGTTGCCCAAGGCAGCGGCGCCATGATCATTCGAGATGAACCCAATCGAATCATGCAGATTCGCTGCTGTCCAGCTGGCTGGATTTCCTGCAGTGTTGTTGCCGACCCCGCCAATGGGTCCATAACTATTGTTGCCACCAGCACCGCCAGCGCCGGAGCCATAAACGGGATTAATCATATTATTGCCAACGGTGGCCATAGCAGCTGCAGTTGCAACACCAACACCAGTACCAGCAGTCGCATAGTTGGCATAGGGATTGGGTGCATAGTGGCCACCAATGCCAACGCCAGCGCCACCGACACCATTGAAGGATTGTGTGGGTGGATTGAGTGGCGCCTGGCGTGTATAGCCGCTGCTACGCTCGTATATGGAACCGGGGACGAGCACCTCCTTGGCATCGGCCATCATTGTGGACATAAAATGGGCGCCAATGTTCATACTGTTCACAAGCTTCTTGGGCTTCTGGAAATGGATGAGGGACTCCTTTAGATTATTTAGTGAGCCCTCGACGAGCACTTTGCGATCCTTGTAGAAGTTGAGCAAATGATTCCACAGCTGTTGCTTGGACAATACCTTCGGATTGCCGACAATGATGATGCCGTATTTGGCGCGAGTTAGCGCCACATTCAAGCGACGCGGATCGTTGAGGAAACCGATGCCCTGTCGCTCATTGGAGCGCACACACGACATAATAATGATGTCCTTCTCGCGACCCTGAAACGCGTCCACGCTGGCTATCTCGATCTCCTGATACAGGCGCGAGTGCAAGCTGCCCTGGTACTGCATATATTGGACCAGATAGGCACGCTGACCCTCATACGGGGTAATTATGCCAATCTGTTCCGGTTTGATGCCCGCCTTGAGGAAACGTGTTGTGATTTTCTCCACATTGGCCGCCTCGGTTCGATTGAGAAACGATGTGCCCGAGCCGGCAATCTCCTCCTGTCCCTGCGTAACCAAAAAGAACATCGGACGATCTGGCTGCGGCCACGGAAAGTCCAGTTTAAGGCGGCGATCCTCGGCACAGACACCATTCTGCAGCGAGCCCTCATAGAAAAAGTTGGACGGAAATTGTGACAGCTCCGGATGCATGCGATATTGCACCTCCAGACGGAACGGTCGTATGCCCAGCACAACGAGACGCTCGAACAGGCTCTGGGAGAGGCCGGCGCGCGCGGCTTTCTTGCACATGACCACTGGTCCCAGCTGGCAGTGATCACCGACGAGAATGAGTTGCTTGGCCCCAAGCACCACCGGCACCATACACTCAGGCTCCGTGGACTGCATGGACTCATCGATCAGTATCGATGTGAATTTGATGCGAGACAAACGGACATCGCCGGCGCCAACGCATGTGCAACAGATGACATCGGCTGCCTCGAGCAGTTGATTTTCGGTGGCACGTTTCAGACTGCGATAGCGTTTCTCGTCCGCTGAGCTTAGCTCGCCGGTTTCATCCTTCAGTTGTTGCAGCTTCTTTAGCTCCGAATTTGTTTCCATGTTGCGTATCTGATTGTGCAGCGCCAGGAAGCTAACGGGACTATCGATGGCCTCGCGACTCTTGGCACAAACGCGCACCACCTTCAGATTGGTGCGATGAATCTTCTCGGTGAGCTGATCGACAGCCGTATTGCTGGGCGCACAGACGAGCACCGTGCCGCCATGCTGCTTCACCAGCTGATACACAATTGTAGCCGATGTGACGGTTTTACCAGTGCCAGGCGGTCCCTGGATCAGGCTAAGAGGTCGCTGCAGTGCATGCTTCACCGCATACACCTGCGACCGATTCAGATCCGGCAAATGGGGGGCACTATACAGCTTGGGCTGTGGGCCACGAAACAGCACCTCATCGCTGCCATCGGCCCGACCGTGTCCCAGCAGACGCGAGTAGATATAGTTGGACACCGAATTGCGATCCATGGCAAAGTTGCGGAGAGCACGAGTCATCCGATCAAATGATGTACACTTCCATATGAAGTCCACGCTAAAGTTGCTGGTGAACTTGAGCGGGGCATTTGAGAAGCATTTGAGCTCCAGGCCAACATCGTCGCCAAAGTTATCGGGCACCTTGATGACATGCCCAATTTCGCTCCACGGATTGTACAGTTCGCCGACGTAGCGCAGTCGGAGCTCATCGCCGTGCATGAGTTTCATGTCTGAATCGGTTTTGGCAAGCGTAAAATACGCAATTGTCTTCTTATTGAGGCCCACATCCCAGCGCACCTCTATGTTCTCCTGTGTGGCGGACTCCTTCAGCTTCTTATCGTAGTCGGCCTCGAGGCTGACCAGTGGGCCAAAGGTCTTCTCATATTGATAGCCATCCTCGTAGCGTAACAGCACTTGCGACGGCTCCGAATCGATGCCGGGCTTTTCCAAATCCTGCAATCAGATATTGTCAATATATCATCGATATTTTCTGTGTGATTCACCAGCTCACCTGGAATGTTGCCTCAATGTTATCCTTCCACAGTTCCTCGAGCTTATTGATTTGCGCTGCGGAAATTTGGCGTGCACGCAACTGACCCTGCTCGCTGGGCTGTTTGACCAGCCAGGCGAGAAAGCAGCGATCGGCAATTAGCGGTTTCCACTGCTCCTGATCCCAGTTCATGTCCTTCAGTGAGTTCTGGGCGGCGCATGGCTGGCGGCACAGCAGCACCACTACAGAATCCGCCTTGGCGGGTATAAAGCCCAATACGAACACATTGCGCACACCACACGAATAGCACTCGAGTATGGTCTCGCCAAGTGGGCCATCGCCGTGGAGGGTCACCTCGCGATGCTTGGCACGCACTAGATGATTGATGATGTGCGAGCCGGAGGTGCTGCCGCGTCCATTGCAAAACCATTTCTTGCAATTGTTGCACATGACAACGGTGGCCGGATCATGGATGCCACAATATTTGCACGCATGTGCCGGCAACTCTTTAACATAGGCCGAGGTGCCGCCGACACAGCGACCGATGCCGTTGCCGCCGCCGACGCCACCACCGCCGCCGCCGATGCTCTCATCATCTTCCTCCTCGAATTGTAATTCGGCCAAAACATTGGTAATCGAACCCAAACGTGGCTGGATCAACTGATCATTGCTGTGAATGCTAACGCGTCTTGGCTGCTGGGGACAAAAAAAAAAAACAAAAGAAAACGAAATTCTTTATTTATGATATACACGTGGCTGGCAAGGGCAATCGCCTATTCCACTCACCTGCAGTTCGGGCAGCTGGTCACCCTGGGTCTGGCTCTGCGATGTGGATGGCATGGTGAAGTCACGATAATCATATGGCGTCGGTTGTGTATCGGCGCCGCGCAACAACTCATTGTCATCCATGTCCAGGAATGTGAGCGCCGAACTTGGCGCATACGTGTCCACGCTCATTGCGAATGCGTATTTTGCTACTCTTCTGGGTACTCTATGATTGTTCGTATTATTGTTGTTGTTGTTTTTGTTATTTTGAAGTTGAAGTCATGCAAATGCATATATGCGGTTTAATTATTTAGCCAACACACACACACACACACATGCACACAACAACAACAATAATAAACACATGCAATCACGTATGTGTTGATTTCGATTCGTTTTTATTTTTTTTATATTATTCGGGTACACTGTAATAAACCCACTCACCTCAGGCAGTTCTCGTTGTTGACCGTCAAAAAGTTGTCACAAAAGTGCGTGCGTGCTGTGTATTTTCAGTGGATGCAAACTGTTGCCGTTTGCTGCAACTGCAAATTACAAATTAAATCCAACAACAAAAACTGAACGAAAAAGAAAAAACAAAAAAAATGCAGTGTCGCTTTACAGTTAGTTTTTGTTTTGCGCGTGAAATATTTACATAGATATGTACGTCGGTCGGGGCAAATGGCAATTTACGCCTTCAGCACGTTGCTCGCCTTACGGAATATGAATGAAGACTAGGCACTTGATCAAAAATAAAATTAAGCCTAACAATATACATGTGTCAATAATTGTAATTCCAGAGACTAATATATCATTGCATTTTGACAACTACAGATGTTCGTTTAATGTTATTACGAACAAAATATATAAATACCAGTATACAATTTTATTGAGTTGCGCGCAAAATTCGTTGCCTTGTGAATTAGCAAGTTGCCCTGTCGTACTTGTGTGCATGGGAAGAACTGTGCTTTGGGAACCTATTTGAACACTACTGATTGTTGTAATTTTCTCATGCAATACGTTTTTATAGTCTTCGTGATAGTTTTCTTAACGGCAATTCAATCAAAATGCACAAACTAAATCAGTTACCATTTTATAATTGCACATTTTTTGCCGTAAATTTCGTAAATTCGTCACAGTGTATTGTATCCGATTTTATTTAGAAATTTGTATTATTTGATTTATTGTACACTAATTTCGCACTTTCTTCTTGATAACCATTTTTCAATATTTTTACTTAACAGCACCTCCAAAGAACTTTCCACACACGCGATTAATTATTACACTATAAATTACAGCTAATTAAAAAATAACTAAAGAGAAAATCTATTTTTTGTAACATGAATTGTATTTATATGCGTTCTTTTGAGAACCTCGTTCCACAAAGTTCTACAATCTGGAGCTCCGTTATTTACGTGAGATCGCTTATATGTAACCGATCATGTTCATTTAAATACCCTTTTTTTTATTTTTGTTAATCTTCTACTTTAAAGCGATGGCTAGAAAGCATTTTAATAAATCTTAATTGTGTTGTCTTTCATACATTTCCAATCGCCTACGATCAACATTACAAAACAAAGTTGGTATTTTTATATTCGCACGCCCGTGTTATTTCTTACTTTGTTTTTTATTCTACTCATTCACACAAAATCTCAATATGTGAAATAGTCTGCAAAGTCTGGTTACTCTAATTTATATCGGTGCAATCGATAGATCGATACGTTTGTATCATCCCTAATACCGATTGCAAAACCGACAACTCGCAACTCGCTTCTTAAATTTTCGCATTGAAAAAAGTGCTTTAATTAGTAAAAGTGTTTTGAAAATTGTGCGAAAATTAAGGTAAGTGTCATGGCAAAACGAATAAAGCGTTCAGTAAAATTCAACTCAATCGGCCGAGCTGCCAACACAAGTGCAAAAATCATCTAATACGGTCTGTGAGCGTGTGCGTGTGTGTCTGTGTCGTGCCGCTACGCCAAGCGCGCTGTTGCTTAAGGCCCAGTTGGAAAATGCACAACACGATTTAAATCAATTTCTTTCTGTGAATAATGCTGGACTTTTGTTCTCAAACCCATCATAATTTAACGCATTTAAATGCCAAATACAATCCAGACAATGGATCAGTGTGTCCAACAAATTGTGCCAAGTACGAGCATGCAAACAGTGAGTGCTTGATTTCCACAAGGGTTGGGTGTATTGCCTACCTACTAAATTTCACTGCGCTCAGTGTCTCTTTTTTTTCTGAATTTCTTTGCTGCTGCTGCTACTTCAAGTGTGCTTCTTCTTTCTGCTCGGCACATTTTGTATGAGCAGCGCTTGTCAAAATACGCGTACAAATTTCCGTTCAATCGACTGTGCGTTGAAAATAACAAGCGAAAACGAAAAAAATATATACAATAAAAAAGTGGCCGCAGTTTTTGTTTTTATCAGTCACGCGTAAATGCAACAAATAAATTGACAAAAAAATAAAAAAATTATAAGAAAATCATAATAATCGAGTAAATCGAGACGCGCTCTTAAAACTCGTGGACAAATTCGATTCGTTTACTCTTTTCATTGTGTGTGTTTGTTACATACATACTGCGTTTGTGGACGTTGTGAGAAGACTCCATTGTAGCACCGCAAAAGCTAACAACAACAACGCTGCCCCTTCTATGGTTTTTTTTTAAATAAATAATTCGTCAAATTTCGCAAAATAATTCCTTTAATGTAGGTTGGGGCTAACAATGAAAATCGCTTGCATGTGCTTTCTATATCCCCCTTCCCCCAAACACACTTACATGATTTATTTATGTGGTTTCTTTTTTTTCTATTTATTTTTGTATTTTTTTTTCGGTTGTCTTCCCAGCAAAATGAGCAGCTCCGAGGAAGTCTCCTGGGTTACCTGGTTCTGCGGGCTTCGCGGCAATGAGTTCTTCTGCGAGGTGAGTGCCACACACACACACACATATATATATATATATATAAATATAAATATATATGTATATATATCCAAACACTATCATCGGCTGCTAATTCCGAAACATTGCCCTGATCCATGTTGGGTTGTTACCTAAGCGAGCGCCGCCTGCTACAGCACCAGGCGCTGCGGCCGCCAATTGTAGCCCCTCCATATATACACATACAGACACATGCACACATACCCATACACATACATATTCGCTTTAATACAGTGCGCGCACGCTAAAGTGCATCAATTGAAATCGCGCCTATTCACATCGTGTCGAACAAAAGAGGTTTTTAGATTATTTGTATTGTTGCTATTGTATATTGATGTATTCATATTGCTTAAATGGCAGATTGCACGAAAGGTGGCACACAACGACCAAAATAATTAAATAAATTAGAGAAACACTTCTTTGGGAGTTGTCCGACATGTCGAATACACAGATTACGAGGAATATACTTATTAATAAATGAATGAATGAAATGTCACATGTCTTCAGCAATTGCCGTACTCAGTCTAAAGCTCGTAAGACAATGTTTCCTCGAGTGTAATGTTAATTTGTGTATTAGTGTCAACAGTTCCGCCTTGACTCAATATTATTGAACACTATTAGTATTAAAACTTAAAGGCAGACTGACTTACAGTATACATCATTTTAAATACTTACACCCAATTAAAACATTCATTAATGCAGCTGGCTTCTTATAATTTGTGCTTTTCAGGTTGATGAGGATTACATACAGGACAAGTTCAATTTAACTGGCTTAAATGAGCAGGTGCCCAACTATCGTCAGGCCTTGGACATGATTTTAGATCTGGAGCCGGGTGAGTTTTGTGCTATTCTGTCTAGCGAATATACCCACTGTTGTTGTTCTATTTTAATATTGATATTGACTTACAGAAGATGAACTTGAAGATAATCCATTGCAATCGGATATGACCGAACAAGCAGCTGAAATGTTGTACGGGCTCATACACGCTAGATATATATTAACAAATCGCGGTATCGCTCAAATGATTGAAAAATATCAAACTGGCGATTTTGGACATTGTCCACGTGTCTACTGTGAGAGTCAGCCCATGTTGCCTTTGGGTGCGTATCGAACTCCTCATCATTAATACGACAATATATATATATATATATATTTGTAAGATTTTGCAATAATACATATGTATCTCTTCTATATCGTATCAGGCCTGTCGGATATACCCGGCGAGGCAATGGTGAAAACCTATTGCCCCAAGTGCATTGATGTTTATACACCAAAATCATCACGTCATCATCACACTGATGGCGCCTATTTTGGCACTGGATTTCCACACATGCTGTTCATGGTGCATCCCGAGTATCGCCCCAAGCGTCCTACTAATCAATTTGTTCCACGGTAAGTTATCTAGTCAATCCACTCCCGACTCACTATCAAAATTTGCCCAACAGTGACAAAACAATTCTGAAAAAATTAGATGAAGAATAGAAGCAAATGTATGCCAAGTATTATAATTGTCTATTCGCAGCTGACAGCTCATTTAACAAATGAAAATGCTAATCAAAGTAAGCGGAAGAGTGCAAAATTTGTGATTTAACTTGCCCTTTGCTACATTCTTTATTGAATTCCCATCAAAACTACTGCTTAACCCAATATGACATATAACGAAGAGAAAGCAAGTGTTAGCGAACACCTATCAAGCCAGAAGAATAAGTTGTTTGCGTTGAAGACTCTAGTCGAAACACTCCATGGTAATTACTAGAGCGAATAATTCCATATAGGTTAGGTTAGGTTATGTGGGCTGTCAGCCCTATGGGCTGACACACTTAGACCATATTAGGCCCGTTGTGATGCCGAAAAAGGGATCTACGGGGGTACTTCCTCCTACAGTCGTGCCTCCAAAGCATTTCTAACATTTAAACATTTGACCAGCCGGATGCGTTTATGAATTTCGCTATCTTGGCCGGTCTCAAGTGTCGGAGCTCCGATAAATCAGTTAGGGAGTGGTTTCCCAGGATTTCCAGCCTTTTCCTAGCAAGTGCTAGGCAGTGGCAGAAGAAATGTTCCGGAGATTCCACTTCCTCCTCATCTTTGCAGTTTCTGCAAAAGTCATTGTATGGCACCTGGAGTCTGGTGGCATGAATGCCTACCAGCCAGTGCCCAGTTAGAGTCCGGATCACTGCAGAACAGTTGGTCCGACTTAGATTGCACAGCTCTCTGCTGCGCTTTGAGTCAAGAATTGGCCATGTCAGGTGTGCTATGCGGGCACAGGTGACACTTTGCCATTTACTGCATGACCTGCGCCTGTACTCCTCTTTGATGTTGAGCTTGCAGGTAGCTAGAGGCATACTTATACCTTCCTTATCCGCGAAGAGTGGTAGTATAGTACCTTTCCTAGCTAGCTCATCGGCATTATAATTGCCTTCAATGTCCTGGGGGCCAGGGTCAGTGCGTCAGTTTGAAACACACTGCAGTGTGTTGGAAGGCTGAAGGATAACTGTATGTTGAGCTGCTCTGAGTAGACCCCACCGCCTATGCAGTTGTCTAGTTTGGAGCCGTCTGTAAAGAAGGTTATGGTCGCCGGTGGACCAGGGGTGCCATAAACCCATTCCTCCCTTTGAGGGAAGGAGAAAGGAGATGTCCGCCTGCACAGAGATCCGCGATGTGCAGGTAGGCTGATTAATATCGGAGGTCGCCAGGTATCCGATATGCTCCGTGTAAGACTGGGCTATTTAAGGGCCCCCAGCCTGGCTGACTATCGGCACGGGTCGCATAACATCTAGATAGAGACTTGAAACTTGGAACACATACGGGTTTGTGCCCGCGTCAAAGTGTACAAATTTGAGTGCTACGTCCACCAGGGGGCTAGGAAATCGATCAAATCGGTAAAGCCACATTATCTGCTACAATTTTTAAGGCTACAGTCGCCAAATTTGGTCGGTAGGTTGTTGGCACTATCCTTCAGAGATAGGCATACGCCACGCCCACCTGCTTAAATGGCTATATCTTCGGCAGTTTTTGAGTTTGAGCCGTCAAATTAGGTAGAAATGTTATTGGTAGCCGCCTTTTATATCGAAAATTGACTTACATCGATATAAAAAGATATGAATGTGGGTTAACAGTTTTTTTTTAATGTGTTCAGGGAATAAAAACCATAGGTTTAAATATGGAAGGAATTTTTTGTGCATATTTAAAGGCATATATTGCATTTTTCCCTGCTAATTATTGACAAAAACTAAATCTTTTCAATAAAAACACAGTGTATTATCATGCCTATTAAAGGCTCTGTCATCTTCACAAGGAGATCTCTAAACTTGACTCAAAACAATGATATACCACTTCCTGGTGAGCTATAACATTTATTATTATTGGCATTTGGAATTTATACGCTGCGGCCTGCCAGATCCGCTGTGCCTAGTTCAGAGCGTATAACTGTTATATCAAACCTCAAACCTCCTGCCCGAATACCAGAATCCTTGTCGGGATGAGGGTTTCTGTTGAAAATATGTAAAAGATCAATACAACATTCCGATTACTAATGTTAATAGCAGAATATATCCATACTGCGCTCGATACCCCAACTCAAGAATACATTGAATAAAAGTTCTTCTTAGTCTAACCGCCAAACCTAGTGCATCATTTTGCCGCTTTAAAACCCAACAGTTTCATCCACAGGATACTATATCTTTTTCTAGCTAAGGCAAAACAATCTGCTAGGATGTGCTTTAAGGACACTCTCGTTTTCACAGAACCGGAATTTTCCGTTACTAAACATATCTAGTTTCGAAAGGTGACAATGTCCTGTCCTGTGCTGTACCGGGTGACTGCTCGGTCGGTCGCCTGGAGGCGGTTTCTTATCTGTGCCTCCTCCTTTTTTCGTACCTTTGCTTCAACTTTCTTTCTTGGCTCTTTAGCCTTTTTGAGTGCTTCATCTGGAGCAAACCCTCTCCTTACCTGGGGCATGCTGACTTCACCAATGCCTGTGGCACTCTCCTGTTTGGTGCTGGAGTGTGCCATGTTGTGGAGGATGGTCTACAAGCTCCCTATCCAGGGCTCAATCTCTAGGCACACTGTCTGTAGGTAGATCCTGCGGTATTTTTATATTATTAGAACTCTTCATATTGGTTCCCACGAGCTGTGAAAAACAATATGTTCACCCGGCCAGAGATCCGCAGTAGCCGGGTAAGGCTAATTAGAGCAGGCGGTCACCATTTATCAGCTAGTTTTTTTTATCCGGGCCACCAGCCAAGTTGACTCTCAGCACGTTTCGAGTGACACCTTAGTCCGGCCCGAGTGAGATAAGATAGAGATGGGATAAGATAGAGATAGGATAAGATAGAGGTAGGTAAGTGATTGTGGGGAGGTTGGATATGTGTGAGGCTAGTAAAGGCGACAACACAGGTTAGTACGATGGTCGTACTCGTCCCCGCTGTTTGTCCTGGACTGCCTATTTACTAGGAATCTTGTGTTATTCACGGCTAACCTCCCCGTGTGGAGGCTGTTCGCTATCCACAACCCGCAATCCAGGAAGTACAACGTTTACTTAGATACAAATCAGAAGAAGATGCTAACGTAATAATAATAATAACAGACGCTTTCAAGTGAGACTGAGCGCAGAATACAAGCAAGGATCTCTTTAATATCTTGACTAGTCAATTAAATTGTATTAAAAGACAAAATCACAGGCATTGAACTCAAAACGAAACTGCCTTTCAAATTCAACACTCCTGCAAATATTTAGGGTTTATTCTTGACTATTTGTTGTTAACTTTAAGCAGTCACACAGAGGAACGTACTACGTAAATGAACCACAATTGAAAACAGAAAATTTCACAGGCACTATTACTTTTAAAATTGATTAAATTGAGTTGGTGATTGGTATAACAAGGCTATCTTTAATTATGTTTCTTAAAACTTCAGTATTAATCTATATATCGCTCTCTTTTTTTTTTTTGATATTGCATACATTCAACTCCTGCTGCCCATCCTTCTGATGTCGCTGTTCAACACACAACAACCAAAACATCAACAACAACAACAACAACTGTTGCACCTATATAAACAACGATAATTCAGTCTGTACGGCTTTAAAATTCACAGCTTAGCTTATCAAATTCAGCTGCAGGCAGCAGCCAATTTCAAAATGCCACTACGAGCGGTAAATTTAAAATGAAATTTTTATTAACCATTTTTTCTATTGACTAAACAAAAGAAAAACAAAACCAAACCAAAAAAAAAAAAAAAAAAAAAAAAAAAAAAAAAAAAATCAAAAACATGCAACAAACCAACGTCTCAACTGAGCATATATATATATCTATATATTTTTTTTATTTGTTTCTCTCCCCACACATACAACCACCACCACCAACCAACCAAACCAACCAACACAAAACACCTAATGGTCATCTATCTGAACGACAACCAATTCTAACTTGAATTTGAACCGAATCCAACATATATGTATATATGCATATGCACATCTGTCTGTGTATGTGTGTGTGTGCGTGTATGTGTTTGTGTTGTTAATAACCTAACCTATGATCTGATCCATGCAAATGTGCCGGGTTTTATTTATGTTGTCTGTTTATCGATGTCTGCATAAACAAAAACGATCGTCATCGATTTATGGAAAACAATACGCTGCTATATATACATACCACATACTACCTATACCCCAATACAAAAACATTGTGTATAGAAAAACTAATAAAAAAAAACACATACGCATACCACGCACGAAAATAAAACACACATACAACAAACAACAACAAATAAACAAACATAACATCGCATATATATATATATATGATTGATTATAAAGAAACGAGAGACATAGTTTCAACTGAAGAGAACCGGCAGCTACAGACCGTTACAACTGCAGAGGTTTTGAGCGCCACAAGCAAAAATCATTTATATAAAATAAAATTTAAAAAAAAAAATACAAAAAACAAAACTGCGTTTATATTTAAAAAAAAAAAAATAATTTAAAAAAAAAACAAGAAACGAAGAAAATAAAATATAAAATCGTAGTGAAGTGAACAAGTAGTAGAAAATGTATTAAAGTATAAACCTAAAAAAAAAAGAAAACAATAAACAAAAACAAAAGAAAGTAAAAAAAAACCCGAAACATTTGAAGCAAAAGAGTACGGAAATGATATGAAGTTTTCTTGAAGCACACGCACACAAACACACTTAACTGACACACACATAATACCCATATGGCCATATACCAATTGATCGATATTCCTTATCGCTATCGAACATGTCGCATCCATACAAAAGCTCATCAGTACGAAGATAATAAATTTTTGTCGTTTACACAATCAACAAAAGAAAAAAAAAAAAAAAAACAGAAAAAAAAGCATATGTGCATACTTATGTATATACATATACATATACTTGTATATATATATAGTCAATGTACTTATGTTAGCATTTAGTATAATTGTAAGCAACAACAACAACAACTGAATGCAGCAAAAACTAACAAACAACGCAATCAATTTACACATTGTGCATAGAAATTTGTTTCATCATCATCATCATCAACAACTTTTTGCGCTTGTGTTTTGCTGCTTGTCGTTTCTTCTTGTTTTTCACATACACACACGCATACACATACACAGGCACACACACATATACATATATATCAACATACAAACTACATACTTAATATTCACACACACACACACACACACAATCTCGTTTTTAACCTAGTATGTATTAGTAAATAATTATGTTAAAGTTACACACACATTTTGTCTTTAGTTAATAATCTTATATAATACTTAAATATGTACGTTTTGCATTTGTTTTTATTTCTGTGTGCTATTACATAACTGTATTACTTATATGGTATATATACTATATATATTTTATGTTGTAAAACAGGATACTGTAGGTGGCAGCACTAGACCAAAACACAGTTAGTTCTCCAACCGAGTGAAATAGAGCAAAAAAAAAGAAGGAAAAAAACTTAATAAATATGAGCGAGATCCGTATAGACAAGAAATAAACAATTAGGGAGCGAATGAAAGTTCAATGTTGATTAGGCCACAAACAACGATATATAGGGAACATAGTACTTCCAAAAACCATTTATTAAAGCAAACACAAAGCAAAAAACAAAATATAAAATAAAATAAAAAAAAGAAGCAAAGAAAATAAATGAACAATATAATTTTAAACTACAATATATTTATAATACGAATACAACGCATATACATACATTTTATAACAATCCACAGGATTCCTGTATCAAAATCAAGAAAGTCACAAACAAAAAAATGAAACGAATACGAAAATGAAAATGAGAAACAAATCATCTGTAAAAAAGAAGAAAAACAAATAATAGAATTCACTGTTAAATATGTATAAGCTATTGCCCACTCTTACCCTACCCACACACACCAACACACACACACACCAACACACACACACACCAACACACACACACACCAACACACATACCAATACAATCCAATCGACAAGAAAGAAATCAGAAGGAGTTTCAAGTTCAAGACAAGGACAGCAAAAGCGGCGATCACTGCAAGGCCGAGCGAGACAGACTCAGAGAGAATGAGAGAATTAAATCAGCAAAAAGCACACAACACGCAGCAGCAGCAGCATTATCATCACAAGAAGAGGAAGCAGCATCACTGCACACATACACACCCTCACACATAGACACACACACACACTCACTCACACCTACACACATAGAAGAGGATACACATTGTGTAAACTTGATGTGAAGTGAAGAAGACGAAAATGAGGCAGCACTTGCAAGCACACACAAACACAGACAAATACACCCACACATACAAAACCACACCGAAATGCACACAAGTGCTGCCCAGCCCTACCAAAATCATTCGCAAAAGCAATAACCGAAAATGTTTTCGAAATTTCCAATTGAGCAGAGTAGGTTTCTTTTTTTTTTTTTTTTGCAAGATTAAATGTAGTAAATACAAAAACAAAAACCACATACAAAACAATTAGCTACAGATTGGTTTTATAGAATACATTTATAAATGTATGCGTATTTCTAATTGTATATTATTGAATTATAAGCAACGGCAAATAAATAAAAAAAAATAAAAAAAAAAAAAAAAACAAATGAGTGCATCACAATTTGAGGACACTCGGCCGAAACTACAAGCAAACAAAAACAATAATTAAATCGAATTTCGGCTTGCCGAATCTTAAATACCCTTGCATAATAATTTTTGCGTTTTAGTATAGTCTGATCTTTAGAAAAAATATAAAAGCATAATTGGAGATCAATGTAGAAATTATCAAGTTGGTTGTAGTAAAATAATACAATTATGTAAAATCTTTTTTAAAGCATATAGTCTTCCGATATGTCTTACGCCAGTTTCTTTAGTTTCTACTCGTTCTTCAAGGGTATTCTAAAATCGTGTTTCAGACATTTCAAAAGTTATCAATTGCGCTGGTTTTTAGCAACTCGTTTAATTTTAAGGGTCCAAATTAAACGTATCTAGTTGTATATTTCTGTTAGTATAACGTGTAAATTTTTTTGTTCTTTTTTTTTTAAATTATTTTATTAAGCACTAAAGTATAGAACGCAAGTTTATTTTGCAATATGTAATTGTAATATGTTTGTTTTCTCAATGTGTAGTTCCATAAAAATTCATGTGTGACAAATTGTTTGTATTCAATTTTGTTTTTTGTTTTTCTTATGCCATTTTTTACAAAGAATGTTTTTGTATGCAGACAGATTGTATAAGATGATGTTGTAATAGAGAATCGCATACTGAATCAAAAGAAAGGAACACAAAACAAGTACATAACAATAAAAGTGAACACATTTTGTAAGCAAATTAGCATTAAAGTAAATATATATACATATTATATATAGAAATCGATAAAAAAAAGGCCAAGTGCGTAAGGAACGTTGATAAGTTGAGTGCATACTGAAACAAAAGAAAAAAAAAACGAAAAAAAATGTTTACAATTGATATATAACTTTTACTGACTTAAACAAAAACGAAAAGAAAAAAAAACAAAACAAAAACAAAAAGCTGAAAGAAAACAAAAATGATTTGAAGATGAATAAGTTGAAGAACAAGAGTAATATTAACAATAACTAAAATAAAAACAAAACTGATATTTAATACAATTTGCAGTGTATCATTTTGGTTAAACATTATTACTTTCCCTTTGCATTTTATTTTCGTTTGTACAACAACAAGTAGGAGACACGAGACCATCATTGACCCACACTGATCATCATCCTTAACCAAAAATCGCTATATATGTTGCATATGTATTTATGTATGTGTGTATGTATGTGTGTACTACTTATACGCATTCCACTGCACTCATCTCAGCTGTTGTGTTCCATGTCGATGGCTGTGCGGTGTTGGCTACTTAATTGTTCAGTGTTACTCTTTCTATGGACTATATTGCTTATGACTATTTTTTCTTTTCTATGTATATTCAAATACTCTCTCTATGCTATGCTATACTTTTTTTTATTATTTTGTTTTACATAAAAATATATATACATCGATAAAAAAAATCTAGGACTACATTGCGCTCTGCCAGGAGATCTTAAGTCGTCCCGATCCTGAGGCCGAAGTTGAATAGTTTGCCTGCTTATCCTGCTATCAAAGGCCGCTACTAATGCCATTTCACTCTAACCACCAGCACGTGCGCTAAGCGACAGCAATTAACTGACAAAAGCTAGCTGCTATACAGATACTACCACTATGCGCGTTTGCCTCTATCTATCTATATATCTCTCTCTCTCTCTCGCTCTCACATAATTTGATTCATTTACATTTTGTAAGCGTAATTTATATACTAAATATGTACTTATTTTTTTTTAAAGCTCGTTCTTAAATTATTTAGTTGCCATGCGAATGTGAAACAAAAATAAAATTAAGCGCAAAATGGTTATTTTTTTATTATTATTGTAACTTACACGCTTAACGACTATTGGTTGGGATCACTTTTTATATTTATGCACTTAATTCCCAGTACACACACAAATGCTTCTTATCACGATCATGCTGTCAGCTGCACTGCATCCATAGACATCCACACACACACCCATACACATACACACACACCCACACCCACACACACACACACACATATACACACACACACATACACACACACACACAGAGAAAACCTCAAAATCGACAAAAGAAAATAAACAAATCTACAAATGATAATACAGACATACAAAATATACCTAACTCGTGCATAGTTTGGATTGGATTCTTCAGGTCGACGACCATATGTATAAATATACTGTCTCTCTCTCTCTCTCTCACACACACACACGCACACACACAAACCGACAGACAGACAGACAAACACACACATACGTATATATTTATAAAAGGACGTGCCGTTTCTCATGATCATAACGGTTCATTTGTGAATTGGCTAACAAAAAAAATAAAAAATACAAAAACAAACGGCTCATTTCGTATGCAAGACAAGGACAACAACCAAAAATTACTTATCATGCACATATTCTACGTTTTTATATCCTCCCTCAATTTTGTAAATTGTACATAAGTACATATATGTATGTATGTATGTATTAGTATGTACATACATTGTACCATATATATTGATGATGATCTAATGTACACATTATGGTAGTTTTGGTTTCTTCTGCTTTGTTGTTGATTATTTTCACTTTTACGTTTTTCTCTCTTTCATTGTGTCTTCCTTTCTTTGTATCTTTGTTCTTGTTGCGCGCAAATTGGTGGCAAATTCTGGCATCTCTGCATATACCGATAACCGATATACCGATTTGAACTTTGAACTGCGCACCCACTTCGTCTCTTCGCTCTCTCTCACTCACTCGGTCGACGAAATGAAATGATCCCAGCAGCAACGCGGTCAGCCACCAAAGGACGAAGAGCCTGAGAATAATGCCGTCGACACGATTCCAAAACGCATCTAAAATTGCAGCAGCCGCTGCAGCAAAACCCAACAAACAAAACCACACAAACACACACACACAACACACACACACACACAAGCAGAAGCAGAAACAGCAGCTACAAGCAGCGCCTTTGTGGAATGTTATGTTAACCACGCTACATCTCCCCCCCATCCCTAAGAAAGGACCAACTACGCAATCCGCTGGCATTCACGAGGCTTGTGCGAAAAATCATATTCTTAAAACGAACGTGCAGCTATATATACATATATAGCATATAACATCTACACACAGGCACACAAACACAAAAAAATATATAAAACAAAAAAAAAAAAGAAAAAAAGGAAAACAAGGCAGGAAGAAACAGAATAATGCAACTCTGTCATGGCAAGGCATGGTCCCCGTGCGTGCGACCGATGTATTCAATTCAATTTTATTCTTTGCATTTTATTTACTAAGTGAGCGGCTGAAGTTTAGAATAGTTTTAAATATATAGTCAATTCCCATTTACCATTTACCAATTACCAATTTCCCTCTACACAAACAAAAACACAAACACAACACACAAACAATGCATACAATCAGTACACAAATTCTCCAAATAAAATATAAACTTGGGCCAGTTTGCTCATGTTTCTGTCATAAGTTAACATCGTGTGTTAGCTGATCTTCCCGTCAAAAGTTAACCGGCAGTTGATTTGCTGCAGTGTTGCCACATCGTACACAAAACATAGCTTGTAACCGACCTATCGATAATTCATTTCGATACATTTACAAGCGACAAGCTATCGAACCGCTTTGCCAGCTCGCACCGTTGAGGTGTTGCCAATTTAACGACCTGGCGTTCCCAAATAATGCACAGCTATAATATTTAATATAACATTTTAATATTTAATATTGCTGAACTTCTTGTTAACTTCAACAGAAACATAAGAAAACGTGCCTAAAAGGAAACCGAGAAGAAAAATCCGTTACCGTAACAACCCAGCAAAAACAAAAAAATATATAATATTAATGAAACTATGCGAGCCGAAAGTTTGTGTCGAGTCGGCCTCGCAATTCAAATATCTGAGAGTGCATACGTATATAAGTAAATAGAGAAATACATACATATGTGTACACAATAAACAATATATAAATATACCGTTAGCTTATTTATATACATATTTAAAAAAAAGAAAGAAAAAAAACGAAAACAAACAAACAAAACAAATATTTTATGTATTTTTTTAATGTATTTAAGAATAATTAAGATTACTCGTAATGCAGTAACTGAAAAACTGAATCGTAGTAAATATATATAAATATGTATGCGAATCGGTGAAAGTGCAAAGCGACTAGCTCCCAAACAAAACGAGAGAGCTACCTATAAAGTAAGTAACGCCTGATCAAACTGAAATCTATATGCGCAAGGAATATGAGATACGCAAAACAAGTATAAGAATGATAAGAACAAAAATAATAATAGAAAAAAAAAAAAAACAATAAAACAATAAAAGATGCGGATTGAACGATTGAACTACAAATATTATCTTCTGAATATTTTACTTTTTGATCCTATTGACCGACTACTGCACAAATCTGTTTAAAAAAAAAACCCGCTGGGGTTCTCGCCGTTCTCAAAAATCTATGGGGCAAATTGGGTTGAGAAGCGTTTCTCCATGGGAATCAACAATTTGGCCAGCGAAAAGTGAATTTTCATCAGATTGACATACATACATATACAGGTATATGTATAAACTTGAGAATGATCCAACTCAACAGCACAGTAAGCCAAAAAAAATATAAGGAAAACAGATGTGTTCAAATTTGTTTTTCTTTATTTTATTTTTAAATAAATTATAAGGTTCTTCGTAAAATCGAAGAATCCGTTATTATTATTATTATTTGTTAAGTTTTGTCTGTCTGTCTGTCTGTGAGTGTGTGTGTGTGTGTGTGTGTATATATATTTAGTGTTTGTTGCTTGTGTTTTATACTACGCACATTATCTCTTTTATTTATTTCCCCGCAGCACTCGCTCTTTCTCTCTTGTTTTTTCTCTAGCTCTTCTCCCGCGCTCTCTTATACATATAACATTCTTTTGTATTTGATTTTTTTTGTGTTTAATTTTTCCGTTTTTTTTATATTCTTAATAAGATGGTGTTTATATAACTTGAAGGCTAACCTATTGATTTGTGTTACCTCAATTTGGAGAGCTTAGCTGTTGTTATCAAAAAATATACAGTGCTTTAAGTTTGTTTATCTTTTTTTGCTTTTTGTTTTTTCTTTTTTGTTTTGTCATTCGTCCATTTACGGGAAGAGGAATGCGAGGAACACATATGATAATCATCAGCTCTCTCTATACAACTCTTTACTCCAAATGCGTTTTTTTGGGGGCCGAAAGAATATACTTTATAAATTATAAAATAGAAAAAAAAAAAATGTTGCTATAAGAAATTTGGCGAGGTGAGAAATTGTGAGTTGCTGTTCAATTAAAACCAAAAAAAAACCTATTTTGTTGCTTTGGGGTTTTTGCATATTGCTTGTGTGACGGGGGAGGGGGTGGGAGGAGTGTGTTCTTTTTTCTATTTGTTGCTGTTGCAGTTGTTGTTGTTTGTTGGTTTGTTTTTTGTTTTTGTAATTGTTTAATCAGTCTGATTTACTTCTACTGCCAAAACTATTTATATAATCCAACCGTCTTCGTACGTTTCTCAATTTGTGTAACGTTCTCATTCCGCTCGCTCGCTTGCTGGCTTACAGCTCATCCTTGAGATCGTCACCAGCGTCGGCGCCCTCTGGTGGTGGTGCACCGCCAGTGCTTTGGTACAGTTTGGCAATGACGGGCTGAACGATGGCCTCCAGATCCTTCTTCTGTTTCTTGTACTCCTCGGGATCGGCATCGGGATTCTGTTCGAGCCATTTGATTGACTCATCGATGGCCGTCTCCAGTTTAGTCTTCTCATCGTCGCTCAGTTTGGCGCCGAGCTTCTCCTTGTCACCGATTTGATTCTTTAGACTGTAGGCATACGATTCCAGCTCGTTGCGCGACTCGACGCGCTCCTTCAGCTTCTTGTCCTCATCGGCGAACTTCTCGGCATCGTGAATCATGCGATCGATATCCTCGGGCGTCAGACGATTCTGGTCGTTGGTGATCACAATCTTCTCCTTGTTGCCGGTACCCTTATCTTCGGCGCTGACCTGGAGAATGCCGTTAGCATCGATCTCGAACGAGACCTCGATCTGGGGAATGCCGCGCGGTGCCGGTGGAATGCCAGTCAAATCGAATTTGCCCAGTAAATGATTATCCTTGGTCATTGGACGTTCGCCCTCATAGACCTGAATGGTCACCGTATGCTGATTATCGGATGCCGTGGAGAACACCTGCGATTTCTTGGTGGGAATAACTGTGTTGCGTGGTATCAGTTTGGTCATGACGCCACCGACTGTCTCAATGCCCATGGTCAAGGGATTCACATCGAGCAGAACGATCGCATCGGTGTCCTGTTCGCCAGAGAGAACGCCAGCCTGGACGGCAGCGCCGTAGGCAACAGCCTCATCGGGATTAATGCCACGGGATGGTTCCTTGCCGCCAAAGAAGTCCTTCACAAGCTGTTGCACCTTGGGTATACGCGTGGAGCCGCCAACAAGCACAATCTCGTGGACGTCCTTCTTGTTCATATCAGCATCCTCGAGCACTTTCTGCACCGGCTTCAGCGTCGAACGGAACAGATCCAGATTGAGCTCCTCAAATTTGGCACGGGTCAGCGTCTCGGAGAAGTCATCGCCTTCGAAGAAGGATTCGATTTCGATGCGCACCTGATGGGAACCGGACAAAGCGCGCTTTGCCTTCTCGACCTCGCGACGCAGTTTCTGCACAGCGCGATTATCCTTGCGAATGTCCTTGCCCTTCTTCTTCTTGTACAGCTTGATGAAATGACCCATGACACGCTGATCGAAATCTTCGCCACCCAAATGAGTATCACCATTGGTGGCAACGACCTCAAACACACCATTATCGATGGTCAGCAGGGACACATCGAAGGTGCCGCCGCCCAAATCGAAAACGAGCACATTCTTCTCGCCTTCCTTCTTGTCCAGACCATAAGCAATGGCAGCGGCAGTCGGTTCATTTATGATGCGCATCACCTGGAGACCAGCAATGACGCCAGCATCCTTGGTGGCCTGACGCTGGGCATCGTTGAAATAGGCGGGAACGGTGACAACAGCATGAGTGACCTTCTTGCCAAGATACGCTTCGGCCGTTTCCTTCATTTTACCAAGAACCATGGCGGAGATCTCCTCGGGCGCAAAGACCTTGCCACCCTGCGAGGTATCGACATTGATATGTGGCTTCGAGTTCTTCTCGACAACCTTGAAGGGGAAGAATTTGATATCGTGCTGCACATTCGTGTCGGACCATTCACGTCCAATCAATCGCTTCGCATCGAAGACCGTATTCTCTGGGTTTGTGGTCAGCTGATTTTTGGCAGCATCTCCAATCAGACGCTCGCCATCGGCTGTGAAGGCCACATATGAGGGCGTAATACGATTGCCCTGATCGTTGGCGATGATCTCAACGCGTCCATTCTTGTAAACGCCAACGCTGTGGGGAGCAGGATGAAAGAAAAGGAAAATATAACAATTGAATTTGCAATTGGATAGTGCTCAATATTCACTGTGTAATTGAAAATGTGCATTTTTTGTGTGCATTCAAAATGCCAACTTACCATGAGTATGTGGTGCCCAAATCGATGCCAATAACGGTGCCCAGTTCCTTATCCTTCTCCTTCTTCTCCTCACCAAGTGAGAGGCCAACAAAGGCCACGACAGCCAGCAATATGCACAACTTCATTTTTATTTTGTTATTTTCTAGTTTTTTTTTGGTGCTTAGACTTTGACACCAAACAAAAAAAAACTGTAATGAGAAAAAAAGATAGAAAATTAATGATTAACGGAAATGCATGAAAAAGCTTAGGTTTATTCTTTTATTTTATTTTTTGTACACGTCAACACGGCCACAAAAGGGAGAGACCGGGAGAGAGAGAGAGAGAGAGAGCCGAAAAAAGAAACGTCGCTGACGTTGACGACGCTGTCAACAGGTAAGATACCGTTATGTGTGCTGCTTTTGCAAAATGATTAAAGCAATGGCCTCGTTTATTTATGGCACGGCTTTAAATTATGCCAAGTACGATTTAAATTGAAGGGAACACATAATTATGGCACACACCTCAAAAAAAAAATACCTGGAGAAAGATCTTGAAGAAAACACACAAGCACACGTCCGTTCCGCTGGCTAAACGTGCAAGAACTGTTTAAGCCGCACCGCTGCCTTGCTCTTCTCAGCTCAGCTCAGTTTAGGCTCTGCTCTGACATTGACCGACGTCGCTGCTCTGCCAAAGTTAACATAGAATTTTTGTATACGTGGTAACATTTTTCTGGTGCTTTTTGCTTTTTCTCCCTCTCGCTCGCTTCACAAAATCTGTTGCCGGTCGCTCTGTTCTCTTGTGCGAGAGTTAACTGGTTTTTCTTATGCCTCTCACTCTCTCCTTCTATTTTTTTTGTTCTCCACAAATTTCTTATTCGGTCTTTACATTCTCAATGAGTAGTGTGCAACAACAAAAACCAAAAACTACATTGCGATAGACACACGTCCGTACGTCTGTCTGTCTGTCTGCCTGGTAGCAGCACAAGCAATTCACACATGGTGAAAGTTACGGAATGGCGGGGCGTGCCGGGTCGACTTCTTCTGCCGGCAATAGACTCGAGCAATTTGCACAGCTGTATTAGTTTTGTCTGTTTTTACTTACTATGCGTCCGCTTTGTCAAACTTCCAAGGCAATACAAAACCGAGTTAATCCACTGAAATGACTGCTCAACTGACGTGTACTTCTGTTAATAACGTAAACTGTAGTTTGCGGATCTGTTTTAATGACGTGTACAATGCTGATTGAACCGACTGTCGAAGTCACACACACTCACAACTACGCAAAGAGACAACGATGCCAGCAAAAATTGACAGTTGGCGCAGGCGCGTCTCTCTCTCTCTCTCTCTATGTGTATGTGTGTGTGTTTGCAATAAATTTGAATTTTAGAGTATTGCGTATACTGTGTAGTTGCATTTATTTGTTATTGCACCATCGAAATCAAGTGCTGCCAGGTCAGCAGGCAAATAATGTTGCACACTGGGCAACGAGCACAGAACTCAAAAATGTACCAGCTGTGTAATCAGACGACGGCGTGTGGTGCGTGTGTGCGAGCCAGTGTGTGCACAACAGCAGAGGTTTAAAAAAACGATGTCGCAATAATATGCAATATTGAACAGCCGGCAGCCGGCATGAAGGAAGTGAATGAACTTTGCTACTGATTGTTAATAATGTATGCATGTTCATTAATTTACACATAATGTATTATATTAAATTATAATCTGAGCAGCGGCAAACGTTGCACGACACGTCATGCAAATTTGGGGTTACACTGGCAGCGAGTGGCGCAGCAATTCCCTAACACAAATTGTTTTGAGATTATAAAGCTAACACTTCCATGGGGAGGCATTTATGTATTAGAAGGGAGACAAGACACGTGCTTTAGTTTATTTCGCATTATGTGTGTATATAAAATAAAGACCATGAATTTGGTACAACATTGCCAACATGGCGACATCTACATGTGCACTAATATTCTACTATGTAAATCACTTTCTTTGTACTACTGCATTTGGTATTGGCTATGTGATCAATGCATTAGCTTTAGTAATTATCGCCAACTGATAAATTGAATATATAACTTACACTTGAACTTTGAGTTTTTCAGCTAACTTTTCCGCTCGTAAATTATCTCTCTCGACGTGTAAAACTGAACTGAAAGAATATCGGCGATTACTGCTACTTTGTGCCGGCGCTTTCTACGCATACACTCACAAGCACACACACACACACACATGCAACGCTGTGCTGGGTACACGTCAGTGTTAACTTTACAACAGTGTTGCACAACACGCGAAATTAGAAAAGTAATCGATTGTTGTCATTTTAAAAACAGATTTTTGTATACTTACTTTTACTAACTTAAGCTAAATTGAGCACTAAATAAAAAAAATCCGCTCGATATAAATATTTGGACACTTCAATGTGTACGGTTTGACTTGTATAGTCTTTGTTGCTTCTTATTTTTGGCTTCAGTTATTAATTACTTTGTACAGGGTTTCACAGTCACAGTTTTTGTTTATATTAACAAAAAAAAATAAAAAAATTCTCTTATTGTTGAACGCACGTTGTTTACAATTTCAAGTATAATGTATTCCAATATAATTTTGCTTTCTTCTATATGCCGATCTGTTACTTCTTTGCTGTCTGAATGGAAACTGTTGACTGCTCTCTGCAGTGCCGGGCTATTTATTCAATGCCAATGTTTACCAACTGACGTGTTGACCACGTCAGTGTCTGCTGCAATTCTGATTGGCGTTTCGTGGCGCTGACCGACGTATCTGATTGGCCCACGCTGGAAATTTCCCCACGCAACTCGAAGAGCGGAGACCGTGCTAGAAAGAGCTTTACTTTTGTTTGTCGCGCTTTCAAACATAGTTTTCGTCATCACCGTCAAGTCAAATTCAAGGCTAATGACACTGAATGTGAGATCTCACTCACTTTGTCGCACTTACAGTTTATTTTCTGGTTACTGTTTTCTATGAAACCTATGTTGATTTGGTGAAAATAAGGAAGATTTTTGGCAGACACTGACGTGTACCTGGCTTAAATCGCTTGCCTCCAATAAAAATCCTTATCAAATTCTCTAATGCATTTTCGTAGCATTGATTAGCATATGTTCTAGAACCTCCACAAAAAAAAAAACGCCCCATTTATAATTCTGTTTTTTCTTTTTATGATATTTTTTAATGACACACAATCAATATCAGCATATTTGTATTTTTTTCTTTCATTTTTTTGTTTTATTTTTTTATTTTTTTTAACAGTAATAGCATTTTCATAATTATCATCAGTGACAAGTCCAACATACAATTTAACTTTACCATAGTTGTGCAATTTTTGTTGTCAATAGAATATTGTTTACACATGCATTTGTTTTGTATGTTAGGCGTATGAATAAGGAGTGTGGGATGGGGATGGGATGGGATGGGAAGGGGACAAATTCGCTAAGCTTCTGGCATATTATTAATCAAATAAAACTGCGTCTGGCAAAATTGCATCCAAACTCAGTGGATTATTTATCTTGCAATATTATGCATGTATGTGTTTTTTTGTTGTTGTTTTGTTTTGTTTTTCAATATTAAACTATTTATCTTAAGGAGCGAAAGGCAACCCGGCAAATAGTTTGCACACAAATTTCTCTTTTGCCTGCCAATAAAAATGTAACATAAAAATAAAAAACAAATTGTTGTTTGTGTTAATTTTGTTCTTTTTCCATTTGTCCATAATAAAAATTGTAGGCATAATGAAAATTTACAAAAAGTGAGCTCGTATAAGTAGTATGTATATAAATATTAAAAAGGTTTTGGTTTCTTCTTGTTTGTTTGTTTTTTTTTTTCGTATTTTACTTTATCTTTGTTTTAAAAGCTAAATTTGGTCAAAAAATTTGAGCTAATCTCATTCAAAGAGTTAAAGCAAAATACTAGGAAGTAAATAAGAGTAAAGAAAATGTTGTGATAAAGACGAAACCTGAGAAGAAAAACGAAAAATTGTGTTAACAGTTATTCGAGTATAGTTTACAGTTGACAGTTTTACAGTTACAATTGGGCGCAGTTCATTGTGTGCACAAAAAATTTGCATAAAAATGTTCTTTTTTTTCGATTGTATTATCTGTTTTTCAGTTGCATTTTTTTTTTATACGTAATTTAATATTAATCGCAATTTTGGTTATTTGCATCTATCGGTTATTTTTGTTGTTGGTTGTTGTTGTCTTTTTTGTTTTGTTTTGTTTTGTTTTGTTGTTCTAAACATTTTGAAACACATTGAGTTGCCACAGAATTTGTTGTTGAGTTTGCTGTTGTTGTTGTTGGTCCGAAATAATTGGTAACTACGCGTATTGTACGCATTGACTGGCGGCTGCTTTGTAAATAGTTATAGTAAATATATAGTAAATAGATACACAGGCTAGTTAACAATATCAACAAATGGGCGTGCCTACGCCTGCATTCTTAGTTTAAATCTTTTTGTTTTTTTTTCTCCTTTTTTTTTGTGTTTGTTTTTGGTTTTGTATGTGCGTGTGTGCGTAATAGTAGTAGTAGTAGTAGTAGGCTGGACATTGCCTCTCATCTCTCTCATTTCTCTATCTCTCTCTCTCTCTCTTTCTCTCTCTCTTTCTCTCTCTCTCTCTCTTTCTCTCTCTATCTCGCTTGTTTTATTCGTGGCGCACACCGCATATGGACAGGAACGTACTGAAATTGTGCAAACTGCAGGCTGGCAACACCGTATATACCAAGGATGCCATATCCTGGCACTTGCTACGAAAATCGTGCAACGCCTGCAATAGCAGATCTGTGGGCGGTGCAGCATTCACCTGATAGAAGATCTTCAAGTGAATCGCTGGCAATGTGTTGCTTTTGCCCGATGTCGACGACGGCTGTTGATCACCACCAGCGCCACCTATCGGTTGCTGATGCTGCTGGTGTTGTTGTTGTTGTGGCAGTGACATTGCCTCTGTGGCAGTGGCAGTGTTGGCTGCATTTGCTATTTGTTGTTGCTGTTGCTGCTGCTGTTGTTGCTGTTGTTGCTGTTGCAGTTGCTGTTGCTGCCGCTTGTTAATGGGATAGTCCTTGAGCAGACGATTCACAACATAGGTGAGTATCTCGTCCAGGTGCTCGGCGCTGAGGCACTGCGATAAGCGGCAATGGTTGCCCAGCACATCGTCGCTCAGCTGCGTCAGCTGTGTGGTGGACGAGGCCAATCCGGTTGCCACATAGCAAACAATCGCAGCACAATTGTTCTCATAGTTCCAGCGACGACGTATCGAGATGGTATAATCGCTAACCGAACATCCGGTTTCCTCATCTATAAGCACAATTACACAAACCAAACCAAATTAGTTTCACGCAACAATAAAACTTGTATATTGTCACGTATGTATGTTTCAACCTCAAGTCTGACGTAATTAAAGTAAAAGTTAACTTGAAATCGAGTCGAGATTCCAATTGAATGGTTTCGAATTATTATTTGAGCAGCTTGCTGCTTCCAACAGTTTTTGAACTTAAGTTGGTAAGTTGAAATATGAAATATTCATTGAACTGAATACGTTTAGATAATAAACATAATTTTAAATCGAAAGTCTAGCTAGATATAATTCCAGATTCAGCTTGTTGCTTAAAACAGTCTTCAACTTGTTACTCAATTTGAACTTAAGTTGGTAAGTTGAAATATGAATGAAAACTAAATCATTGAACTGAATATGAGAATATTCATTATTCGATTTGTGAAAATATATTTGAATATGGCAAATGGAAACTAGCTCAAAAATGTATGAAAATTGAGTTGCAACCAGTTCGAAATTTTGCCTCAGGATACTTTCGTTGAATTAGTTGCGAAACAGCTGAAGAGAGAGAGAGAGAGGGAGAAAGAGACATTGTGTGTGTGTGTGTGTGTGTGTAGGTGTGGGTGTGTTAATGAACTCACAGTCAAAACGATCGTTATGGGTGTGCGCCCAAACCTGCCACTCAACGAGAGCGTCGCGTGGCAGCGCTGGCAGCACAATGTAGTCCATAATGGCATTTGTGGTGCGGCGCTCCCATTGGCGTCGCGCCTCGCCAATGAAGGCTGGATGGGTGACAAAGCAAATGCCATGGACGACATCGCGCAACTGGCCCTGGGCATTCATTGCCTTCGCAATGCGACTGATGTGACGCAATGTCAGCTTGCATTGCGGCCGAATGCCCCCTTCGATGATCGCCATGCTGCCCGGCACCAGCGCTATTTGGCCCGAGATGTATGTGATGTCGCCGATCTGTGTGCAAAATGAAACATTCATATATATACATATATTTATATAGTGAATTATTGGCGAAGATACAACATTTTGAATTCGGTAACAGAAACTTAAAACGTCAATTTCTCGATTTCATTTCAAAAATACGTATTTTCAACTTTTGATGCTATTAAAACTCCTTGTCTTTGATGCATGCTGTAACTCTCTCTCTATATCTATACATATATATATATATAAGGTGGTGGCATGCTGATTGCGCTTCTAATTTTTGTGGTACCAGACTTGATGCGACGATGTTGGTCGACATATATATTGTTTTTTGATTTGCATAATTGCAATATTAAATTGACTGTGTCTGATTATTATATTTGAATTTGAGCTGTCGCCAAGTGCTGTCAGATAGACGTCTGATTTTCCCATTCCAATTGTCAAGGTGTCTCTTTAGGCTGGTACCTCAAAATAGCTCATGTCACCAACTTATACAGTTAATAATATATAATATAATAGAATTTTGCGCTCTCTTTCTGTCTCTTTCTCTCTCGCTTGTCTGTCGCTCGTGTGTATTTCTCACCCGTGTTGATTGGCTGTATGGACCAATATTGGCTGGCGCCCAATGTGAGATGCCCTGGACATGCATCGTATTCCGTCGACCATTGAGCAGCAATTGGGTCTCCTCGCTATCATCGCCACTGTGCGTCGGTGTCGGTCGATGTCCAACTGCCTCCATTATGACATGACAATCATCTGGAAGCGGACACTCCACACACACCCGGGTCGGTGGATTGTGAAAGCCAAACGATTGCAAATAGATGGTATTCAGCAATGGATATTCGGCTATCGAGCGCACATAGAGCGTTGTGAAGCACAAATCCTGCAGATCATATCCATTACTCGAGCAGAGCTCACGCAGCGTGCTCAATGCCTGCTGCATGCCCTGCTCAATGCTGGGGGCGCAACCTGAAAACAACAATAAATCTCAATTAATATGCATGAGTTGAACATTTGTATATAGAAATATGTTGTGATTATTTTCTTTGTTTGTCTTCTGTTCTGATGATTGTTTGCGTGTGTGTTTATATATGTATGTGTGTCTGTCGCTGTGTGTATGTGTGTGTGTGTGTGTGTGTGTTACCCTGTATGCCAGCTAGCCACATCCAGCCTTTGGCATTGATGGCCGCTTTGGCCTGATTGGCAAGTGGACGAAATTCACGCTCATATTTCATGGGACTGGGCGGTTGGGTTTGGCCCGTTGGCATCGTCGCCGTCGCCGCATAATTTGTGCACTGTGTGGTGCTCAGCCCAAGCGAGGAGATGGCCAGCGACAGCGAGCCGCATACGGCGGCCGTGCTGCTGCCCAATGGATTTGAGATGCCAAAGCCGCAGCAACTATTCGCCTGCAAGGCGGCGTTGTTTGCCCCATTGGCGGCGGTGGCAGAGGCGCCGGCGCCCAATGCCAATGCCGATGCGGATGCGGATGTCGCTTGATTTGCATTGGCTAGCAGCAGCAGGGAGGCGCTGCCCGTCATCGAGGCGCTGGCCGTCGGTATGGGCTCGTCGACGCTGGCGCTCTTCGTTACAATGGGTATCGGCGAGGACGATGATGTGGCCAAATGCCGTCCAAATGAATTGCTGCGCGAGATTAACTCATTCTGGCTAAGCGATTCACGCAGACGTGTCTCCTTCTCGATCAGTTCCAGTTCCATTTCACTAAAATCGGGATCGCTTAGATCACTGTATGTCGACTCATTGAGATCGCTTATATAGTCGAGGGATTTCTTAACAAATACAACATCAGTGACGGCATTCAGCTCCTTCGGTTGCAGTGTTAGCTTTGTGAAATTGATATAGCCAACGGGACAGATGGGATCGGCACTGCTAATTATCGTCTGTATATCCTCGACAACGATGCGCTGCTTGAACAGCGGACAGTCCAGTGTAAATGTCTCATATTCGCCACCCTCGCCGCACACATTTAATCCATACTTGTCGCGCATCTTCAACAGATGCGTTTGCATCTCGCGCAGCGATTTGCCTAAATGACGATCCGGCACAAGACCCAATGCGGCAACCTATAAAACAACAAAAATATATTTTAATTGGGATGATTTTCGTCGAGCTTTCACAGATTGATATTGGATTGGATTGGATTTGGGTCACCTTGATGATAATGGCATGCACCTGACAGTCGATCATCTCCTGCAGCAGTTCAGTCTGATCTCTCTTCCACAAATAGGCCAACGATATCAGGTTGAGGCGACTGCAAACATTCTCCACGCGCACTCGCTGATAATCCGATAATATGGCACCAACAGCCACCGCGTCCACATTTAGCTCATGCTGCAAATTCAAATGAGACGAGATAGCAATAAGAAACAAACAAACAAACAAGCAAACAAACAAATAATCTGTCAATAGTCATTTTCTTTGTTTCTGTAGAATGTGGTAAAACTATCCCATAAAAGTTTACATATTCAGTCGGGCGACATGCCATTTGGAAGTGGCGTCCATACCAAATTACCAATTGTAGACAAAACAAATTGAGTGTATATATTATTATATATATATATATTTGTTTGCCCTTATCCAATTTCGAGTTGGTTCTTTCAACAATGGTTCGAGTTTATATAAATAGGCACTCAAATATCTGCTTTAATAATACTATGACAAATAATAACTGTGTCCTACTCTGATAATTTATGGATAAAACATACTGGCAAAATTTCTGGCAATTTGTGACCGACCCACTTGGCAACTGTTCCTCTCTAAATTTTAAAGTGCATCCATATAATGTGACAGCCTTTGGGGTCGTCTAATCAAATATTCGACATACTGCGACGGGTTCACGTGCTTGACGGCATTATTGATAAGATTACGAAACTAATTTCCGCAATTATATATATACATATATATTTATATATATTTTCTTTTCGTTTTGTTTGTTGGGGCGCACAACTCGTTCAAGGACAAAGCGAGGCAAATAAACTGCAACTGGACTCACAGGATATGCTGCACAATATTATCCAACAGAAATTAGAACAGACTTCAGGTAATCGTCACAGCAATCGCTGTGATAATTGCTCTTATCAGTTTGGATTAGTAATAAGCTCGATTGTGCTAATGAAAATTGATATTAAGTATTTTTAGTGCTTTTTTTTTTAGAATGAATGAGGAGCTTTAGCAAGTAGTGTAGTGGATTTCTGGTTTATAGTATTAGTTGATATCATCTTTTTGTAGCAATAGTTTTTTGTAGCTTCTCTATTTGCGACCATAAACTGTTTTGGCTTTTTGGATATCTCAAAATGGGTTCAGTTTATTTATGTTAATTTTTCACTTCTTGCTACATTTTTCATAGTTTCTTCATTTCTGAATGATTTTTTTTTTGAACTTAAATAAATAAAATTAGTTTAAATAATTTGTTTTTAAGATTTACCAAGAGGGAGTTTAAAGTTTCTTACTGCATTTATAACTATCAACTTTTTGGATAACTAAAAATGAGCTCAGCTCAGCTACAACTCAGGTATTCAATTAAAAGTACAGGGTATAAGGGTAAGCGTTATTCGTTAACTAATACTTACAACGATAATCGCATATCTATGGCCTTAATCTGATATATATATATATAATATATATAGTGGTGGCATACATTGTTTTTGACTGGGGCAACATTTCTCACCTTGCACGTTTCGAGCAAACTGTAAAGATCCTCGACTTCATCGTCATCGGTGGGCACATATTGTTTGCCAGTCTGTATGCTCTTGCCTTGGGTCTCGCGTCGATACAGTGGCAGACCCATGGCGCTGGCCAGGATCTCGATGCCCATGTGGCCAACCGTCTGATACATAAAGCTATCCAGCTCATCTGAAACCAAGTTCAAGTTTAGCGATTTAAATACATATAAAAATATATCAGTCTTTTGTTTAGTTTGTTTGCTTACCTCTGTCCTTGGGATGCAAGTTGGCTAATGCGACAATTTCGTGGCCCTCGGCGACGCACTGCATCATATTGTAGCAGCTATCCTTGCCGCCACTCACCATTGCCACAACGCGCATTTTGATTAGATGGATGGGGATGGGGGAGGGGTGTGGGGTATGGAAGTGTTTTCTTTTTTGGTTATCCTTTTTTTTTTGGTGTGTGTGCGTGTGTTATGCGTGTGTGTATGTGTGTGTGTATGTGTGTGCTGCACAGTTTAGCTAAAGTGTGCGTTCATTTGGCCTGTTTGCTGACTAGACTCGTTCACCATAGGAAAGGAACGTGGCGTCTTCGCTATTAACACAGTGTCGCTGTTCTTATTGTTGTTGTTGTTTATCCTGCTTCTTTTTCCTCCTCTGCCTCTTCTTCTTGCTGTTGTTGTTGTTGGCTTGTCAACTGTAACGAGCAACGAGCATAAGGACAGTTCATTAGTAGAGTTTACCTCGTTGCTGTTGTTGTCTAGGTTATTGCTGCTGCTGCTGTTAAAAGCTCTCTCAGGTGTCTGTGGAATCTAATTAAGACATAATCAGACGCAGAAGTACTTCTGCTGCTGTCGTCCACTCAATGCACTTAGGCACTTCGATGTAAACACACGGTTAGTAATATATCGTTATTTGTTTTTTTTTCCTATTTCTTCTTTGCTGTTGCTTATTGTGAAAGGTTGCGCACAGGATGCTGATGTACTTAGATTATAATTGGCAAAAGTCGGCCAAGCTAGATGATTGCACGAAGGTCACACATTCTCACAATAACCACACACAGACACATATGCATATATATATATATATATATATATATATATAGCATTCACATATGTATATTGATATATATATTTCTATAAACTGTTGTACACACACTTGTCACACACTTTTGTTGTATTACTGGCGCCGCTTGTGTCACACAGCTGACCCAAATATAAAAATCTTCTACACTATTGGCGACCGAATACCTAGACAAAAAGCCAAAAACAAAAAAAAAAAAGAGAAGAAAAGCTTACTGGATATTGTTTAATATTTACCCGACCCCGTCGCTGGCCGTGTGCGACTTTATGGAATTCGCACACTTGTGTATTATGTTATGTCCTAGAGATGTGCGATGGCTTTATATCTCATCGAAAAGGAACTTAACAGCTGCGCGTCGCACCTATAACATAAAATCACAGTATATACACATGTAAAGTTAACAGAATCAAGCTTTTCATTTAGGCATTTTCTGCACAAAAAAAAATACTAGCATGACAGTAAATGTGTTCTATTAATTTCATGTGACTGAAATTGGTTATTATTTTGTTTAATGCGGCGATTGTGGCTGTGCCGGCTGCTAGTGCTTTGTACAATCACAGCAGTGCATATTTTTTTTAAAGAAACCTTTTGTCTGAAAGTACACTGGAATAAACATAACGGTTTTGGTTTTGTTGTTTAATGAAATTGGAAAACATTGCTCTTATGGAAAATCACATTGTTTACGTTCGCTCTCCAATAAGAGCAATGCTTAACATATGTTTCACGTAACAAAAAAACGTTGTGTCTAATCCGGTGTGCTCGCAGGTTAACAGTAGCTTTTCTCATCCCTAATGTTAGCTTACCGTTGTGTAAAAATGGTCGCGACTTTGAAAGCTAAATTTATATAAAATTTGGCTTAGTTATTTTTTTTAAATTTGCTGTAGCAAAATGTAAGAGCTAAAAATAATTTGTATTTTGAACATTTTTGCACGACATACCTGAACTGTTTTGCTTACGTTACGCATAAGTGCGCATACGTTGCTCACTTTGCGTCTACATTGCTGTTAATCTGTTAACACGATGTGTTAACCTCACGCTGTGCTGCCAACATTTAACATACACATCTGTTTTCGAAAGAAATCCAATAAGTATTATTGTTTCGCAGTTTCGTCTGCCAAATATTTAGCATTTAAATGCATTGAGCAGCAAATTCTCAACACTGTATAAGCAGCAAAACCTTTAGTTATTAACAATAGTTTGAGCACAAAAAAAATACGAAGGGAATCAATTGCAGTGTCTGGAAAAAGTCGAAATAAAAATATTAATACAAAAAAAGATGAACGCTCTGCCACAAAGTAAACATTACAGTTTAACACATTATCAGCAGCGATATAACTGGGACTGCGGCATATCCTGCATTCTGATGATATTGTCGACGGCACAACGCGAACAGTTCCTCAATAACTTTGAGAGCATCTGCAAGGAGGAGGGCTTCGGCTCCAGCACCTGGACAATTGATCTCTGCTATCTGCTGCATCGATACCAAGTGCGTCACGAGTATTTTACGCAAACGCTTGGCATCGATCCCAATTACACCCAGCACATGTACTACTCGCAAATCATTGACAAGGACGAGAAGCGGGTGATGCGCAAGTTCAAGGATGCCAAGGCGCACGGATTGCGCGTCGAACAGCGCACAGTCGACATGGATGTGATACTTAAGCATTTGGCACGCGATGGCCCCGTTATATTGTTAACGAATGCCTCGCTCCTCACCTGTGAAATATGCCGCACAAATACCCTGGAAAAATTTGGGTAAGCGATGAAATTTTCAATTACAAGCACATCTGTACGAATACACACATGTTCTCAAGGTGATTTGTCTGTGATCAACACTCTGATCTCTGTTTCTCATGAAGCTAACAGTTTTTTTTTAACACATCGATTGCGTTATTATAATGTTAAACGCAGAACTGTTAATCAGTTTTCTTATAAGATTTATCAAGAAATTAAAATTGAAATTTGCCAGCTGTCTTTACTTTAAACTCATTTTGGGACAGCTCGTAAATGTATTCGAAATCTGTGTGGAACTGTGTGCATTCGTACAGGGTTTGTTTTGATACTTTTTGATTAAATTAAATGTTTGCATTCATTACCAAGTTGTTTTCATCTATCTTGTATTGCCCAAAAAAACACACGCTTGCCAACGGCTGCCAACAAAAGATACGCCGGACACTATGTGGTGCTCTGTGGCTACGATAGAGCCATGCGTAAGTTGTTTTATCACAATCCCGAGGTGCACGACGGACGTGAGTAGATTCTCAATTTAGTTGCTAAGCTAATCTATAAATCTGTACCTAATTATATATATAATTTTTTTGCAGATATTTGCCGTTGCTTGTCCGAGGCAATGGATACGGCTCGAACGGCCTTTGGCACCGATCAGGATATCATATTCATTTACGAGAAGCCCAACAACAACAGCAGCAGCAAAAAGTAAATCCTTCAAGGATAATAATGCCAATAATGCCGTAGTACCTGCTCAGCAGTTGCCAATGTTGTTTGTTATTTGTGTTGTTTGGATCTGCGCCTATGTGATATATATTTAACTTGTATTAGGATTTCAATCTGCTTGTGCTAGGCTGGGCCACTCATCAAAAGTACCTAAACAATATTTATATAAATATATATATAAATAAATATATATATAAATAAATATATATATAAATAAATATATATAATAGACAATATACACAATATGTAGCCACAGATTTGACTAGTTAATTAACATTATTATATATATATTTTATTTATCTTTTTTTTGCATTATATACTTTGAAACTTTGCCATTATGTTTAGATATTCTACGCATTTCCTTTTTTAATGCTTTAGTTTTACAAAAGTACATACATTTAGTTAGTATTAGTTAGTTAGCATATTTTAAAGTTGGTCCCCATAAAAAAAAGAAGAAAAACAACAATTTGTTTTCCACATGGCATAATTCCGTATATTCCAGGGCAAATATTATTTTTAGATCTGTTTTGAAGACCAGTTAATAATATTTATTTTGTTCAAATATATCGTTAACAAAACGCTCCATAATAATATAAGTTTGCCTATTTATTTACAAATAATAGTAATATTTGTGCAATTAAGTTGAATCATATTCGTATCTGAGACTTGCCCAAATATTTGCCTGAGATTTACTTCGGTCTTATGCCATTGTACATTCCACAACAAAAAGTTCTTGTGTCTATATAGAAATATGTGTAATATATACCATATATGTATGTTCATACAAAAAAAAAGAAATAAATAAATAATAATACAAGTGTTGTGTTTACTGATGCTTCATGTTGCCATCGTTGAGCTGTTTGGTGAGCAGCTGCAGCTTAATGTGTGGCGCCTCCACGGGCAGTATAATCTCCCCCGCATCATTTGTGTATTTGGCATAGAGCTGCTCGGAGAATGGCTTAAAGCCACTGGAGAATAGTATCTTCTGCGAGAAGATGCCGGTGGCATCGGCCTTGAGCAATTTAAAGTTGCATTTGCGTGCCATGTGCTCGGCACGGCGCACCAGCTCTTTGGCAATGCCTTGGCCACGAAAGCGCGAATCCACCGAGAGGATGCGCACGTCGAAAATGCGATCCACATTGTAGTGGGCGAACAGATTGGACTGCAGGCAGTGCCTGTACAGCAGCTCGAATATCTTTTTGTAGTTGCTGTCCTCGCTTAATTGCAGCTTGTCCAGCGCTTTTTCCGTATCGCCTGGCAGCAGGATGCCGTTGAGGATGACGCCGGCTATTTGGCCATAGGTGGCGCTGTCGGGGCGCCCATCAACGGCCATTACGCTAAGCTGATCTTGCAGCGTTGCCAGACTGAGATATTCCAATTCAGTGTTGCCATCGCCCCGCTGACAAAGTCCGGCAGCCCGATTCAGCGGCTCATCGGCAAAGAAATTGCCACGCAAATGTTCGATCACCAGCTCGTAGTGCTCGGCAGTAATCAGTTTGTACTCCATTTTGTTGCTCTTTCTTTCTTTCTTATAAAGTGGTTCTGAAAGGTTAAATGGAAGAAAAAACAAAACAAAACTAGTTGATGCAACCAACATTGATAAGACATGAAGTAGTATGCTTACAAACTAAGTATTTTTCTGACCAATATAAAACTTCACACATCTCGAACTCTCAACTCAAATTAAAGAAGAGGGAAATACCAATCTTTGATGGAAGTTCCTAATATTCTATCCTCCAAGTTTGCCTTTAAAAGTGCAGTTGCGAATTTTTTGGGATGGCATTGGGCATTGCCATTTGTAAGCAAATGTTGGTGGAGCTTCCTGGTAATATATTTTTGCAAGCTTGGTAACTATATCTCTTCAATTGTGGGAGGTATAGGCTCTTATCGTGTTTGGCAGCGGAAGTGGGCGTGGTCCAAAAAGGGTGTTACTAGCAATATGGCTTTCGAGTTCGGTGATGGACTTTCAAATTGTCGGGAATATATGGTTATATCGGTGCTCCATCAAGTGTAACAGTTTTGGGAGGCGGAGTGGGCGTGGTCATCGTTTTTTAACATCGTAATTTTAGTTCCATGTGGCAGAGGGTGTGGGCGTGGTCTAAAAACGTGTATGCTGATCGTTAAAGGGGATTAGCAGCTAGATATCTTTTGAGTTCGGTGACTCTATCTTTACATTTATTATAATTTTTTTGATTATTTTTTTTATCCGTACTTAAAGGCAGTTACTGGTAATATCCTCCTCCTAAATTCGATGGCTCCTACTCAAAAACTGCGTAAGATACATCTCAAATTTATTGACGAACCAGAGTATCAGAGTAAAAGAAGAGCATATAACAAAAAAAAAAAAACGAAAAAAAGTCCAGCATACTTATTTGCCAATTTACTGTGCTTGTATCGAGTCAAGATTTAAATATTTGCAATGTAATAATTTTCAAGTAAAGTTGAGACTGGAAAGATGAATTTCAAATTGAAATTAAAGTAATTAACAATGGCAAAGTGTACCTATTTGAAATTAAGTGGATGCTGATAACATATTTATGTCCGTTCATATGTATAAATCTATGTGTGAGTGTGTGTGTGTATGTGTATGTGTGTGTATGTGTGTAAGTGCGTGAGCAATTTGAATGGCACTAATAGCACTAATACACTCTCACTGGCGTTTTTTCCTCTCATCTCAACTCAATCAGAGAGGAGGACGCACGACTCATGTACTCAGTCACTTTCGCTTCTCTTCACTTCTCTTCTGTTCTGTTCTGTTTTGTTCTTGTTGTGGTATTGGTGTTGCTGTTGCTGCGATTACAATCGCAATATGACAACAAAAGACAATAACTCTTCACATGCACTCAACACGCACGACCCACGCACAGCGTCTTACTTTTTGTTTTATTTTTTATTTGTAAGTTTAGTTTTTGTCGTCTTGTTTACTGTTAATCTTCGCTGGCATTAATTACTCACTTTGTAGCTCAGTTGGTGTAAAATCGCTCAATTTGATTTCCAAAGTAGCGGGAGCGGCAAAAAAAATATGTAACCTACTTGCGGGCGCTGCTAAAAGCGAACTGCGGCAACAGCTCAGCAGCAGCTCAGCATCCCAGCTGCTTTATTCTATTCCTGTGCGAGTAAAAAAACTCGGTTTATGCAGTGGCGTCGTCTGTGCGTGGCTCGATGCTCAACAAGTTGTTCAGCAGCAGAATTGAAAAATGCCCATCAAATTTGGCATATTGTGTTGTTGTTCTTGTTTTTAGTGTAATTATATAATAAATCGCACAATGGCAATTCCGGTGATTTTCAAGATTTTGCTTGCGCTTCTGTCTCGAAGTGACCCCTTTCAATTGCTGTCTATGACAGAAAACTCAATGTTAACTGCTAACAGGACGCGTATGTGTGTGTTGTGCGTGCGTATGTCGGAGCGAACAAGGAATTTGTTGGGTGAGTCAGCGAGCGAGTGATTGCCTGCTCGTGACTTATTATTGAAAGAGAGACAGAGAGACAGAGAGAGAGAGAGAGAGAGAGACAGCAAGAGAGAGAGAGAGAGCTTTTCTTGTTCTTGCCTAGCTCCCACACCCACCACTCCATTACATTAACCCAAAAAAAATTTGACAGTTTTGTGTGGTGGGAACAACAACAAAATTGACGCCAACTGTTGATTCACTCATTGAATGTGTGTGTGTGTGCGTGTGTTTATGTATATGTATGTTTGCATCACACAAATCGTGTTTAATGTGTGTGTGTATGCATGCGTGCGTGTATATTTGTAACTACATGCGGATTTGACTTTTATTTGACATGCTCAAGATATTAAGCGCAATGAGGTCGCACGTGTATTTTGTAGCAAATGCCTCTGCATGGCTTCACACACTGAATGATCTCAACTACATATCCTAAATGTTAGTTAGTTAGATACGTAGTCAGGCCATTTTAAATTTTTTCATGAATCGTGTGTGTATGAAATGATTATTTTTATTATGTGATGTCTATTATAATTATTATTCATTATAAATTCAGAGCTCGCCCTATTGAAATCAAGAGAGCTCGCAACGTGTAAGCCGAATTCAATGAAAACTAGTTACAGTAACTGTAAATCGCCTACTGCTGCTGCTGCTACTGCTGCTGCTGCTGTATATTTCCAGTATCGCTATTCCTTTTGCTCGGTGTTCACGCTCTCAGAGCAGCTAAATCGGCTAAAGCAGCTAAAGAGAGCGCGAAGGACATCTTTCGGCAATAGCCACAGACGAGTACGAGTAAAGTAAGGAAGAGGAAGGACGCCTAATCCGTTTTTGTATTAAACGTTTAAGTACAAATGCAGAAGAACTGAAGAAGCCGCTTCTTTCCATAATTAATATTGCCCAATTGCCCGATTGAGCTGGCTCACTTCATGAGAAACATTGACAAACACCGGAATCTTTCTTAAGCTATCTTGCAGTGCATCTGGATCGACATTTTGGGTATTGTTCTCCACTATACTTAAGAATATTCATTAATCTCAGTCTGTAATTTGCACGGATGTGGCTCCTTTATAACTGTGGACACCCCACCAAGGAATGCAGAAGGAATCAAAATAGTCTAGGCTAATGACACTTGTTTTTTTTTTAAGCTAGTTTTAAGAACTGTATGTAAAAGAAAGTCAATAATAAAGTATATTTTGTGCAAAAGAAATTAGAAAATATCAGTTTTTCTATGTCCAAATAGGATCATATATAGTCGATAGATAAGTTCTTCATTTGTCACAATTATAACTTTATCAAAACGAAATTTGTGGAACAATATCTATTTCCAATCTGCTGGTAATTTCAGTACAGGTAATATTTCACAATTTGCCATAAAATTGTACTCACCAATCTATTTTGGCTCAGATTTATCGGGTTTAGACTTGACGATAAAAGATATAGATAAGCAACTAATATTTTACTCAACACAACGACGTGGGAAGATAGAGGACACAATAGTAATGCTGAAACTTTCCGGAATCGAAGCATTATGTAGCCGTGTAATTTCGGATTGTTGCTTTCGCAATGGGCTTTACAATGGACTGTGGCATATCAAATTGTTAAGAAATATTTATAAGACTAATAAGATACTCTAGCAATGCAGAAATTAACAATACAACTGCAGCACTTCTGTACTGTCAACCGATTGAAAATGGGTAAAAGCGGTATCATAAGATATATACTTACATATAATACAGATCAGGATCAACAGTCGAGTCGATCGCAGAAATCTTCTTTTTAATTGATCGATAAAAAAGAGGCACAATTTTAAAGATATAGCCTTTCAAGTATTGAGTATTACGACACATTATTGATTATTGAACTGTGCAAATTTCATTCGGATCAGATCGGATCGGATAAGAAACGCTTAGAAGCAACTATTTTCAATTTTCTGCATAGCCAAAGCTTTGATCGATGACTTCCGCGTAACACCTGGTCGAGCTCTCTCGACTAGAGCATTTTTGACTATTGTTTTAATGAATATTATTAACACATTTTGGCTATACCCATATAAAGTACACACGTGTTGATATTGTTTTTTTTTTCGGACAAATGACGCCATAGGACGCATATTCAAATTGCGTGACTTGAACAACACACCGTCCACCCCACCAATCGTCACACTCGCACACGCACACGTACACTCACACACTCACACACACACACACACACTCACACACACACCGTATTCTATTGTCAGGTCATGGCGAAATTACAACAATGGAAACGACTGCGTGTTGCTGGCATTTGGGAATTTTGGGCATTTCTTTTCCACTTTAGCAGGCCGGTCAAAGTGCCAAAATTGTTCTGCGTATTTTTGTTGGCAATCAGCATGAATTTAAATCAAGAGCTCTAACGGCAAACGCAATGATTTGGCAGCACTGGCTTAGAAATATGCGTGCGCTCTAATTAATCATCAGCTTGTAAATATCAATATATATATACATATATTTATATATATATATGCGTTCGTTTGTAAGTGATTTGTGATGGATTCTTAGAGATTTTATTGACTACAATTGCCCATTGTCCGTTTATTAATGTTTGATCATTTATTTCTCGTTTGAATTGTGGAGATTTGCTTAAAGATAAAATTGCCTAGTTGTGTGAATTCATTGCTTATGCAATTATTTGGAAGGTATAAGAGAAAGCTTGTTTAAAAGTGAGAACTACACTGAGAAAAAGAAATCGCCCTGCATTTTATACTTTCGGTGCAAAGGGTAACTGAAGAAAATTTTTAAAAAGCAGGAATTTTTTTTATTCACCAAGGAATATTTATCTAAAATGGGTATTAATTAATTAATTTTATTGCTATTTTCTGTATTTCAGAAATGATTTATCCAAGTGTAAGGGATTTTTGTAAATATTTTATATTAATAAGAAATATATTTGTGTAAAATCTAGAATTAATTTACAAAAAAGATAATTACTTTCTGGTTTTCACAGCGATTTTCGAAATTTCAGTGTAATTTTTTTTAAGTGTAAGAATTGACTAACTAATTTACTTTGTGCACATTATTTTTGCTGACTTTAGTCCCAACTAATGAGACATATATAAAAAGTAAAATATTTAATATTCAATCTATAGATGGGAAATCCCAATGTTTCCCCGCTGACTAACTTGAGAGAGTATTTAGTTTTAACAAGCGTTTTTCCTTAGACATTTTTTATGATTGCTTCCGATTTTGAGGCAGAGTAATTGCTGCTGTCAAGCTAAATAGTTGCTCCGCAAATAGATACGGAGAAAAATTGCGAACAAATCATAGCTGAAATTCTATTTACGTGCATAATTCAATTAATACTCACGCGCTCCTCTCTGATCATCTCTGGCTGCTGCTGCTGCGGCGGAAACAGCTGAGCGTTTGGCCCAATGGTCGCTTTTATCCATATAATGTCGGCGTCGACGTCGACGTTGGCGTCGCCGTTAACGTCGAGACCATTTCGCAGTTGTCATTTGGCCCATTTTATTGTCGTTTGCTTTGCTTTGCGGTTCTCATTGTCGCTTCTTGTTCTCGCGCTCGTCCATTTATTTTTGTACAATATTCGTCGCATATATGTTATTTACCTAATATTTTGTTGTTGATATATTTTTAGTTTACAGTTTTATTCAGTTTGTTGTTTGTTGTCCTCCACGCAGTAGGTACTTATTTTTTAGTGTTTGTTCTATTCGAAAACATATTTGTCAGCTAGCGTCACGTAACGTTACTGTAACTGTAAGTGTAACGGTACATTTCTGGATCGTAATACTTAATAAATCATGGCTGCCAAAGATCGTCTGCCCATATTTCCGTCCCGCGGGTGAGTACTAACTAAAAGAGAAAGAGAGCGACAGAGAGAGAGAGAGAGAGAGAAAGAGAGAAAGTGTTTGAGAAAAATGTTAAATTTCGATTAAAAAAACAAAACAAAAAACACAAATTTCTTACACAGCGCACAAATTTTGATGAAATCGCGCCTGGCGGGCGCCACCAAGGGTCATGGCCTGCTTAAAAAGAAGGCAGATGCTCTCCAAATGCGTTTTCGCCTAATTCTGGGCAAGATCATTGAGGTAGGCCAGCGTGTAATATTCAAAAAATCAGAACAAAAAAAAGATAGAAAAAAGATGATTAATTTTTGTAGACAAAAATGCTAATGGGTCAGGTGATGAAGGAGGCGGCTTTCTCGCTAGCCGAGGTCAAATTCACCACCGGCGACATAAATCAGATTGTGCTGCAGAATGTGACCAAGGCACAGATCAAGATACGCACCAAAAAGGATAATGTCGCCGGCGTCACATTGCCCATTTTTGAGCCATATCAGGATGGCGTCGATACCTACGAGCTGGCCGGTCTCGCCCGTGGCGGCCAGCAGCTGGCCAAACTCAAGAAGAACTATCAGAGTGCGGTGCGTCTGCTCGTTGAGCTTGCCTCGCTGCAGACATCCTTTGTCACGCTGGACGATGTCATCAAGGTGACCAACCGGCGTGTCAATGCCATTGAGCATGGTTAGCTTGAAAATCATAATCAAAACTATTCCTTCACATATATCTTTATATATAATTATTATAATTGTAATGGCGATTACTTATATCATTTATAGTTATAATACCGCGCATCACTCTGACCATTGAGTATATCATCAGTGAGTTGGATGAATTGGAGCGCGAGGAGTTCTATCGTTTGAAGAAGATACAGGATAAGAAGAAGGCTGCCCGCAAATCGGCGGATCTCGCCAGGGAGGAGCTGCGTCGCCAGGGCTACAATGTTATCAGCAGCGAGCAAGCGCAAAATATACTCGAAAATGAGGGCGACGAGGATCTACTGTTTTAGTCAACCTTCAACTTTCAGCTGAATACCCACAAGTCTCGCCCATAGACACATACACACACACACACACATACACACACCACCCACCCACCCACACACACACACACACACTCACTACCTCATCCAAACACAATGTGAAACTTTCCAAATTTCTAATTTTTTTGTGTTTTTTTTTTTTTTGTGAATTGTGCACCAATTTGTTCATTGCTGTTGCTCTTGTTGTTGTTATTGTTGTTTGTTGTATGTAGCTAATGAAATAATGTACACGTATTTGAATACCTATTTGTATTTGTATTATTATTACTATTATTATTATTATTATTATTGTCGTTATTGTGTGTATTGTTGTTAATTTGCGAATTTCGTTGGTGTTTCTTCATTTATTTTTAGTTGTATTTAATTGTGCAAAAATATTTTTGATGGCCTATAAAAAGTGCCTCATTTAGCTGCTTATAGTAGTTGCAAATTGGCATTCCAACGTCATCAGTGTCAACGATATGGTCGACCCAACATGTCTTCCCCCCACCAACACCTATATATAGACTATAGCCGGAACGTGCCGATCGCTAAACCGCAGTGCAAGGCTACATATAGAAATGAGATTATCTTTCAGCTAGGCGGCAATATCAATTAATAAATATAAAAAAAAAAAACAAAAAAAAAAAAACGAGACGCATATTTATTAATTATACACACATATAAAATCATCATGTTTATTCAAATTTTCATGTTTTGCTTATACACGTAATAGTTTGCCATTGACCACTGTATTTCTGGGTCTCTATTGTTCTCTATGTTCTTTATTTTGGTTTTTCTTTTAGTTCTCACAGATCTGTTGCTGTATCTTTGTATCATTTTTTTTTCTTTTTTTCTTTTTTGCAAGTAGATAAGTTAGTAGTTTATTTATTTCTCTTAAATTGTGTGTGTGCGTATTTTTTTTTTTTTTAAATTCGGCTTGCTTATTATTGTGTTCTTACCTACGAAGCTTTTGCGCCAGTAGGAAAAGAGAGCAGCACAACAAAGGAAAGGTTGGCTCTGAAGTTAGAAAACGCGCATGGATTATGTATATATATGTATATGTATATGTATGTGTATATGTAGTTGCATATGCCTATCATCTATGACTGTATTCAAGAATATGTGTACCAAGTACTACGGCGACTGCATTTTGTGCTCTCCAAATATGCAATTATATATTTATGCTCTATATCTAAAAAGAATTAGGTGCTTATGATCATGATCAAGATTTGGGCAACATATTGAATGGGAATGGGAATGTAGAACTTTCACTTTGTTAGCTTTATTATAATAATATGGCGATAAATTAAAATTATAGCTTAAGCATCATTTAGTTGATATGTAAGACACAAATAAAAAATATATATTTGCTATCCTTCGGAAAGTTAGTGTGCAACTGTTGGAGGTATTTCAATTGCAAAATGTTCGAAATTATTGAATCACTTAATTGAGTTGAGTAAGTATTGGTGTTGAATGTGAACTTTGAATTTAATATGATTTCTTGGTTCCTCTATGCTTAAAATAGAACGCCGGGAATCTTGAAATTTGAAATTTGAATACATGCATTAAGATTAAAGATGTACGATGTACTATGTACGATGTTCATATATAAATTCGGATGTTGTATGTGTGTAGGCTTGTTATATGTTCTATTCGATTTATAGAACCAAATATTGTCAGGTACTTTGATATACCGTTTTTTGTTGTTGTTGTATGTGATACATATGTAAATAAATAATTGCACTATAATTATACATATATGTATATGTATGTAAATATGTAACTACATCTCTTGTATGCATGTGTATGTATTAATTTTTAGTAGTTTACCGACTTAAATTGAGTACATACATTTATTAAAAAAAAAAAAAAAAAGTTTCAAATCGTTTTTTTCTTCACATTTCCTATTAGATGTGAATAAAAATGTTGCTGTATTTAGCAGCCGTTAAATACATGTATGTATATATAAACCTACACGTATTTATGTATATATATAAATATAAAAAGATGATATTCATCTATATTCATCTGTATGTATGTATGTAAATATATAAAAGTGCACACACACATTACAGTAGAGCTTAGATTTGGTACAGTTGCGCGCTTAAAAGCTAAAAGCTAAGCTTAGCCAGATACACACACACGGACAGCGAGCGATAGATAGAGAGAGAGAGTGAGAGAGAGACAGAGAAAGAGAAAGCAAGAGTCCAATACAAATAAATTAGACCGTTAGATTAGTAGTAAGAGCAAAAGCGCTTGCTGTAAGCTTTAGGCGATTGCTGCTTTTGTAGTATTTGCTGCTGCTGCGACTGCTGCTGCGGCTGCTGCGGCGGCTAATGCAGTTGTGGTTGTAACAGCGGCGACTGCAGCTCTTGTTGTTGTTGTTGCTGCTGCTGCTGCTGTCGTTGCTGCTGTTGCCGTTGCTGTTGTTGTTGTTATTGTTGCCAATGCTGTTGTCGACGTCGGCAGCTGTGACGTCATAAATATTTGCTGCGACACTTGAGCGCCAGGCATCACACATTTGTTCTGCAATTGAGACAAGTAAAAAGACAAGAGAAAAAGAAGGCAGACAGAGAAAGAGAGAGAGAGAGAGAGAGAGAGAGAGGGAGAGAAAGGATGATAAGCCAAAAAACACAAAAATAACGTAATCAAAGCACATAAATTATAGAGTGCGGAAGCGAAATAGAGAGCGGTAAAGAGAGAGAGAGAGAGAGAGAGAGGGAAACGACAAAAAGATATTAAGTTTCTTTGTTTTCGTTGTGGTTTTTTAAATTCATTTAAGTGAATATTATTAAAAGAAATAATTGCAAATTGTTGTGACCAAGCGCAGCAAATAAAAGCAGTGATCATATTATTATTATTTATTATTACATAATTGCAATTATTTAAAATAGCCAAATAATAAAGCAATATGGCAACGCACGCCGCAAATAATTTTAATCGTGATCGAAAGTGTGCACAGTGTGACCGAATTCGAAGCAAGCACGAAGGATATCGCCGAGAGTGCTCGACTAGCAAATGCTAGTCAGTCCACAAATAAATGCAGAGTTCCTTTTGCCAGGTATTATTTACACAGTTGAGATACCAAACATTATTGTTTGAGATATGAGCAAATATAACATTTATGCAGACAGGCAGTCAGGATATATATATTCGCATAGATATTACTGATACTCTTTTGGTGTCAAACATTTTTTCTTTTTTAAAAGTTGTTGATTTTGGGCAGAAAATTAATCTTAAGATTTGTATTTAAATAAATGTAAATACATGTTTGACTGATATTAAATATTGATAGTTCCAATAATATTTGTTGAGTTAAATTTTGTAACTAATTTGTTTCGGTCACACTGATTTGCTAAGTTCAAAATATGTAAATAATATTTACGAATGTTGTTTTTTTTTTTAATATATTTTTAATTAGCCATGCTGCCTTTGTTTCCAAACATTGGTCATAGGCCTTGCTGAAAAAAATATTGTTTGATATCCATGCTGTTGTTTGAGCCAAAGCCCATTGAGTATTGGGTAGCTTTTCGGTGAGGTGTGGGCGAAGATTATTTAATTGTATCTGTAGGTTCTTTAATAGGGATTGTGTGTATAAACAGTGCTTTAGCTAATGTATATGAGTGGTATTTATAAAATAGCATAACCTACGATGGCTTTTAAAGGTGTAAAAGCTTGTACAGACTACAATAATCTAATAGCGTAGAGATGGGCGCGTGTTCGATTTTTATGGCAATACAAATTGTACATGGGAAAGTGACACGACAATTTTCTCAAGCGTAAAGTGGCACATATCAAATCAAAATAATATAAATAATATACAAAATATGACTAAATTGCATTTATTATTAAATAATATTATTAAAATTACGCTTATTTTTAAAATGGATGTCAAACCGAACAAGAATCGAAACCAAAAATCAAATCATTTTTTTTGTGCGAACCAGTCAGCGAAGCTGACCTAGACCTTGTAACGGTACACAGCATAACGGTCTTTCTCACTTACGGTACGTTTGTATATATATATGTAGCAGTACCGTAAAAAATGCATTCACAACCGAAACCGTTTGTAGCTAATGAAATTATATTTGCAGATTACAAAACTGAACTGTTTAAATAAGTTTACAAAAAGAATGCGAATAATTTGAATTTTAAATATATGTTTATATATGTATGTATAAGAAGAAGACAAACAGGACACACGCGTCCAGCTCTAGTCAAATAAGCGAGGAGCAAGCTGTAAGCAACGTGTGCGTGTGTGTGTGCATGTGTGTGTGTGTGTGTGCGCATGTGTGTGTGTGTGTGTGTGTGTATGTGTGCAAATATTGTACAAAAGTAAGCAAAAGGTTGAACTACATTATTGGGATCGCTAGATGTTGAAGGCTCTAAGAGTTACTAAGTTGGACAAATACAGACTACGTCTATGGCTAGTACTAGTTTTGGGCCTACAGCTCTGACAACTCAAATACAACTGACTCGGGTGGTACGGATGACGCTGGCGGTACTCGTAGTACCTTTTTGCCGCGAAAGCACAGGTTCGTCATCCAGTTGGAGCGGCCAGCCGACGATTCCTTGCTCCGTATGCGTGTTGCCATCGCCGATCCGGTGTCATCCTCGACGGTGCGTGGACTGCTACCGTTTGTCGAGTTGTTGTTGGTGTTGCGCTGTTGCAGCATTTGATGCTGCTGCTGCTGCTGCTGCGGCTCATTGCTGATGACGATGGTAACGTTGTTGGCCTTGCGGCTTTTCAGGCGCTTAATCGGCGGCGGCACCCTATATAGTGAGAAATAAAAACAAAAAAAAAGGAAAAGGTCGATTTTTAGGATTCACGACTTGCTTTCTGGACAAAGACTGTGCTCAAGTTTTGGAAACACAGTTTTAGTTGGAATTCTGAGGTCAGGATTAACATAAAGATACGCAGAATGCTAGCTTGGGCTTACCTTCTGCTCGTTGAGATCGCCTCGCCTGGCTGCTGCACAACATCCGTGTCTGGTGCGGTGTTGTAGGCGCCCGAGTACATGGAAGCGCGCTTGGGTGCCCATTCGGGGTGTCCACGGACGGACATCCAGACGGCCAGGCTCTTCAACAGCACTGTGCGTACCTGCAACGTACAAGCAATGAGATAGACGACTCAAGTAAATGCTACTTTCATTTGAAATATATTTGAATTTGCTGGCAATGTTCGCATACCTCGCCATTGAGGAAACAATAGATTAGGGCTATGAAGAAGCCCTGAAACGAAGTCAAGAAGTGTGTCACATAGCTCCAAACGGCAAACTTCCAAGCGGTCTTCAGAGCCGGTACCAGATGCAACAGATTCGTAATGCCCAACAGGGGCAACAGCACAATTGCCGCCCGTACCGCTTTGCGGGTCTGCTCGATATCGCTGGCCTGCGATTGACGCAGCTTCACCACCAGTACACGTATGATATTCACCAAAAAGAAGAAATTCAGCTGCCAGACCGAAGACAGACAAGTTAGATGAAAATACTTCTCTACTACGCTGCATGTATGTTCGTGCTGTAAACTCACCAAGATGACGGCGAGGCGAGGTCCTTCCAGTATCCAATAGTAGGGTGTTAGATTGTAATTCCACATGCATTCGCCAACAGTGGTGTCCATAAATATCGCTGTGCATTGGACCCACACGAAGGTCATTAGTACGGGCAGGCCCCAGCCAAGCAGCGCGAATAGTTTGAGCGGAAAGTTACCCTGGAATACAGCCACAGTGACCATATTGTGCAAGTAGAGACCTTCAATGAACATCCACATGAACATGGCGGTGCGAGCGTATTCCAACAGCACATACGATGCCTCACACAGATATGGCTGAAAGCGATAACATTCCGATAACATTCGAATTTCGATAGATGTATATGCTGTTGGTAAGGACATTCAAGGAACTACACACACCACAGTGGCTTGAACAACTCCTTCAGTTCGATAATATAATATAAACATACAGATCAATCCTACGTTCAAAGTTGAAATTGTAATATTAGGTCGGAGTCCATGGCTATATTCTACGCTAACAAATCGGCTTATGGGAATGGTTCGATAAGATATCTGGATTATGTGTGTTTCAAGATTTGATTGATTAGAATTCGACATGGACATGGAGAGACGATTGTTCACGGAGGTTACTAGCAATTCACCTTCCAAATTTGGTGACTATTACATTCAAATCGAAAATATATGAATGTCTTAAAGGGCTCCTCTGAATGATTCCAGTCGAACAACGTGAAATAGAATCGCTTCACATTCTGTAAGAATATTGATTTGAGACGGTAGACAGTTCTAGGCCAAGGACCTGATCCCTGAACTCCGGCTTCTACGTGGTACACCGTACAATAGAGGTTTGCTTGGCTACGATTACTATCGGAAATCGATTTGTATCGATACATACTTTTCCACAACGTCATTGTACAATTTATAGAAATTGGATTCGTGAGTAATTGTCGAGGCTTATCACTTTGAAAATATATTAATAGGCTTTACGATCTTTTCTCACCGTATTCTCGATAATCGATACACTTGCATTGGTAGCCGTTTCCGGTCTGCCACGTCGAAATTGATCCAGATAAAGGGTCAGTCGCACAATCACCTGCAATACCATTGCAACGAACAGGTTCTTGTGTATCTTGGTGCGATTGTTGCGCAGCGAGCGAAAGGCGCAAAATATCACCAGGGATATGATTAGGGCGAGCAGCGATAGGCAGAGTCCGATAATTTCCAGAGTGCGTGTTCGCTGTGCTATATCCATGTAGACCTGAAAGTAGAATTGAATCAAATTGAAACTCGATTCAATGATACGCTACTTTCGTCACTTACGTTCACATCCTTAATCTCCTGCATGAGGCGTATAACCTCGGGCTTGTAGCATGGCGCATAGTCTGTCCAGCCGCCGGTATTCAGCTCGGTATCGTTGGGCCTTCTGCCCCAATGGCCATCTAGTTCGCACTTCCGAATGGCAAATTCTGTTTAAATAAAATGAATTCCATAATAAATAAATGAAATAAGCCATCGACTTCCGTGTCAATCAAAGTGAATTCCCTTGAATACCACGACATTAAAATACACTTTGCGCATTTCTGTTGAAAGCTTTTGCTTTGGTTTATTTATAACAAATTGGTTAACTGAGTTCCTTTTGACGACCACTCATTCCTTGTATATCAACATTTATTACTTTCCAATGTCGAACAAGTTGTTTGCTTTAATAATTATACCCTATTGTGGCCAAGGACAATGCGGGTATCTGTGGGTGCGCCGCCAATATGAAAGGTTTGCCCGCGTCCTTTAAACAACGTTCAATTGTTGTCTAACATTTGATTCATTGCTGTTTACTTTTGTCCGTCTCTTTGCCCTCCACGCACACAATGACCACGGTGAGGGTATGGCAGAGTCAACGACAAACGGCAGAATTAGAGATATATATTTGGTGTACTATTCGACCTCAGACAACATAAGAGCTGGAGCTGGCAAATATGTAGTTTTTTTTTTCAGAATAAATATTTAAAAAAATCCGATAACAACTAAAAAGTCAAGATAATATCTATATATTTTTATAATCTCATCTGTTGAGCATTTTATCTAACGTATTAATTAAATTCTTAAAGCAAAAGAAAGAAAAAAAATAAAAACAAATAAATCGGGAAAATCTATCAATATTTATAGCAAGGTTTTGGAAAACTCAGACGGATATATGGCATATGAAATAGTAGTCTACAAATTCTTGAGGCGGATTGCATATCACTCCCTAAAATTGGAAACACTTTTCTTAGGAGACATGTTTTAAAAACAGAAGACAAAAAAAAACCCTTAAATGTACACAAGATGTTGAAATATAAAAGTATTAATCTATTTGGATTAAAGATTACGATCATAATATGTAACAGATCATAATATGAACAGACAATAATAAACTTTTGTTGTGCAGGGAAATTGTTAGTCAGGCACTATTTCCGATTTCTATTTGCTTCAGTTGAGCAGCAACTATGCTATGTCAATCAAAACACCCTATACCCTCTCCCACACACACACACACACAGTACAACTGGTAAGCCCTGGGTGCAAAATGAGACCAGGTCAACTTGTGAATAGTTGTTTTATTCAATATTTATATTTGCACCTAATTATAGACTGCCACTAACCACCTAAAGCAGATGGCCAAATCCCTGTATAAATATATCTATATATATATATATATATATATATATATATGTATGTGTGTGTGGTACGGCTGTGGCAGTCGCACGAACATTGCGAATGCAATCTTGGCCCAGTTGGATGTGCATAACTTAAAGAGCTGCTTGGAATTGCGTTCAATTTACTTCAGACAGGTCATATCTTAAAATCAGGTAGTTTTCATTGCAGATGCCAACATGTAGCAAACGCCAATTCATTCATCCTTTTCATTTCTTCCTTTCAAATAAGTCTCTGAACTATTTACTCCTTTTTATTGTGCCCGTTCCTTTTCTTATTATACGCTTAGTTGAGCTCCTTACGGCAAATATATCTTGACGACTATGTGACTTGCATGCCTTGCCTTGTCCAACTAGTCTACTCTGCTCTGACAGAAAGTGTGTGCGTGAGAGAGAGAGAGGGAGAGGGAGAGAGAGAGAGGGAGAGAGAGAGAGCGGGAGACAGCAAGAGAAAATGAAAGTTTGACATTTTCTTAGGCTGGCTGCAGCTTTTACTTTTTCTAAGTCCAACTAGTATACTGTGTAAAAAGTAATGCTTCCGAAAGTCTTATAAATGGCTGGTGCAGAATTTCAATTGGCAAAGTTGCGGTTTCTATTCAGATTCCGGTTTACCAAACCCCCCAAAAAAAAACAAGTTTCTTATAGCCAGATTCCACTGCACTCAACATTTCGTAAATGCACATTCTTAACATTCCGCGATTCCATTATTTGACTTAAATAAATGGTCGGATCAATTTATTATTGCATCTTTTTGCGAAACTATTAATTTAGCTGTGTTTATTCATATTTGTTTAATTATAATCAACTAATAATATAATCGCGTACCTCTCTTGAAATATCATTGTTTTATTTGTTACATTGATTATGAAATAGTTTTTTACAACATCGAGACGAATTTTCAAATTCACAAATTTCTTGAATGTATTTCTTGAATGTTGTCATTTGTTGTTGTTGGAAAATATACAAATAGAATGAATGAAATGTTGATAGTGGAATAAGGATATTGGGGGCTTCTAATATTGGCATTCGAATGTTGTTCGTTGCAAGTGCAAATGCGACTCGTTGTGGATATATCTGAATGTTGGCTGTTTACTTACTGCGCGTATCGACACCGTGATAGCCGGCGGGGCAATACATGCGTGCCATGACCCCAGCCGGCGTTGGTGGCCAGCAGAGCAGCGAGTCCCAAGTCCAGTTGCAATACAGGCCTAAACCCACACATAGAGAAAGAGAAATAGAGCGAGAGAGAGAGAGAGAGAGAGAGAGAGAGAAAGTGAGTGGGGTAATGTATGTTTGCTAGCAAGGTAACAGGCGTTCAATAAACAACGAAGCGAGCTCAAGGTTGCAAGTGCACAGTGTGCCACATGTGGTACGTGACTGATAGGCATACACTGCATACACTTAGGAAAAAAATTCGCCATTGGTGCCGCACCTTGTTATACAGAAAGTTTGTCTAAAATCCAGAAAAGATATGTCTATATAACTAGAAGAATTCTAATATTCGATTTTTCTACTTTGTAGAAATGCATTTCTTAATCATAGAAAATATTCCTAAAAAAAAAACTTCGACATTTTTGGGATTGACGATTTGGAAATTGGTTTTCTCATAGAAATGATTTTTCTGAGTGTATGCAGCTGTTGCATAAGAGATGCAATACAAATATTGTGGCTCGCCTTCTTTAAATTATGGCATATCATTATGAAAAATATGTATTTATTTGAATTTGATGAGCAGACTCTAATTGTCAGTTGGTGTTGTTCTTGTGATTGCTGTTGCCGCAAATGTTGTTGTTGTTTATGTGTTATTGTCCACAATTGGGGGGGCACTCAACAGCCGAGAATAGATGCGGCTCTTCGAAGAAATCGCCTTGACTGCTTTGCGTCGTCAGCGGCGACATTTGAGGCAATCTGCAATTAGCCAATGTTTTGCGGAGCAGACATTGACTCTCGTCCGACATGGTCACCAACTGATTGATGCATTGCGACCGAGTACAAATGTCCATCACGTAACGTCCAGTCGGTTCCCCCTTTATGGCAATATTGAACACAACCTTCAGCATTTTGCACACTTATGCATTCAAATTTAATTTTGGTATCGAAAGTTTCAGGGCGTAATTTACTTAAATGTAAAATGAAATCAGATTTTGTTTCTTTTATTTGATTTTGTAATCTGTTTTTATTTTTCGTTTGGAAAACTACTTTTTGACAGTTTTTTGAAAGCCTGCAAAAAACCAAAAAAAAGAGAAGAAAATCCAAAGTTAAAGCTGTTTACGAAATAACAAATATTTGCCTTTTATTCAAAATACTGAAACACAAATAATTATCTTGCGCTGATCTATGTAATGAACATGAATTTCTAATCGAAAACTAAATGAAATTGATGTGGGTTGATTAATAAGGTGTGACAAATGGGTGCCACAGGACATATATATATATATATATATATATATAAATTTTGTCAGACAGTGTCCTACACACAGAGGGAAAGGTACTGACCTGTTACTGGCTGGGTGTAGTTGGCAAACATTGCCGCACAGTTGTCATAGCTGTTGGCCGAGGCTGTTGAGAATGTTGAGTTCCAGGACGAGCTGGTGGTGCTAGGATCGGGAACGGCGGCATCGAGGCCAACAGCTGTTGCTGCTGCCGTCATATCCAGCTCCGTGCCGTTGATAACATCCGCCAATCCACTGATGACTTGCGATGGTAACTTTGATGTGCTGCTGCTTGTTGTCGAATGTGTGGATATCGATGTTGATGTTGATGTGGTTGTGGCTGTGGCTATGGATGTCATTGTCCTGTTGAGCATGCTCCTACCGCTTTGCGTCATGGACATCGATAGGGTTGTGACTGTCGCTGTGGATGTGGAGGCAACTCTGGCCGCCCTCCGAGCAAAGCGCTGGGGGATGATGATGCTGCTGGTGGAGATGGTGGGAATGCAGCCAGGCTTATTGATGCCAGGCAGCTGCATCATTTATCATCAAATGTCATCACTGAGAAGAACCAAAAATAAAAAAGATATAAGTTTGCAATTTTATTTAATATTCAATGATATTATCAATGTTTTTGCAAATGTTTTTACAACTAAAAACACTGATTTTCACTGCCTTAGCTTTTATTCCAGACTTAATCTGTTCTTTATTGTTTTCAAATATTTGAATACCTATAATAATTGTCTACTTCTTGTTAGTGCGTTTTCAGTTTTAATGTGTTTTCAAAGCTTTATCGCAGAACAAACATTAATTTATAGTATCATTTACTGTTTCATTATAATATTTAGCTTATCTCTAGCACTCAGTTTTCATTTCGATCTTGGTGAAATTTGTCCAGTTGATCGATAATATGCATATGACTATTATATATTACTCTTATATCTTTATATCGGAAATCGATTTGTATCGATATATGCGAAATGGAGACAGTTATCGATATGCGAGAACCTATATTCCAAAGTTCTAGATAGTTTCAAAAGTGAGGGACTAGTTTGGATAGAAACAATCGAGCAAGACTTTATCGACTAAGTTAGTGATGGTGATGGAGGAAATATATCCAAAAGTATTGAAGTATCTTCAATGCCTTACGAACTTCAGGCTAAAATTATAATACCCTGTACTGGGATAAAGAAAACAATTATCATAGCACAACTCCCTGCTTAACCGATTATTATTATACGTGGATATAGGCATAAGTGCTGCCAATCATCGCTCATTGAATAGAGTATTTTGTTCGATATCTGTGTTGCTTAGCCTTGTTTTGTGACGAGAGGGATCACTGAGTTGTGGGTGGGAGGAAGGTTTGAGTTTTAATTAAAAATCTTGGTAAAGCAACGCAATCAGCAATCCAAGTATGTGCTTTACACATGAACGAGATACAACAGAAATGTGTGTTGCTGAAGCAGCGTTTTTATTATTATCGCATCCAGTCAGTGACGCAGCTTATCATTGTTTATTTTTAACATTGGAATGTATTCGTTGGCGTTATTCAATATTTCTATCTTTGCATCATCGCTATGACGCTAATCATCGCCATAAGCATTAGTTGCTGTTGCTTCTCCCGTCGCCGACTCAGCTTACCCGACTTACGCTCTGACATTGATTGCTCCTGGCAAAAAGCCAAGTTTATCCCGAATGCGGTTAAGCAATCAACTGGAGTCGGCTATGTGGGCGTTGATTAATTCAAAAGATTATAAATGTGTTGCATTCACCGTGCTGCTCAGTTCAATTTATTAACATACAAAGTAGAATAAATACACATACATTTTGATTTAGAATCCCATCGATCCATTTTTCAATTTTTATCAACTTTGGGTCAAAAACTGTGGGATATATGGTATCTATTGAAGATACGGGTTGGACGGACGTGGTCGATCTTATAAAGGATGTCACTCATTTGGTGACTCTAACTAGCATATTGAGGCAGATATCTTTCGTCATCGATTTGCACTTATCGATTCTTATCGATTTCTCAGCCGCCTAGCGCCCTTGTGGACGTCGCATCCAAATTTTAAAATTCTATGACGCAAGCGAATACGATATATACATAAAGTTTCGAAGTCTCTACGAGTAATAAATTTAAGATGCATAATTAAAGCAAGCCGAATTGCAAAATTGAATAGTGACATAATTAATAAGCTTGAACTAGCAGTGCCAAGAGAAATCTTAAAATCAGTATACTCAAACTCAAGTGTTACTGACATAAAGAATCTGTATATATTTACCAATTATATTTATGTATATTCAGGTACTCATTTGTTCAACGCGGCATTTTGACATTTTCTGCGCTGTCACATCTGCCAGGTGACCTAAATCGTAGGAGAAGTTGTTGTTGTCAGACCCTTTACACTTGGGCAGGTGGCCCACCTTGACTGAGCACCTCAAATAACTCTCTGTTGATTTAGTAGTACACACACACACACACACACACACAGACCCGCACGTGCACACTCAGACTCAGTGACTTTTAAGCATAATTGACTTAATTGCATGATAGAAGCCGTTCCCGGGCCACTAATTAATAAGCAGGCTGCAGCATGCTTACTGCGTTGCCATTACTAAGCATTTAACAAGAAAAGCCAGTATGCAGCTATTTTTCGGGCCAAATGATGTACAGATAATTGCAGCACGGTCTTCTGGCACATTGCTGCAACTGGGCCAAGCTTCCGGCTTTCGCTTACATAAACACTGAGCGGGCTGCTGGGGCGAGTGTATGGTTGAGTGGGTTGTGGGGTTTGTGGGAATGGGGTATGATGTAATTAATATTCGTTGGAACAACTAGCCACATTGAAATTCTTATTAAATTATATAGAGCAAACTCAAAGACAATTTGGGGGAGTAGCATCCGAGCAGCAACAGCAACTGCAACAAGGACAAAAAATTCCTATAGTATAAGCTGAGTTAAATATAAAACTTGTCGAGTGCATTTAGTTGAACTTGGGCCAAGTATAACAAGTTCAAAATTGATAGGCAGCAAGTATTATTTAAGCTCAGCTTTCAGTTTCTGGCTTGGTCTAATATAGGGTATTGTGTATTCGATCAGTGTCATCAGCTTTCTGCATGCACATAGTTGTCAATTTGCTGATGCTTGGCTTTGAACGCGACAACATGACGTATACGTAATGGTTAATATCAGAAGTACATATTTGATTTAATGCACTGAAATTCCACGTTATTAAAAATATGCAATGTTTGAAAACTTTTTTTTCTATGCATTTGAATAAACTTGAAGTTAAAAGTAATAAGACACTAGCAGATACCCTGTCTGTACTTGTTATTTTAAGTGAATTTCACCACAGTTGATCAATATTGTGCTCAGTTATATTTTTATCAAATTAGGGCGCATTATCTTTAAAATATTAATATAAAACTATAAATATATATGTACATCAGCTTATCTTCTTCATCAAAAAATTTATCGTATAATTTTGGGCATCTTAAATGACCCTATTTTTCGCTAGATTATTGAGTGTAGTACAAGTTTAAATTCAGTAAAAAAAAGTTTTTTATTGAGATGTGGTTGATAAGAATCGAAGAAGTGCATATTTGAAAAGTTTTTAAAACTTGCAAATTGTTTGGAATATGGAAATATGAAATCTGATGCGAAGCTCATTAACTGATAGAAAAGGAAAGACAAGGCAATGATGGCTCATTAAAAGGGGGGATAACGAGCCATAATTTTTCGCCTTCTTTGTTCGCTCTTTGGGGCAAAAGTGCATTGTTAGCCAAGCTGACTTGGTCGCTTGCTCGCTTGCTCGTTGGCTCATTAGCGAGGGCATTTCGGACGCGAATGGATTTGGTTCGGATTTTAGGTTTCGGCTTGGTTTCTTTTTACTTTCTTTTTTTTTTTTAGGATAGAATACTGTTAGAGTGGGGTGCACTGTGGCTGTGTAGCTTTGGGGCCTGAGCGACCTTAAAAACTTTCGCACGATTTGACAATGGGGACGTCGCGACGTGGCTGTGATGAGATTTGTAACTGCTCCAAATTGCGCTGTGAAAAGAGCGCCCAAGGGCCGAAAATGTAGAGTAGAGCAAGTTGATGTTGCTCTCAAGCTAGTTGGCTTGAACAATATATATATATATATAGTTGAGCAGCCAGCTCGTTTCTTACATGACGCAAAACTTTTATGGATATTTACTTAAGCTGCGCAAGTTTGGCGTAAGGGGTTTTCACTTTAAAATTAATATAGAACATAATTAAAATTAAATATAAACATAGTGCCAAAATCGAACCGGAGCCGGAGAAGCTAATCGAAATTAAGCAATGGTAACATTTTTTAAGTTTATGGTATTGTTAACCAAAAAACATCGTAGGACAAAGTTCGTAAATATTAATTGAATCTGAATAATTCATTTGTTTCGCCTTGACATCCTTAATAGAACTACAACAACTGAGAAAGTTGCAGTCGGGCGTAACCGACTGTGAAATACTCTGATATCATATGCAATACCATCTGATAGCAGGTGTTACAGAACAGGATGGGTGTAGCTAATAAATACCGATCTTGAAGGAGATTTTTAGTAGTCTTCCGTCCAAATATGCCTTTAAAATTCCGCTAGATAGAGGCTTTTGAATTTTGGGGGCAGGAGCGGGCGTGGCTGAAAAAAATTGTGGTAAAATTTTATAGTAACATTCCTTCCACGTTTGGTAACTATAGACATAGGATCTTAAAGTTTTTGGATGCGGTGGTGGGCGTGGTCAGAAAATGTATATGTTGATCTTTGAAGTAGGTTACCAGCAAGTTACCTTCCATGTTTGGTAACTCTACCTTTAAAATTTTGGGAAATATGCCGTTTTATCGATTTACGCTTTCCGACATATCGGCTTTGGTGATTATGGGCGCAAAATGATCGGTTCTCAGAGGCGCCTACCAGGCATATACTTGGCAAATTTCATATACCTACCATTTTAAATTTTAAGGAGCGGGGAAGGATATCGCCAAAAACCTTCCATCCAAATTTGGTATCAGTAGTCTTAAAATTGTGGGAGATATGTGGCATTATCGATTTGCAATTATCGATTTTATCGATTTCCCAGCTTGATACTTTCTCTGACTTAGGCACAGAGCAGTATATGTTCAAAGTTTCAAGTCTCTAACATTAAACTAATTCAAAATAAATGAAGCGAAACGGATTCCGAATCGAACCGTGATTATTTATTTATTTTTATTTTGTGTAGAATAGTATTATAATAGTTAATAGTTAATTTACGAAGATTTGGTTGTTTTATGTTCTATGGAGATATATTCATGAAACTTGCATAAATGGTTGAATGGTCTTAACAGCTAAACTGAGAAACAAATTACTTGGAAATGTAGAAATGACTAATGCTTTTGACCCTTTCAAACGAAAACTTGTGGCTTTTCTAAAAACCATTGCATTCATTTCGTAATTAAAATACACATTTTTAGAATTCATAATTATAAATTCCCCAGTGAAGGTAGTAAAAGGCAGGTAAATATTTATAGAATTGGGGATTCTCGACAAGTGTTTATTGTTTAAAAATTGTCTTAACAATTTGGACAGCACAAAAAATGAATAATTCATTTTCGAAATATGCTTTTGTTAGTGTAATTCCGAAATTCTTAACTGCAAGCAACTTAAAATTTAATTAACTTCACAAAGCTCTGTTTGAATTCCATGCCATCTAAATGGATGTTAATTATGTATTTGGCTACGATGAATTTTCAGTTAATACAGACGAACAACGGCTTTAACTTATGGGCTTTAACGCATTCGCGTTAATTTCGTGTGATTGATGAAGAAGGCTTTCGAGGTATCCTGGGGCCAGTAACCTCATGTATATATGTATATGCACAGTGTGCTTGTACTTTCATATCGAAGATATTTGCCCGATTAGGCACAGTGCCAAAATTGGAGCGCTATGCTCACTTGGCGGGGCTTGAAAATCGATAGAGCCAATAATCTATTGTTAGCTATAGTTACCAAACTTGGAAGAAAGATTATTAGGATCTTTCTCTATAATCTTTTTCAGCCACGCCCACTCCCACCGCCAAAATTCTCAAAAGTCTATATCTACTATAATTTTGCAAGCTTGGCGGGTAGATTACGACAAATCTCCTTCAAAGATCGGTAATTTTTGGCTATCTGTTATCAGATGATAATACTTATGGTCTCAAAGTATTTTGCAACGTTCTCTCCTGTTTTTCTATGATAGCCGTTGATTTAAATTACTTTAAGAAGAGTAACCAAACTGAAAGCTACTAAGACTCACTGCACTCACTGAATAAACGACTAAAAGTGACGGCCAATTCAAGTGCAATAATCAAAATCCTTTGCGAAAAACAAGTAAAAAATGTTATGGGTAAATGGACACACAGTTGAATTTGTATCGAGTGAGAAATTTGAGGTTGAACGCAAACCGCAATATGCAACGCCTGCCACACCATATATAAAGATACAAGCAGATTGAAAGCAACCGACATAGAGACAGCGAGAGAGAGAGAGAGAGAGAGAGACAGATATAGAGAGAGAGAGAGACAGAGATAGAGACACACACAGCGAGAGGGAAAAGCAGATGACCTAAGGACAGTGAGGCTTTCTCAACAGCTGACCAAATATGAGCAAGACTCTTACATCATCTAGCACTATTACTATTACTATTACTATTTCTATCATTATTACAATTACAGCTCGAATTCTTAAGGCATTTTGTCTTTATTTCGTTTGCCGAGGGGGTGGGTGTGGGTGGTGTTGGCTTTGGTGTGATGAAAGTCTTGTATTCAGCACCACAGGACATTTGCCGCTTGGCTGAGCTGCTTTCGCCGCTGACGTTGCCTACACAAGTTGGCATTGAATTTGCCACACTTTGCTCAATTCGCAGATTTGCACAAGTTGGGTTCATGTTGTGGTCTGTTGCATCGTATCAAATGAAAACGACATGCCAAAACAGAAAAAACACCGTAAGCCCTAAGAGGGGAACTATGATTATGATAGATATAAGAATAAGCCGTATGACAGCCAATTGTTTGGGATGACAGGCGGCGCCCCCTATTGGCGTTTATCATAATAACAATAATATTAATATCAATGATAATAAAGCATATTGAGACAATGGCACTGACATTGAACAATAGAGGGCGCCGTATGCCTCACTGCTCAAGCACGTAATTTTACTTTTCAGGGTAAAAAACCGTTTCTGACAGCTCATCACATTTTATTGTCTCGTTCTCACTCGCTCCCGCACTCGCTCCAGCTCTCGCTCGCTCTCTGTGGTTATGTGTATCGCCTACTTTCGCTTTTGTGTCTGCATCTGTTGCATAGACGTTGTGTAATATGTCAGATTGACACACCATAAATCAATACCGAGCACAGGTAAACAGAGAATTTTGAATACTCTGCAGCAGAGATGCCTGTTTTTGTTTTGATTCCTATTTTAAATCACATCAATTTTTATTTAATAATACATTTTTGTTTCCAATGTACTATCAGTTTTGTCCTGTATCCTTTTCACTTAATGACGAAATTAAAATGTGATCAGTTGGACTTGGAACTGTGATATCATGTCGTCTATTATATCATTGACTAGATGTCAACATAATAAATTCCATTCAAGTCAATGGCATCACAAACAACAAGCGAAACACGCACAGTCAAAAAAATACAAAATAATTGTATTGGAATACAAATAAAAGGGTAACAAATAAAGGCAAAGTCCTAAGGTGGATGCATACATGCATATAAATAGAAAACCTTCCAGGAGGCCAAGTTCGTCTCCGTCTGAGAGTGACAGCAGCACTTGGTGCGTTGCTACACGTTGCATGCCGCCGGCCACGAAAATGTCTTCACCGGCAGACCTTGAGAGCGGGCAAGCTGCCAAAATAATTTCGTAACGCTCGTTTGCTGCCACAGTTCGTGCTACGCCTGGTTTCACCTGCGGATGATTATACAAAATTCATTGACTTTCGCAGCCGTTTCAAATGACAAAAGCCCAATGCAATCGAAATTGCGTGCGCTTTCGCATTCGGTCGGCAAATACAATTTAATTAGATATGGTTATGTATGGTATTATGTTCGTCGATTATTGTACGTATTATTGAAGGTATTGTTGCATAATGTCCATTCACACGTCGCCAGCAGCTGCTTGTGGGCGTATGCGGGTTCTTGACGAGACAGCTTTGGCTCGTTATCAGTTTTGAACAAGTATTCAGCAAGAGAATGAGTCGAGTTGTTGTATAACCCACACAGACGAGTCGACGGCGGGTGCGGCATTGTCCAATTCCGTAAGGAGCCCCATCAAAGCGGCAACAAATCAGTTCAATTCAATTCCAAATAGCAAAACTGTAGCAATGCTAGTCTAGCACACAAAACATACCCACACACAGCTCTCGGCACAATTCTTGAGACCAAAGAAAAGAAAAGAAAGACCAACAAACAACTAGAACTAGCAACGAGCATTGAGCAGCTAACAACTAACAACCAACAACTGGCAACTGGCAACTGGCAACTGGCAACAACAATAACAACTACGAGAATAATCAACTATAGAAGATATTACGAAATTGTGATACCCTAGCAGAACTACACACAAAAGATTATGAGCTCAATGAGACTGCAATTTTTGTAAGTAATTTTTGTTTTTAATTTATATCTCAAGAATACATTTGAGTTTGATTTTTAAGCAGGATGTCGAAACCAAAACGACTCCGATCCTGGTACGTAAAGCCTACGAATTTCTTGTAAGGATTTGGGTATATTTCCAAACTTCTTTTACGATATTCGGTTATCTAAAGATACAATGATTTTTCCGATACAGTCTTGATCAGTATCAAAATCGGAGTCTGTCTGTTTGTATATATACCAGCTGGAACAGAGACACAGACACATTCACATTCAAGAAACGGGATCGAATTTTAAACTTAGGTTATGATTACGATTTCCATTTGGAAATTCAATCGATAAGCATGCGTTTCTGATTCCAATTCCGGTTTGACAACCTGCTTATATCTTATAAATACAGTCTTTTCATACAATGTGAACAGAGTATATCAAACAGGCAGTAAGAATTGCCAGAGTATATCAAACAGGCAGTAACCAATGCCAAGCAGCAATAGTTTCTGCAAATGCTACCTGATAAAATAAAGAAGAACTACGATAAAAATGAAACTTTTGTCTCAGAATGCCTGATGGGGCAGATGTCTGGTTGAGCTCAGTTTATTATTCATAGCTTGCAACATTTTATTTTTATTTTATTTATAGCACATCTGTGTAGAAGTAGAAATCGATCAAATTTTAGTAGTAAAATATTTCAGTTTGTTGTATTTAACTTTCGAGATGTGATCAAATCATATGTAAAACAATGCTTTTTGATAATACATTGTCTTCACGTATTGTGGGACTATAATTTTAGCTGAGTTTGCTTTGTGCATGCTTCGTAAACGTTTCCATGTCCCAACTCTGGCGCTGTCAGAAATGCAAGTAAGCAATCACATATGTATTTGTGTGTGTGTGTGTGTGTGTGTGTGTGTGTGTGTGTGTGCTGGTGTGCGTACCAAACTAACAGTTACATATACATATACGCAGTTACATATACATATACTATATACACTTAAACACTGGCAAACAAATGTTATGCTGTG